TGATTGTTATGTTGGCAGAGTTTGTCGCCGAAGCCACTATGTTTTCTGCGGTTGAGTCTATAAGCACCTTCATAGCTCACTTGGTAGAACCCATGACTTTAAGAAGTTCCTGAAACGCTGTGGTCCAAAGGTCGCTGGTTCAACTCCAGCTCTAAACACCAGATATCATTGGTGTATGCACTCTTCAACCTTTTTCATTGACCAGGTGGCTTGATTGTTGTGTTGTCAGAGTTTGTCGCCGAAGCTACTATGTTTTCTGCGTTTGAGTCTATAAGCAACTTCATAGCTCAGTTGGTAGAGCAGAGGACTTTAAGAAGTTCCTGAAACGCAGTAGTCCAAAGGTCGCCGGTTCAACTCCACCTCCAAACACCAGATTTCATTGGTGTATGCACTGTTCAACCTTTTTCATTGACCAGGTGGCTTGAGTATTGTGTTGTCAGAGTGTGTCGCCGAAGCCACTATGTTTTCTGCGGTTGAGTCTATAAGCACCTTCATAGCTCAGTTGGTAGAGAAGATGACTGTAAGAAGTTCCTGAAACGCTGTGGTCCAAAGGTCGCTGGTTCAACTCCACCTCCAAACACCAGATTTCATTGCTCTATGCTCTGTTCAACCTTTTTCATTGACCATGTGGGTCCAATTGTATTGTTGGCAAAGTGTGTCGCCGAAGCCACTATGTTTTCTGCCTTGGTATCTATAAGCACCTTCATAGCTCAGTTGATAGAGCAGAGGACTGTAAGAAGTTCCTGAAACGCTGTGGTCCAAAGGTCGCTGGTTCAACTCCAGCTCCAAACACCAGATTTCTTTGGTCTATGCACTGTTCAACCTTTTTCATTGACCAGGTGGCTTGATTGTTGTGTTGTCAGAGTGTGTCGCCGAAGCCACTATGTTTTCTGCGGTTGAGTCTATATGCACCTTCATAGCTCAGCTGGTAGAGAAGAGGATTGTAAGAAGTTCCTGAAACGCTGTGTTCCAAAGGTCGCTGGTTCAACTCCACCTCCAAACACCAGATTTCATTGCTCTATGCACTGTTCAACCTTTTTCATTGACCATGTTGGTCCAATTGTATTGTTGGCAAAGTATGTCGCCGAAGCCACTATGTTTTCTGCGTTTGTATCTATAAGCACCTTCATAGCACAGTTGGTAGAGCAGAGGACTGTAAGAATTTCCTGAAACGCTGTGGTCCAAAGGTCGCTGGTTCAACTCCAGCTCCAAACACCAGATTTCATTGGTGTATGCACTGTTCAACCTTTTTCATTGACCATGTTGGTTCAATAGTTATGTTGGCAGAGTGTGTCGCCGAAGCCACTATGTTTTCTGCGTTTGAGTCTATAAGCAACTTCATAGCTCAGTTGGTAGAGCCCATGACTTTAAGAAGTTCCTGAAACGCTGTGGTCCAAAGGTCGCTGGTTCAACTCCACCTCCAAACACTAGATTTCATTGCTGTATGCACTGTTCAATCTTTTTCATTGACCATGTGGGTCCAATTGTATTGTTGGCAAAGAGTGTCGCCGAAGCCACTATGTTTTCTGCGTTTGTGTCTATAAGCACCTTCATAGCTCAGTTGGTAGAGCAGAGGACTGTAAGAAGTTCCTGAAACGCTGTGGTCCAAAGGTCGCTGGTTCAACTCCAGCTCTAAACACCAGATATCATTGGTGTATGCACTCTTCAACCTTTTTCATTGACCAGGTGGCTTGATTGTTGTGTTGTCAGAGTTTGTCGCCGAAGCCACTTTGTTTTCTGCGGTTGAGCCTATAAGCACCTTCATATCTCAGTTGGTAGAGAAGAGGACTGTAAGAAGTTCCTGAAACGCTGTGTTCCAAATGTCGCTGGTTCAACTCCACCTCCAAACACCAGATTTCATTGGTCTATGCTCTGTTCAACCTTTTTCATTGACCAGGTGGCTTGATTGTTGTGTTGTCAGAGTGTGTCGCCGAAGCCACTAATTTTCTGCGGTTGAGTCTATAAGCACCTTCATAGCTCAGTTGGTAGTGCAGAGGACTGTAAGAAGTTACTGAAACGCTGTGATCCATAGGTCGCTGGTTCAACTCCACCTCCAAACACTAGATTTCATTGCTGTATGCACTGTTCAACCTTTTTCATTGACCATGTGGGTCCAATTGTATTGTTGGCAAAGTGTGTCGCCGAAGCCACTATGTTTTCTGCGTTTGAGTCTATAAGCAACTTCATAGCTCAGTTGGTAGAACAGAGGACTTTAAGAAGTTCCTGAAACGCTGTTGTCCAAAGGTCGCTGGTTCAACTCCACCTCCAAACACCAGATTTCATTGCTGTATGCACTGTTCAACCTTTTTCATTGACCATGTGGGTCCAATTGTATTGTTGGCAAAGTGTGTCGCCGAAGCCACTATGTTTTCTGCGTTTGTATCTATAAGCACCTTCATAGCTCACTTGGTAGAGCAGAGGACTGTAAGAAGTTCCTGAAACGCTGTAGTCCAAAGGTCGCTGGTTCAACTCCAGCTCCAAACACCAGATTTCATTGGTCTATGCACTGTTCAACCTTTTTCATTGACCAGGTGGCTTGATTGTTATGTTGGCAGAGTTTGTCGCCGAAGCCACTATGTTTTCTGCGGTTGAGTCTATAAGCACCTTCATAGCTCACTTGGTAGAACCCATGACTTTAAGAAGTTCCTGAAACGCTGTGTTCCAAAGGTCGCTGGTTCAACTCCACCTCCAAACACCAGATTTCATTGGTCTATGCTCTTTTCAACCTTTTTCATTGACCATGTGGGTCCAATTGTATTGTTGGCAAAGTGTGTCGCCGAAGCCACTATGTTTTCTGCGTTTGAGTCTATAAGCAACTTCATAGCTCAGTTGGTAGAGCAGAGGACTTTAAGAAGTTCCTGAAACGCAGTAGTCCAAAGGTCGCCGGTTCAACTCCACCTCCAAACACCAGATTTCATTGGTGTATGCACTGTTCAACCTTTTTCATTGACCAGGTGGCTTGAGTATTGTGTTGTCAGAGTGTGTCGCCAAAGCCACTATGTTTTCTGCGGTTGAGTCTATAAGCACCTTCATAGCTCAGTTGGTAGAGAAGATGACTGTAAGAAGTTCCTGAAACGCTATGGTCCAAAGGTCGCTGGTTCAACTCCACCTCCAAACACCAGATTTCATTGCTCTATGCTCTGTTCAACCTTTTTCATTGACCATGTGGGTCCAATTGTATTGTTGGCAAAGTGTGTCGCCGAAGCCACTATGTTTTCTGCCTTGGTATCTATAAGCACCTTCATAGCTCAGTTGGTAGAGCAGAGGACTGTAAGAAGTTCCTGAAACGCTGTGGTCCAAAGGTCGCTGGTTCAACTCCAGCTCCAAACACCAGATTTCTTTGGTCTATGCACTGTTCAACCTTTTTCATTGACCAGGTGGCTTGATTGTTGTGTTGTCAGAGTGTGTCGCCGAAGCCACTATGTTTTCTGCGGTTGAGTCTATATGCACCTTCATAGCTCAGCTGGTAGAGAAGAGGATTGTAAGAAGTTCCTGAAACGCTGTGTTCCAAAGGTCGCTGGTTCAACTCCACCTCCAAACACCAGATTTCATTGCTCTATGCACTGTTCAACCTTTTTCATTGACCATGTTGGTCCAATTGTATTGTTGGCAAAGTATGTCGCCGAAGCCACTATGTTTTCTGCGTTTGTATCTATAAGCACCTTCATAGCACAGTTGGTAGAGCAGAGGACTGTAAGAATTTCCTGAAACGCTGTGGTCCAAAGGTCGCTGGTTCAACTCCAGCTCCAAACACCAGATTTCATTGGTGTATGCACTGTTCAACCTTTTTCATTGACCATGTTGGTTCAATAGTTATGTTGGCAGAGTGTGTCGCCGAAGCCACTATGTTTTCTGCGTTTGAGTCTATAAGCAACTTCATAGCTCAGTTGGTAGAGCCCATGACTTTAAGAAGTTCCTGAAACGCTGTGGTCCAAAGGTCGCTGGTTCAACTCCACCTCCAAACACTAGATTTCATTGCTGTATGCACTGTTCAACCTTTTTCATTGACCATGTGGGTCCAATTGTATTGTTGGCAAAGAGTGTCGCCGAAGCCACTATGTTTTCTGCGTTTGTGTCTATAAGCACCTTCATAGCTCAGTTGGTAGAGCAGAGGACTGTAAGAAGTTCCTGAAACGCTGTGGTCCAAAGGTCGCTGGTTCAACTCCAGCTCTAAACACCAGATATCATTGGTGTATGCACTCTTCAACCTTTTTCATTGACCAGGTGGCTTGATTGTTGTGTTGTCAGAGTTTGTCGCCGAAGCCACTTTGTTTTCTGCGGTTGAGCCTATAAGCACCTTCATATCTCAGTTGGTAGAGAAGAGGACTGTAAGAAGTTCCTGAAACGCTGTGTTCCAAATGTCGCTGGTTCAACTCCACCTCCAAACACCAGATTTCATTGGTCTATGCTCTGTTCAACCTTTTTCATTGACCAGGTGGCTTGATTGTTGTGTTGTCAGAGTGTGTCGCCGAAGCCACTAATTTTTCTGCGGTTGAGTCTATAAGCACCTTCATAGCTCAGTTGGTAGTGCAGAGGACTGTAAGAAGTTACTGAAACGCTGTGATCCATAGGTCGCTGGTTCAACTCCACCTCCAAACACTAGATTTCATTGCTGTATGCACTGTTCAACCTTTTTCATTGACCATGTGGGTCCAATTGTATTGTTGGCAAAGTGTGTCGCCGAAGCCACTATGTTTTCTGCGTTTGAGTCTATAAGCAACTTCATAGCTCACTTGGTAGAACAGAGGACTTTAAGAAGCTCCTGAAACGCTGTTGTCCAAAGGTCGCTGGTTCAACTCCACCTGCAAACACCAGATTTCATTGGTCTATGCACTGTTCAACCTTTTTCATTGACCATGTTGGTCCAATTGTATTGTTGGCAAAGTATGTCGCCGAAGCCACTATGTTTTCTGCGTTTGTATCTATAAGCACCTTCATAGCTCAGTTGGTAGAGCAGAGGACTGTAAGAAGTTCCTGAAACGCTGTGATCCAAAGGTCGCTGGTTCAGCTCCAGCTCCAAACACCAGATTTCGTTGGTGTATGCACTGTTCAACCTTTTTCATTGACCATGTTGGTTCAATAGTTATGTTGGCAAAGTGTGTCGCCGAAGCCACTATGTTTTCTGCGTGAGTCTATAAGCAACTTCATAGCTCAGTTGGTAGAGCCCATGACTTTAAGAAGTTCCTGAAACGCTGTGGTCCAAAGGTCGCTGGTTCAACTCCACCTCCAAACACTAGATTTCATTGCTGTATGCACTGTTCAACCTTTTTCATTGACCATGTGGGTCCAATTGTATTGTTGGCAAAGAGTGTCGCCGAAGCCACTATGTTTTCTGCGTTTGTATCTATAAGCACCTTCATAGCTCAGTTGGTAGAGCACAGGACTGTAAGAGGTAACTCATATGAAACGCTGTGATCCTTAGGTAGCTGGTTCAACTCCAGCTCCAAGCCCACTCTTTAATTTTCCAACCATCAAATTTTTATTTACCCAGCCTAAAAGTCCTGATTATCAGTTCACGATCCCTGGCAATGACTGTTGGGTACAAACTGTGAAGCTCTTTTCTGAAGGTAGGACTAGGCTTTTGATTGACCATGTGGGTCCAATAGTTGTTTGGGCAAAGCATGTCGTCACAACCACTATGTTTTCTGCTTTTTTGTTTAGAGAGTACCTTGATAGCTCAGTTGGTAGAGCGCAGGACTGTAAGAGGTTCCTCATATGAAATGCTGTGATCCTAAGGTAGCTGGTTCAACTCCAGCTCAAAGCCCCCTCTTTAATTTTCCAAGCATAAAATTTTTATTCACCCAGCCTAAAAGTCCTGATTATCAGTCATGGGTCCCTGGCAATGACTGTTGGGTACAAACTGTGAAGCTCTGTTCTGAAGGAAGGACTAGGCTTTTGATTGACCATGTGGGTCCAATAGTTGTTTGGGCAAAGCATGTCGTCACAACCACTATGTTTTCTGCATTTGTGTGTAGAGAGCACCTTGATAGCTCAGTTGGTAGAGCGCAGGACTGTAAGAGGTTCCTCATATGAAATACTGGGATCCTAAGGTAGCCGGTTCAACTCCAGCTCAAAGCCCCCTCTTTAATTTTCCAACCATAAAATTTTTATTCACCCAGCCTAAAAGTCCTGATTATCAGTTCACGATCCCTGGCAATGACTGTTGGGTACAAACTGTGAAGCTCTGTTCTGAAGGAAGGACTAGGCTTTTGATTGACCATGTGGGTCCAATAGTTGTTTGGGCAAAGCATGTCATCACAACCACTATGTTTTCTGCGTTTGTGTGTAGAGAGCACATTGATAGCTCAGTTGGTAGAGCGCAGGACTGTAAGAGGTTCCTCATATGAAATGCTCTGATCCTAAGGTAGCCGGTTCAACTCGAGCTCAATGCCCCCTCTTTAATTTTCCAACCATAAAATTTTTATTCACCCAGCCTAAAAGTCCTGATTATCAGTCATGGGTCCTTGGCAATGACTGTTGTGTACAAACTGTGAAGCTCTGTTCTGAAGGTAGGACTAGGCTTTTGATTGACCATGTGGGTCCAATAGTTGTTTGGGCAAAGCATGTCGTCACAACCACTATGTTTTCTGCGTTTGTGTGTAGAGAGCACAATGATAGCTCAGTTGGTAGAGCGCAGGACTGTAAAAGGTTCATCATATGAAATGATGTCATCCTAAGGTAGCCAGTTCAACTCATGCTCAAAGCCCGCTCTTTAATTTTCCAACCATCAATTTTTCATTCACTCAGCCTAAAAGTCCTGATTAACAGTTCACGATCCCTGGCAATGACTGTTGGTTACAAACTGTGAAGCTCTGTTCTGAAGGTAGGACTAGGCTTTTGATTGACCAAAGTGTTCCAATAGTTGTTTGGGCAAAGCATGTCGTCACAACCACTATGTTTTCTGCATTTCGGTGTAGAGAGCACTTTGATAGCTCAGTTAGTAGAGCGCAGGACTGTAAGAGGTTCCTCATATGAAATGCTGTGATCCTAAGGTAGCCGGTTCAACTCCAGCTCAAAGCCCCCTCTTTAATTTTCCAACCATCAATTTTTTATTCACCCAGCCTAAAAGTCCTGATTATCAGTTCACGATCCCTGGCAATGACTGTTGGGTACAAACTGTGAAGCTCTGTTCTGAAGGTAGGACTAGGCTTTTGATTGACCATGTGGGTCCAATATTTGTTGGCAAATCATGTCGTCACAACCACTATGTTTTCTTCGTTTGTGAGTAGAGAGCACCTTGATAGCTCAGTTAGTACAGTGCAGGACTGTAAGAAGTTCCTCATATGAAATGCTGTGATCCTAAGGTAGCCAATTCAACTCCAGCCGGAAGCCCCCTCTTTAATTTTCCAACCATCAATTTTTTATTCACCCAGCCTAAAAGTCCTGATTATCAGTCATGGGTCCTTGGCAATGACTGTTGTGTACAAACTGTGAAGCTCTGTTCTGAAGGTAGGACTAGGCTTTTGATTGACCATGTGGGTCCAATAGTTGTTTGGGCAAAGCATGTTGTCACAACCACTATGTTTTCTGCGTTTGTGTATAGAGAGCACCTTGATAGCTCAGTTGGTAGAGCGCAGAACTGTAAGAGATTCCTCACATTAAATGCTGTGATCCTAAGGTAGCCGGTTCAACTCCAGCTCAAAGTCCTTTCTTTAATTTTCCAACCATCAATTTTTTATTCACCCAGCCTAAAAGTCCTGATTATCAGTCATGGGTCCTTGGCAATGACTGTTGTGTACAAACTGTGAAGCTCTGTTCTGAAGGTAGGACTAGGCTTTTGATTGACCATGTGGGTCCAATAGTTGTTTGGGCAAAGCATGTCGTCACAACCACTATGATTTCTGCGTTTGTGTGTAGAGAGCACCTTGATTGCTCAGTTGATAGAGCGCAGGACTATAAGAGATTCCTCATATGAAATGCTCTGATCATAAGGTAGCCGGTTCAACTCCAGCTCAAAGCCCCCTCTTTAATTTTCCAACCATAAAATTTTTATTCACCCAGCCTAAAAGTCCTGATTATCAGTTCACGATCCCTGGCAATGACTGTTGGGTAAAAACTGTGAAGCTCTGTTCTGAAGGTAGGACTAGGCTTTTGATTGACCATGTGGGTCCAATTGTTGTTTGGGCAAAGCATGTCGTCACAACCACTATGTTTTCTGCGTTTGTGTGTATAGAGCACCTTGATAGCTCAGTTGGTTGAGTGCAGGACTGTAAGAGGTTCCTCATATGAAATGCTGTGATCCTAAGGTAGCCTGTTCAACTCCAGCTCAAAGCCCCCCTCTTTAATTTTCCAACCATCAATTTTTTATTCACCCAGCCTAAAAGTCCTGATTATCAGTCATGGGTCCTTGGCAATGACTGTTGGGTACAAACTGTGAAGCTCTGTTCTGAAGGTAGGACTAGGCTTTTGATTGACCATGTGGGTCCAATAGTTGTTTGGGCAAAGCATGTCGTCACAACCACTATGTTTTCTGCGTTTGTGTGTAGAGACCACCTTGATAGCTCACTTGGTAGAGCACAGGACTGTAAGAGGTTCCTCATATGAAATGCTGTGATCCTAAGGCTAGCCGGTTAAACTCCAGCTCAAAGCCCCCTCTTTAATTTTCCAACCATAAAATTTTTATTCACCCAGCCTAAAAGTCCTGATTATCAGTTCACGATCCCTGGCAATGACTGTTGGGTCCAAACTGTGAAGCTCTGTTCTGAAGGTAGGACTAGGCTTTTGATTGACCAAAGTGTTCCAATAGTTGTTTGGGCAAAGCATGTCGTCACAACCACTATGTTTTCTGCGTTTGTGTGTGGAGAGCACCTTGATAGCTCAGTTGGTAGAGCGCAGAACTGTAAGAGGTTCCTCATATGAAATGCTGTGATCCTAAGGTAGCCGGTTAAACTCCAGCTCAAAGCCCCCTCTTTAATTTTCCAACCATCAAATTTTTATTCACCCAGCCTAAAAGTTCTGATTATCAGTCATGGGTCCTTGGCAATGACTGTTGGGTCCAAACTGTGAAGCTCTGTTCTGAAGGTTGGACTAGGCTTTTGATTGACCATGTGGGTCCAATATTTGTTGGCAAAGCATGTCGTCACAACCACTATGTTTTCTGCGTTTGTGTGTAGAGAGCACCTTGATAGCTCAGTTGGTAGAGCGCAGAACTGTAAGAGGTTCCTCATATGAAATGCTGTGATCCTAAGGTAGCCGGTTCAACTCCAGCTCAAAGCCCCCTCTTTAATTTTCCAACCATCAAATTTTTATTCACCCAGCCTAAAAGTCCTGATTATCAGTCATGGGTCCCTGGCAATGACTGTTGGCTACATACTGTGAAGCTCTGTTCTGAAGGTAGGACTAGTCTTTTATTGGCCATGTCAATCAAAAGCCCAGCCTTAAAGTCCTGATTATCAGTTCACAGTCCCTAGCAATGACTGTTGGGTACAAACTGCAAAGTTTGATTCTGCAGGTAGGGCTGGGCTTTTCATTGACCATCTGGGTTGAATATTTGAGTGGGCCAAGTGTGTCATCTCAGCGACTATGTTTTCTGCAGTTGTCTGTAGCAAGCACCTTGATAGCTCAGTTGGTAAAGCAGAGGACTGTAATATGTTACCCATATGAAATGCTGTGATGGTAAGGTCAACAGTTCAACTCCTGCTCAAAGCACATGCATGTCATTGGTGTGAGCAATGTTATAGATCGAATCACATCGAAATAATGCTGATCCTTGTCTTCATCTGTCAACTCCTTCAAAATGTAAATACACAAACAAGATAACTCCTGCTTAAATTCCCAACCATCAATTTTTTTTTCACCTAGCCTAAAAGTCCTGATTATCCATTCTCGGTCCTTGGCAATGACCTTTGGGTACAAACTGTGAAGCTCTGTTCTTAAGGTAGGACTGGGCTTTTGATTGTGTGTACACAATATGACATGCTACTTGGAGTGCATTGAAACTGTCATTGCGACACGTCCAAAAGTTCTGAAATCTCCAACTCCATGCAAATGTATCGCGTGTCGCGACCATAACCTGAAACGAGTGTCCAATAGCCAAGCTAGACTCAGGGGTGGGCTGTACAGTGGTCCTTATGTCCCCACCTTAAAGGGGTACAAACTCCTGGCCCCGGGGCCCAGACCCCCCATAATCCGGCCCTGTCTGCATCTGACACTTTTACTTAATATTTGTGAAGTATGAAAAAGAGACAACTCCACCACTAAAACTGGGATGGATCTTGAGGAGCACGTCCAAAGTATCCAAGGATGTTGACTCTAAACTCATAATCTTTTAGAGTTATCCACTATATTTTTATTTTTTGTGTGTTTGTTTTTAATACAGAATCAATGGGAGGCTTAAGATGAATTAGTTTTAATAATAATAATAATAATAATAATAATAATGATAATAATAATAATAATAATTTTATTTATATAGCACCTTTAAAAACAGAAGTTTACAAAGTGCTTAGACAACAGTTGTAAGCACAGAGCATCAGCACATTGAAAATAAAAACACATAAAAACAAAAGCTCAGTTAAAAACAGGCCTCTGAATTGTAGGCCTGTTTCACTTTTCGTAAGAAACCCAGGCAATGTCATAATTTATGTTAAACTGCCGATATGTATAGACGGACATGGCACTACGGTTCATAGGCGACACCTCCTACCCAGGAGAGGGCGGTAGAGTCCCCTGAAGGTGAGCAGCAGCCGGGCGGAGGCGGCGTCATCGCCGTAGAAGGAAGCGTGAATGTATGGCTGTCATGTGTCATCCACTCGGGCTTGTGGTCAGCTGACATATTGGGGACGCTTGCTATGTTTACTTTCTGCATGTAACACGTAAACTTGCGCTTATTTGAATGAATGCATCGCTATGCTTCGCCGAGGAGAACCATGGTAGTCGTGAACTCGGTGCTGAAGCTGTTACAGAGGCAGACGTACACCTGTCTGTCCCACCGATATGGACTCTACCTCTGCTTTGGGGGGCTCGTCCTCATGATAGTTTCCGCCTTTCAGTTTGGAGAGGTAAAGCCCTTCTATTTTCTTTATTTTAGATACTGTTAGGCACCTAGCTCTGTTTCTAAACCAGGTGAGAAACAGCCATTTTTGGCAAACAGGGGCGCCGACTAACCAGACTCCACTTAAAAACTGTGTTATTTTTGGCGATTTCGCTTGTAACTAAACCTCTTTGCTTGTAGTTATATTGTGGAAAAGATATATCAATATTTATAGTGTTCTTGTCAATTCGGCATTATAATAACATACCTAGCGCACTGTTTTTTGTTTTTAAAGCTTTAAATTACCTTAAAAGGTCCAATTGTCTGCCCTCACTGTTTAAAAGTACAAGTTCATTATCATTTGTACAACAGCCAGTTCCAAACAAGTCATCTGATTGGACAAGAATTCCATTGTGCCGCTATAAAGCGTAACATCACTATCAATAAGCACTGTGTATCGGTCCACCTCAGCCTGCTGCTCTCAATATAGTAAACTAACATTTCAGTAGACAGTGTTTGTTGAAGAGGTCAACCGATCAGCATGCCGATATTCAGTCTGTATCGGTATTTTATTAAGAATATTATATTTGTCATAATCACATATCCCGAAGTGTGATTTTTAATGGTACTGTATGATTTTTACACTAGTGATAACTCTATCTGAGCACTTGAACTCATGCTAACTGTTAATTCCTGTTTATTTTGTTGTTAATTACAGTTTTGATCAAGCTTTTGTTAAAAGTGTTTAAAGAAAGAGATCACTATTTTATCTCTAAACCAGTGGTTCTTAACCAGGGTTCTACCGAACCCTAGGGGTTCGGTGAGTCGGTCTCAGGGGTTCGGCAGAGCCTCTGCCACGGTAGCCTGGCTGGGCCATCCAGTTGCGTGAATCACTTGATGTTCCTTCCCACCACAGTCTGGACTTCGGCCCATAGAGAGCGTGTATTCCCAATCAGAAAATAACCGGGCCAATCAGAGAATGTGTTTCCACTGTTACCCGGACAACAGGGAAAGGCAGCCCCTGATTGGTCCATGTGTAGTGGTGATGTCTAACATGGTGATGGTGTTACATGGTGATGTATATGCTGCGGGACTTTCCGTTCATTCAGAACGCCGTTAATTCTGCAAAGTCGTCAGAAATGGTTTATATCAGCAGAAGATGTCGGATATAAACAATTTCTGCTGACTTTGCAGAGTCAACTGCGGAATTAACGGCGTTCTAAATACCTATGTCTTGAATTTGGAAAAAAATCATATTTGATTTATCACTAAAGAAGGGTTCGGTGAATGTGCATATGAAACTGGTGGGTTCGGTACCTCATACAGGGTTAAGAACCACTGCTCTAAACTAATATTGGGTCCAAATATTTGGTATCAGCCTCAAGTATTACTTATAATTGGTAGTAGTATCAGCTTATGGTTGCCTGATATCAGTTTTTCCATGGGCAATGCTGACACAGATAATGGAGAGAGCCAGTCGGCTGATGTGCTGAAATCACATTGTTGTTTTTTAAATTATTTTGCTAATATTAACAAAATTGCTGAACTCGAGTTAATGTTTTAATAAATAGATTAATAAAGACTACAAAATATTTGGCTAAGTTATATTTTATCCATAAAGTACTTTTGGATTTCTGCTCAGCTACCCTAAAGCAGATATTTACAACACCACTCCCTTCAGTGTGATGTTGTTTAATTGTTTTATTTTAAATGACATTTTACTTTTATGGAGTATGATTTCTGTTCCTTATAATTCCTAAAAAAAAGTTCATCAGTCAGGTTGCATTCGTGGTTAGGTTCGTCTTTCCTGGGCTGTATGTGAAGTCCATATTTCCTCATTGTTGTATCGGCTTTGCCTCCTTCTCTTCGTCCAGGTGGTGGTGGAGTGGAGTCGGGACCAGTACCATGTGTTGTTTGACACTTATCGAGACAATGTGGGTGGGAAATCATTCCAAAGCAGGTGAGCAAAGAGTGAATATGCTCTTAGTGAAGGATGTGTGGAACTTTAAACAACAATATAATACTCTGATTTCTGCCTCAGATGACAGTTTTTTTTCTCTATCTCTTCAAAGTTTCTAAATAAAGATTTATATATTTAAATATATATGAAAAAGCTCACCCATTTTCTTTACAAGATTCCTTCTTTGCACTTAAGACTGCTTGCACCCTCCCTTTGAGAAGAGAAGTTTACGAGGTGTAACCATGCATGAGCAAAATCTCATTCAGACAAGAGGAGAGTTTATTTCAGTAAGAGAAACGGGGTCAGCGCTTTGCCGTTTGAGCGCTGTCCTGAGTGATATGAGTGCTTTATTTTTGTAGGCTCTGTCTGCCCATGCCTATTGATGTTGTGTACACATGGGTGAACGGCACAGACACGGCTTTGCTGAAGGAACTGAAGGCGGTCAAAGAGCAACTGGAAGAGGAACAAAGAGCTATGAGGTAGCTGTGACTCAACTGTTACAAAGTGTTCCCTCGCTGTGTTTGTGACTTCAAATACCCAAAAGTGCTTTACATTTTTACCTGCCGGTGATGGTCAGAATTAGCACACAAGCTGAAGTTGTCATTTTTACCCTGATTAACTTGATGAGACCAAATTTGAGTAAGTCGGAGGAGAGAGCTGCTCTTTTATATGAATCTGCCCCACTCTTCTGTTCCCAGTTATCTCATCCTGTCTTATCTTATCCCAGCTGCTGCCATGAAAGAATACAATTAAAAAGTGAAGTACTTTTTCACAGTGCTTTAAAGTGTTTTAACTATGATTGAATTACCCTGATTGGACTATTTTGTTGCACACAGGGAACGCCTGGGGAAAAATGCGAGTGAGACAACTGATGTGCCAAAAGACAGGTGAGTCTGATGGTATTTTCTGTGTTTAAGGGTATGAAGAGCAGAAAGCTTATTTTATCAGCATGTCTGGGAGTGAGGCGTTCAAACCTGACCATTGTTTTAAGAAAGAGCTGATTTGTTCTCTTGATTGCAGGTGTACATGAACAAGCAGCCACTGATTATGCAGCACACTATCAGATCTTCTAACCCTGTTTTACCAGTTTTAGAAAACTGTGATAAAGAAGCAATGCAACACTTCATTGTTAGTTGTTAAAACAGGAAGTTAAGGCCAGTTATACCATAAGAAGCAATGATGCAGCATTTGTTGTCACACTGATGTTTGCAGTAGCTGGAAAGACGTAGCTAACTAACAACAGGAAGTAGACACCTTTCTGTTGCACAAACTCAGATGCAGTTACTGTGGGGTAGATGTTTCCTGTGTTGACCACCAAAGCAGACCCCCTTTCCCTGTGAGTTTACACCTCACACAAAGATCTTGATGCATCCTTTCCACTAAAGAAGCTGTTAGCTGAACCTGTTAATGTGACTCATTTCATGTGTACGTCTGAGAAGAGAAAAAGTAGTTGTCTGATTAACGCCAAGGTGCAAACTCATCGGGGTTTAGTATCACTCGTGTCTCATCTTGTGTGCTGTTCTCAGTGTCAAACCAGAATGCCTGCTGTCTCACTGCATCATGGCGCCCATGCTGGCCCTGGACCCCGCTCTGTCTGCCAACGTTACGCTCAAAGAGCTGCCGACACTCTCTCCTGCCTTCACTGCTGCCAAAGAGCTGCTGATGATGAACAAACCTTTCCAGCCGTCCACCTCCGCCTCTGTGGTCGTCTTCCACTCACAGGCTGATGGTAAAACACCCCCCTCCTCCCCCAGAGAAATATAAAATGAGCATAAAATGAGATTAGGTGATTTTGTTGCCTCAGAAACCAACGCAAGCAGAAAATGGCTTCAAATGAATCAAAGCATCATGTGAGCTTTGAAGCCGCTGGGTAGCTGAAAATAGCACAGATTATCACAAAGATGGGAAAAAATATTTACAGTGCAAAATGTGTTATTTGAAGTGTGATCAATGAGTAACCAGGACATGAGAAATTTGCACTGAGGGGGGAAGAATTCAGCATTAACAGAAGCAGCTGCTGCTAAACTCCCACTGATCTGAACAGCAAAAGTTTGTTTTAAGGTTCGATGGTTAAAAAAAGTAAAACAAGGAAAATGCATCCAGAAGATTAAGAATCACAGGAAAGCAGGAATCGATTGGTAAAGCAATGAAACAGTGTTAGCTATCGACTGAAGAAATTTAGAGGACAAAAGAAATGTGTAAAACGTACGATCAAGAACTTTCGACTGGCTGATGAATGACAAAAAACCTTGACGGGCTGCCAGGCTAAAAAAAGATGTCCCTAAAAAATGAGCAGAGGTGGAGTCTCTCTGGTTCTCAGACAGACTTGTATCAAAACATGAGGGATATTACATAATCCAAATCTAAAACCATGATAAGTTTGATAAAAAGCCAATGGTACAATATTATAGCAGTGTTTCTGAAGGAGAAAGAAAATGAAGATGAGGACAAAAATACTATTTTTTAGCTCTGAGTAGCTTATGAAGTGAGCGAGATGCACACTAATTTGATGAGATTTTGTAACTTTGCAGGGAATTTCCACCAGATCTGAGCTCTGTCTGATAGATTTCACTCAAGTCAGTTTGTTTACTCCGAGTTGCTTGACTGATTTGCGTTCCTGCTTCATCTCGGCTCTTTGAATCTACAGCCCGTCACATCAGACAAAGCTTGACTTCTATTCTTACTGGATGCCGGAGCACGGCGCATCAATCAGCGCAGGGCAGATCAAAAGAGACACCAAATGGATGCTGAAATACCAGGGCCTGAATTCACAGTCTGAGAATCCTCTGAGTAAGCTCTTAACTTCAGCAAGGACTCCTGGCTTAGAAATATCTCAGGGTGACTCTGAGCATAAAAAGAGCAGAAACTCTCTCTCTTATCAAATGCACTGACAGCAGTTTGACCTCTTATGTTATTTATGAACCTAAGTTCTGCAAACATTTGAGCTAAATTTTCTGTTACAGTGTAAGTCTTAATTGTGAGGAGCTAAATACCTCACCCTCCTATCTGGTGTTGTTGTGTTGGCTTGCACAGTGGCCACAGTTTAGAGCGTACTTCTCTAATTTCACCATCTTTCTGCAATTTCCTCCTCAGCTTGAGAAACTCAGCAGCCTCTTTGCAGTCCTCCTCACTTATCCTAACGGTTTTTCACCTTCGGAGTTCTCTTACCTGAATAACTTTTGCCTGTACAAAGATCTAATCTGGACTTTTAAAGAAATTTATTTTAAAATGGTAAAATTCTCATACTTCTCATAGAATTTCGTCACTGAGAGCAACTGATTAGACAACAAAGCTTTGCAGGGCCAATTTTCAGACACTCTGTGTTGACGCCAGATCACATACCTGTATCAACAAAACATCATAATTAGCAGGGTCAGGCCTGGAGTCAACAAGGCCGCTTTCAGAGGCCATGATGACAGCTGTTTGGAGGGTGAAAGAGCAGGGCGCCAAACCGCAACATCGTGGAGAGGGACAGAGATCTGGTCAAAGTCAGGCGTCAGTTTTTTTTTTTTTGTGGCGAACAGGTGATGAAAGAGATCATAACGGGGTCTAAACTTTTGCCCCAGTGTGTTCGCTAACCTTCTGAATCCTTCGCTGTCAACCACACAAAACATCTGTCGTTTTATTATGTCTTAATACAAGGTGACCAAATGCTGTCACATGAGCTGCTTGGCCGCTACAGTTTCAAAAATGTCTCTCTGTTCTTGTATCTTCTGCTTGAACAAAATCGACTATTTTTCCCTGCTAGAGCAATTATTTTATACTGTCACAGCTCCAGGACGGTAATGAGACACATTTGCCTCTCAACATCATGAAATTGGAAATACCATAATATCCAATATTTCTGCAACAAAAACCTGGACATGCCAAGATCAAACTAAAAAACAAAATGATTGACAGGTCTAACACGTATTTTTTTACGAGTAGAATCTTTCAAAGTCAACAAAAAGTAAACGCTCCTCATATCAGCATAAAGTCATGAAGGAGGGTACCCACAGGGTTCCAGTTGTTTACTTTTATTTCTGGTTAGGCTTGTTTGAACATGAGTGAGGAGTGTCTAATCAACAACAGCTAATAACTGAGTAAATGTTTTAAATAAATCGCCAAACCAAACTACACTGCCTCGATATTTGTAAAGCAAACCGTGAAGGAAAACGGACAATATCCAACTGATGACACTTTGTCCTTTTTTAAGACTTCTTTCTGCTGCCATTTGTGCATTAAAATGTGTGTGTGTCTGTGAGTTACATATCATTATTGTGTCTCTCATTGTTTATTCTCTCTCATTTTCAGCTGATCAAGCATTTACAGATGTGTCCAAAGAAGACCAGAAGTTTACTGCTTCCAGATGTTATTTGGTAGGTTTATGATTGTGTTGTACTGTAGAGAAACCTCATTAAACATGCAAAAGTTTATATTTTGGTTGCATGTGAGCTGAGCTGAGGTAAAACCTTAAACAAACATGTCATTTATTTAAAACAAAATCCACCTATTTTATGACAACACAGTCACCAGTTGTTTTAACGAGACAGAATAACAGCCTGGGGTCAATAAACATCAAAAAGTGATCTGTTTGAATATCTTATGTGCTCTTGTGTGTTGCTTGTTTTGTAGACGACAGATAAAGAGGCTCCTGGTCTGATCCGGATGCAGTCTCTGGCCTACCTGAGCGGTTTTCCAGCCTCCTTTAAAGAGACGGAGCAGCTGAGGGTCAGATTGCCGTCTGTGATCACCAGCAAGATCAAACAGGTAAAGGAGCAGCTATGATGACCTGATCAAGGTTTTTGTGATCTTTGGGTGTCAGGAGAGTCTGAACTGATGAAAAGATTGGCCTGAGTATTGACTAAATCTGTATCTGGTCCTGATAATATGATTTTATTATTTTAATTTAAATCCTGGGGAGACACTTGGGGGTAGAAATCACATTTATTGCAGAGAAAATTACAGCAGGGGGTGGTTTGACCTCTGTCTGTATGAGTGATTTACAGTTGTGAACAGCAGGGGGCAGCGTTGCACGGTAAATAAACATGAGGCTTGACTTTTTGGCCTTTTTTGAATAACTATATCACCTTCCTGGTGTAGAATAAATCCTCTTTTCTGTGATTTTTAGAAATTGTCAGTAAATAGATAAAAATATGACTTCATCATAACTGAATCTGCCACCAGGGGGAGCCCCCACATGGATGTTGCTACACCATAAATACCACAGAAATTTACCGTATCATATTGTCGTTTTTGATCTGTTAATACGTCCTATTAGCATCAGATCCAAATGTCAAAGCCTCCTTGGAGAGGAGGTTGCACTGTCCTGCTAAATAGAGGCTTTTTCTATTTTAAACAGTTAGGCTCTGATGCGGATAAAGAGCCCGTGTTTAGCTTGGCGGCTGGCAGCTTGTGTATCTAATAATTTTCTCTAATCAGAACTCTGCTTTATATTCTGAGAGGGAGGAATGCCACTAACGAGCGCGGATTACTTTGAAATAATCAAAGAAAACACGGCAGAGAAAACAGAGCGGAGTCACCCTGTCTCACCGACAGACAGACAGGCAGGACGGACATGAGTCAACTGATTGTCCCTTCTTCCGATAATAAACTCACATGGCTGATTAGAATTAATGGGCGGCTGATTAGATAACACCTTTTGTGAGTGCCTTTGTGTGTGTCAAACACAAGACAGAGGCGTTTTACATCTGCTCTGCTGTGTTAGTTGGCTCTTCAGGGGCCTGAAAATAAATTGTCCTTCAGTCAAAGTCCTTAAAACATCCTGTTGCCTTAATTTTGATTGAAACTATTAGTCTGTTCAGATAAAGAAAAGATTCCATTTGGCATAATCACCCGCTCACCATACACCAGAATCTGGGTTTATTGAGGATCTGTTTTGGTGCAGAAACAATGAGCACAGAATAACAATAGAAATATAAAAAGAAATATATGAGTAAGAATGTACCATTTATTTACCAGCCTTCACCGAAAATGCAAACAAATTAATCGTATCAAGTTAAAGCTCTTATGAGGAACTTTTGATTTGTGTCAACTTTGGTGACGCCCTGTGGACAAGACAGGCAAAGTCTCTGACATAAAAATCTTATCCTGCTGGCTTTTGATAGCGTCATTTTATTGTGAATATTTTATGTGGAAATTTTAAATCAGAGCTTTTTCTTGAGCTGCTCAGATATAACTCAACTCAATAACTCAATGGATTTTCTCTGTAGTTGACTGATCAGCCATTACCAGAAACCCTAAAGGTTGGTTTTTCCAAATGAATTGAGAGAACCATTAAAAATTACCTCCATGTTTTTGCCACAGTGTCAACAGGCGGAGCAGAAAAGTCCCTTCCACAGATTTATCTGATATGATGTGTGTGATCTGGTTGTCCCTCTTGCTATTCAGAACTAATCACCGCTGTTATGGGGGTTTTGACCAATCAGAATCAAGGATTAGTGAGAAAGCCGGATAATGAATTAAATGTAATGGCATGAATAAAAAGATTGCAGCTGCTGTGTGTCTGTTCTCAAGTATAAATAGGGGAGGATGGCATCACGGTGAGTTATTTCAAGATTAATGAGAATGAGAATTTTTGATGAATAAAGTCAAATGTTTTCAGGCAAAACACAGAAGAAGACACACATACCTCGAGTACTTATTCCAGTTATGTCTTATTTAATCTCTGAGTATATCACAACAGTCCTTGTGTTATGTAATGCTCCATAGAGTCCATGTAGATATTCACCAGCCTAACTGTGAAAATCTGGAGACTCTTCTGTGTTACTCTTTACGTAACGATGCCGTATGTAAAACTCAGTGAGCACAAACAGGTGATGGAGCAGCTTCAAACTCACTGTAACTCTGTATGTGATGATATGTAGGTTAACAGTGTTTAACCTACATGTCACCATCAAACCCAGTTGTCCCATCGATCCCCGCCTCTGTCTCCAGGTCTTTTGCGTCGTACCCTGGCAGGTCATGTGATAATAACCGGCGGCATTCAGGCTGTAACCTTAGCTGGCGGTGCGGGGGTTAACATAAGAACAACTGTTATGAGTGGCGTGGCGCCAGCCAGCATGCTGAAAGGTCACAAGGATTTGACTGACCTTCCCTGCACTTTTGGACACACCCATCTCATACATGTTTGTTTATGCTTCACATTACCTGTTGTTGCTTTTTACACAGGGAACAATGTAGAAAAGAGGCTTTAAATGGAGGATGTAGTGAAGCGAAGATGATTGTGGGATGTGTGAGTCCAGGAAAAAGAGGGTGGAAAGTGTGTGTGTGTGTTTGGTTGGAGGGCTTCTTGGTAGACAGGCCCACCACACAATGCACAGTTTGGATTTCAAGGTGTTTCCTGGTGTCGCCAGGCCGATTCTGTGAAAGAGGGATGATGTGCATAGTGTGGAAGAAGAGGTTCAGCAGTGAGAGACGGCTGGTATTTATAGCCGGTGTTACAACCAGCGCCATGGTGATGAAAGCTGCCCCACAACCTCGATCACCTGCCCGCTCTGTGCCCTGCTGAGCCCTGCCGTCAGTGTTTTGGGCACAAGCCTGATGATGTATTCATGTTAGCTTGTATTGTATGTGTGAGGATTCTTTGGTTCACCACAAGGTGTCTCGTCTCCATTACCAAGCAAGATTTGAAGGTTTAAGTTACCCTTACAGGATGAGCTACTGTGTAAATATTAAATTAAAGTTTGAGCTCGATACAGTGTGAATTAATTTGTAAACAGTGTTCGTATATAGACTTGATGAAATGAGCTATGCAGCAGCTGCATTAGACATAATATGTGTGGGAGACAAGCTGCAAGTAGCCTTTATTGTAAAATGGTGAACCCTCTGATGTAGTCGTAGTTAGATCAAGCATATAAAACATTAGACATTTGTTTTCAGAGAACCAAAACCAGAACTACTAACTGGTCATGCACATTGTTAGTATTTTTATTATTTTATTTTTATTTACATATCAGTCATATGTTGCGGTCTATAGCACTAGGGTATGGTGTGATGATCACAGCCATAATGCTTCAATGCTCTATTACTCAGATGTAAACAAACATAGATGAGAGTGTGGCATAGTTTGGTTAGCCAGAAAGTGTGTGTGTTAGACTAACTTTTAAAGGGATATTCCTGCGTAAAATTAATTTAGGGTCAAACACACTGTAACACAGAGTTAGACACCCCCCCGAGAGATGAATGCTGCCAACCGCTTGCTTCTCAGTTATACCAACTTTAGTAACGAATGCACAACAGCAATACACAGCGGTCTCAGGAGCCATAAACAAACCTCAACCATAACACCACTCTATAGCCACAAATAATGCTCAGAACAGCACCTAACTTCATCAACAGAACATGTAGGTTCCTAGCCAAAGCACTGGCCACCAAACAGCTTTTTAAGTTTGCCTAATTTCTTAAGCAAAGAGACTAAACACAACTCACCTACTCTCTTTCTTTTTAGTGACCTATAAGAGCAAATAACAATATAAGCAGAGATATGAGGTACTACTTTGTCCGTAGGGGGCGCCAAAATGTGTCTTTTTCAGCTTAGATCTTCCATTTCAACACTTTGACATTTTGATGTTCACTATACACCTGGACGCACGGTTAGCTTTAGGTTCCTGAATTTAGGTCAGTTCATCTAGTTTCTGATTGTCGGACTGAACTCTTGACTTAGTGCCATTACAGCGTCTCCTTCCGTCTGCTGAAAAACATCACTCACCGCAGAATTAATCGGTTTACCCAGAGTATTAACTCAATCATTTCTGCACTGATTACACTTTCTTTTGTCTGTGCAGTCACACACACACACACTAGCCATGGAGACCACAGATTATAACGTAACCACAGTAAAACCCACACGGGACATGTTAATGTGGTGAGGAATAACTTCAGCTGCTGCCCATGGTCTTCCTCTTGTTGTTCCCTCATGCCTTGCATACTGTTTGATACTTCTGACGCAGCTTGTTGTAGTCATGATAAACTAAAACAGATGCACGTTCTCTTCTGTCAAAACTCCTGCATTATCTAGATTGCTTTAAGATGAAGCAATTGTACATTTCCAAATGCAGTTATGATCAAAATCAGAATTCAATGGTGCCTTCTATAGGTGTATGGGCAACCCATGCCCTTAATGCACTTAAGCATCCCCAGACCATTAGTCCATGGGCCCGACAGATGTTTAGTACACTTCAGGGTGGCAAAGGTTCATCATGATTTTTGAAAAGACACGTCTGTAGATTATATTTTTGTATGATAACCTTTCCAGGTGCCCAGCTTAAATATTGGTTATCAGCTTATGAAGTTAACCACCCATTAAGATAAACTCGATTCTTTTGCACTGGTGCAGGGACATTTCTCAAAAGTTTACAATAGACTGTTTAGTATCATTTTAAAGGGGACCCTTGTGGCTTTCATTTAAGCCTTTATGTGTTCACCTTAGACCAACATGGAAGTCACTAGAGCTCTTTAAATCACAAAAAAATCATATTTTCCTGCAATTTTCGCCTACATGATAAACTTTCTTTTGGCCATATATCACCCAGAGACATCAGGGATACAAGAATTACAAACTTGGGACTCATAAGATTCAGAAAATGTGTAACATACCCATACTATCTCTTTATGGGAGGTGACTGTGTGGAGTTTTGAGAAGTCAGAGTTTTAGGCGAGAATCTTGGTTCTGCAGGAAATGTTCAGGGGGCATCTCCCATCTGGGATATTAGACAGAACAGAAAATTGAAAAAAACCCTTAGAATGCATTGATTCTGTACATCATCGATACTGGCTTTTAAATTGTGCTCTGATAACAAATTGAGTGGTCCATTTTTGAGGGAGGATACAGCGTCCATGATTTACAAAAAGAGTGTCGAATTTTGATACATCAGGACAGTTTCCTACTTCTCCTCAGACGAGCCAGAGAAGTTACTGACATTTCTGGGTCATGTTAATGTTGCAGAAACAGACTGTGATCACAGATAGTGTTTTTTTTTTTTTTGGAGTGACTTTGAGCCCATGCTGTGATTTCCCCCACAGAGTAATGTCTGTTGTAAAGCAGTGCAGCCTGAGGGCCCAAAGGTCACAGACATCCAGCGCTGGTTTTTGTCTTTATCCCCTTCGTACAGGAATTTGTCCAGACTCTCTGAGTCTTTTAACGATATATTGTTGATAATTAGTCTTTATTATTTTTTTCATAACTCAGAAAATCAACTATATTATTTTGGAGGTATTTCTCAACCTGATTTTATAAAGCATGACACAACTTTTTTAGTGTTTTGTTGTCACTTCCCCAACGTTTTTTGCAACATGTTCCTGTTGTAAAGTTTTTTCATGATACAAATTTATTTAACTTCACTGTCAACATTTAATGTGTCATCCTTGCACTAATTTCAAATGAATCTGTTTTTAATTAACATTTACACAGCCTCATGATCCGTAGTGTCTTTAAAGTTTGGGCTTTATTGGATTTATTCATACTATCAGTCTTGTGTTGTTTGTGAGTTTTTAGTTGTTTACTCCCCTCAGCAGTCGGGCACATGCCTGTCTGAGGCCACCACACACCTCTGCTTTGTGTGCATGTGTTCGAGCATTATCAGGACTATAAAGAGAGCTATAACAAAGATGAGAAATGTGATCCCCGGCCCGCTGTCTACTGGCTGCTCCCTGCCGGGTTTATAAGACACAGCTAATCCTCCTCACCTAAAAACAGGAGCAGAGAAAAGCGAATGAGATGAGGCGCAGCACGAGTTCATGTGGGATGTTTGGTTCATTTTTGGATGAGGGAGGGTGAGAGGGGGACAGTCTTTTCCTGGCAAGCTTACAGTTTAAAATGATGAGAGAGGCAGGGGCAGATGGTTGTAAAATGGGCAAGGCCAGGGGATTCTCTAGCACATGCATCACACACATACACACCGAGCCCACCAGTGCTTCACATAGCTCTCTCAATTTCAGACGGGGAGCAACTTCCAAGTGACCTCCATGGAGAAAATGACCTCAGCGAAGTTTCCTATCTCTGACTTCTTCTCACATAAACACACAAGCTCAAAGCGTCTTTACTTTGACCATTTTAGCTGCAGGTTCAAAGCTTGTTATCAAATTAATTCTTTCAGACGTCCTCTAGTGATGGACTGATGGTCTATATTCCAGGCTTGGCACTGAGGATGAACCCTGTCCCTTAACACGTGACTTCAACTCTGAGAAATTGCTTTTTAGGAAGTTCCCACAGTGAATTAGGTGGTTTGTTTGTTTGTTTGTTTGATTCACGTGGAGGGGAACTTCTTTTATTTTACAAATGATAGTAAGGCAGCTTCATTCAAGTGGATCAGAGCTTTTTCAAATAAGATTTTGGGCTTGGAAAATGGTGGCAAGTTAAACAAAATTTGCCTCATATCAAGGGATACTTGAGGCTTCATTTTCTCCAATTTCAAGACTAAAACAACTCAAACTTTATTTGGGCTTTGAGCTAAACATCCTCATTGAATGGTCTTCCCCTTGTGCGTCTCTGCTGAGGAATTATAACTCTGTCAAACAATGAACATTTTCCTGTTGTTGTATTTATTCTCTCTACAGTTTGAGCTGTACTCTGAAGCCAGCATCGCCCTGCTCCACCTAAAAACCCCACAGGATTTCACAGATCTGGCCCAGCAAGCCAAAAAGAACCTGACTCTGGACGGGAAAGAGTTAACCATCAACCCTGCCTACTTGTTTTGGGACCTCACGGCCATTTCACAGGTATCACTGGTCCTCTTTACCTCTTAACACTGTTGATGCAATGGTCTTAATTTTTTTTTTTTATTGGAACAACCACATTAGGGCAGCTGGTAGAGTGTGTACAGTTCAGGCAGTTATTACAGCTGTTGGGAAACTTGGGTTTCACACTCTTACCTGGGGACCCCACTGGATCTGGAATGACTCCGCTCCTCTCCGGACCGGCAGGCGAATCGGATACGCAAACAGCGCCCACTGGATCCGATCCGCCGCTGCCATCTGAGAGGAAGCGCAAGCGAGATTGCTGATATTTCTTTCAAGACTGAACGAGCTCTCGCGTGTGTCCGATCGGTGTATATTAACGGCGGTGTATATAAACAGCAGTGTATGTAAACACCAATATCCCACAAACCTGGCCTCTCCTATTATCAAGTTAAGAACAGTTCAATGTTTTGACTTTATTTTATTTTGAAAGTTAACTGGCGTCCAGCAAAAATAGAAGCCTTGTGTATCTGATCCAGCCCCTGGAGCCGATCCGCAGCGGAGCCGGATGGCAGACGGCTTCTGTGGAATGACACTCATTGATTATAAAGTTTGCGTATTTGATCTGCCTTCCGTTCCGGGCCCTGTAGGTTTTAGCCCTTACCGGTTTACCTATTAGTGTTGGAACTCAGAGCTTCAAAAATCCAAACTTTTAAAGTCTTCCCAGTGTTGGATAAACTAGAATGTGTGTTTAGTGTACTCTGATAGATATGACGACAAGTACACTAGAGACTGTGTATTGCTTGAGTCCCTTCAAAATAGATAAACAAGTTGTGTGAATGTCTGTTTAAGTCCTTACAACAAATGGGTGAACCAGAAGTTGTGTGAGTGAGAGTCCTCATAATGATAGTTAAACCAAGTCACTTCAACAATGGGTGAACATTAAAGTTTGTGTCACTTTAAGTCCCCACAAATGTTTCATGAGTTCAAGACCCCACAATTATAGTTTAAACAGAAACTGTGTATCACTTGAGCGCCCTCAATAAAAGCTTAACATGAAAATTTGTGTTAATTTAAGTCCTAACTCGATGTAATCAAAAACTACAAGTCTCCACAATGATGGGTAAACCAGAGAGTGTGTTGTGCTTGTGTCAGTCAACATGAGTGTATGCATCAACTCAAGTCTCCACAGTGATTGATAAACATGACAGTGGGTGAGTTTAAGTCTCCACAATGATGGATGAAATGAAGTCTCTCTGATGTCCTCGAAACCTTTCCATGTTTGTACTTCTTTGGTACCCCCTAATGTTTGTCCCCTCATTAGTCGAAACAGGATGAAGACGTATCTGCCAGCAGATTTGAAGATAATGAAGAGCTCCGCTACTCACTGAGATCTGTGGAGAGGCATGCTCCCTGGGTGCGCCACATTTTTATTGTCACCAACGGGCAGATTCCCTCGTGGCTGAACCTGGATAACCCCAGGGTGACGGTCATCGCACATCAGGTATCCCCTAAAATTATGTACATTTCCTATGTAATAATGCGATGAATTCACCCACAGTATTTGCCTTTATAAAGCACACATTTATAAAGACCCACATCCATCGCATCCCAGCCCAGATAAATGCAGACACGTATACGACTCTCCTACTGTATTATACTCTTGCACTTTTTTGTATTTTTGCACCGTGGGTCTTTTTGATTCATGTGTATGTACCCACACATGGTAGAGATTGACAGTGAAAACCTTGAATTGAATCTTGAATCACACATATTTATGTCACCTGTGCAGTATTGAAATAATATGCTGTTCTTCTTTTACCAGGACATCTTCCAGAACCACAGCCACCTCCCCACTTTCAGCTCCCCTGCCATAGAGACCCACATCCACCGCATCCCAGGGCTCTCCCAAAAGTTCATTTACCTCAACGATGACGTGATGTTTGGTAAAGAAGTGTGGCCCGATGACTTTTACAGCCACTCCAAAGGACAGAAGGTGTGAATGAAACACCCAAAGTGCTCACTAGACGATCTTGCTTATGTGTAAAACAAGCTGACCTTTAACTTTTACTGTCCTTGCATTCTTGCAGGTATATCTCACCTGGCCTGTCCCTAACTGTGCTGAGGGCTGCCCAGGATCCTGGATCAAGGACGGCTACTGCGACAAAGCCTGCAATAACTCCGCCTGCGACTGGGATGGAGGAGACTGCCTTGGTAGAGATCAGCAACATCTTTTCCCTTGTTTTGACAAGCGAAATTCCTCTACTCATGTCTGTTTTATTCCTTGTCTCTGATAGGTGCAGCGGGGAACAGCCGGTTTGCTGCTGGGGTTGGCGGCGGTGGGCCTGGTGGAGCAGGTGGACAGGTGTGGCAGTTTGCGGGCGGTCTAGGAGGTCTTGGCGGTACCTCATACTGTAATCAAGGCTGTGCCAACTCCTGGTTGGCAGACAAGTTTTGTGACCAGGCCTGCAATGTTCTGAACTGTGGTTTTGATGTTGGAGACTGTGGCACAGGTGAGTTAAATGATCACGCATAAATACTCATAGTTTCCAGACAATTTTTTGTAGAGCCTCTGTCTGGTTTCTAAAGCTCCTCATAACCCCAAAATTTACGCAAAAGTCATGCACTAGTTAAAGTCCCCACTATTGCATTAAATCAGAAAGTGTGTGTTTAGGTCCCCACTTTTATACTAAAACAAGAAAGAGTGTAAGTTAAAGTTTTATTGTATTTTAAGCGTCGTTCATTGTATGTGTTTATTTTTGTTCGTAGAGCACTTCAGAGAGCTGTACCATGTGACCCTGCTGAGGAATCAGACCCTGTACACCCTCCCTGTAGGTGAAACCCGTCCGTATTTCAGCTTTGACAAATTTGCCCGCAGAGTCTCTGAGGCCCATGTCAGCGACAACAATGCGGTTCGCCACACTTCTGTCGCCAACAAGTGGAAGACCATCCATCTCCTTCTCCATTCAGGCCACAACGCCACCCAGATCCAGTATAATCTCACTCTGCAGGGAGAAGATGAAACAGAGTTCACTATGAGCTTTACGGTAGCTGTGGATACCCGTGTGCTACCTCAGGCGAACGTTTCACAGGCTTCCAGCAAAGATACAGGCAAAGAGTCAACACCGACCCCGACTCCAGAGCCTGTGTTTCTTTTCTCAGACATTCCTGAGGAGAAACAGGGTCCGAAGGTCCTAAAGAAGCTCCCTGAAGCCTTGATAGAAGTTCCCACCTTAAATGTGTCACTTCTCCCTGCTGCAGTACGAAATGAGCTGCAGAAGCTGGAGGAGAAACTCCTGATTGGTGACATTACTATCAAGGGTTACAACCTCACAAAGGCTGAAATTTTAAAGCCTTATGACACAAATCAGGAGGCTATTACTTCACAAACAGATAATGAAGGTGTCGTCAAAATGAAGGCAAAGCCGTATAAAGACTTGGAAGGAGAGGGATTGGAGGGGAATCAACTTGCCAAAGATGAAGCCAAAATTAGTGACCCAAAAAATCCAATTTTGAAAGAAGAAATGTCCAAGAAAAACGAATCTGTGCAGAAATCAGCTGTTACTCCACTTGTCCCAGTCCATATTGATGATCAACCGATGAAAGACCCTATAACCCCCAAACGTTATAATATTAATGCTGCAATTGAGAGGCCTATAATTTCCAAACTGCTAGGCAGTGTTTCTAAAACTAGGAGTGCAGAAAATCAGGCAGAACCGGCTGATGCTGCCGGTAACGGTCCGGTAGGGAGGAGGCTCCAACACTTCATCTCTTCAGACAGAGGCTTCCTGCCGTGGGAGAGGAGGAAGTTCTTCCAAGAGTTGCTGGAGGTGAAATAAAGCTACAACTTTCACTCCTTTTTCTGCATTTTGATCCTTTTTTAAATATATTTATCTTTTTATGATGACTCGACAGGAGGAGGAGCGTCTGCAGAGAGAGTTGTCGTATCAGACTGATGGTGCCGCAACAGGCCGCAAGTTGCAGGACACTTTTGCCGACTCGCTGCGCTACGTCAACAAGCTGCTCAACAGCCAGTTTGGATTTACGTCCCGTAAAGTCCCCGCACACATGCCTCACATGATCGACCGGCTCATCATGCAGGAGCTGCAGGACACGTGAGCCTCTTACAGAGTCTTTGTCACTCTTTTCAAAGTATATATAAGAAGATGCAACATGTGTAACTGCTCTAATTTTTACCCTCAGATTCCCAAAAGAGTTTGACAAGACATCAGCCCACCGTGTTCGCCACTCAGAGGACATGCAATTCGCCTTTTCCTACTTTTACTTCCTGATGAGTGCTCAGCAGCAGCTCAATGTGTCTGAGGTGTTTGATGAGATCGACACTGACCACTCGGGCGTCTTGTCCGACAGAGAGATAAGAACTCTGGCCACGAGGATTCATGAGCTGCCTCTCAGCCTTCAGGTGAGTCCTGGCTTTGATAAATCTCCTCTCCCTCACTTTAAAACTTTCATTTCTATTTGAGCACTATGTGTTTGGAGAATCGATGGAATATTTCTTATTTCCCTCATAACGTTTAGGACCTAACCGGCCTGGAGCAGATGTTGATAAACTGCTCTAAGTCTCTCCCGACTAACCTGACCCAGCTCCACCTGGTGAACCCAACGCAGGAGGCTTACTATGACCCCAGCATGGTGAGCTGGACTAATTAATTCATGCTTTATCTTGTGTTCCTTGCGTGTTTTTAAAAACTACATCATTGGACTGAAATCCTGCTCTTTTGAAACCACAGCCTCCTGTCACCAAAGGCCTCATTTTGCACTGCAAGCCAATTACAGAGCGCATCCACAAAGCCTTCAAAGACCAGAATAAGTACAAGTAAGAGCCTCAGTCTGTATAACAGCTGTATAAATGTTTAATGCTTTCTCTTACACTGCTGTTAACATGCCTCCTTGTGGACAGGTTTGAGATCATGGGGGAAGAGGAGATAGCTTTCAAGATGGTGCGGACAAATGTGTCTCATGTGGTCGGCCAGTTGGATGACATCAGAAAGAATCCAAGGTAGAAGCGACTCTTCAGTGATCACACTTTTGTTTTACCAAAGATTTCCTTCCTTCAACCAGAGTTGACATTTTTTTTGCCTTTTCCTACCGAACAGGAAGTTCATCTGTCTGAATGATAACATCGACCACAGCCACAAAGATGCCGCCACAGTGAAAGCTGTGCTGAGAGACTTTTACGAGTCCATGTTTCCTCTGCCGTCTCAGTTTGAACTTCCCAGAGAGTATCGCAACAGGTTTCTACACATGGAGGAGCTCCAGGAATGGTAGGAGGAGTTGTCTTTTTTCTGACTTGTACATGGGTAATTAAACCAGATTAAGGCATACCTGCCAACATTTGGGTCCGGGAGAATTTTGCGGCGCGCCGGGCAGTTTTGGGGTGACCTTGTACGGTGGATACGAGCTAATTATGAGAGTATTTGTAATAAGATTGCTCATCCAAATAAGTACAGCTCTCAAATAAGTGAAGCTGCACACTTTTTTGTTTTAACAATAACAAATGGTAATAAAAAGTAATAGCTGTGATATGCCTTGATCTTATTTAGTCCACTAACATTGGTGTTAAGGTCCTCACATGTTTTACATGCTCTCCCGTATGAGTCTCTCTGAATATCTGTGCGTGCAATACAGCACTCTTCTATCTGAGGCTGCGGAAGTGTTCGTTTTGCAACAAACACTGTTTAAATATAGTTTACAGCTTAAACCGACCTGAATACCTGAATACCTGAATAATCCCAAATTTTTAAGTAAAAGTATAGATCCAGTGTCTGTGAGGCTCAGCAGAAACACAGGACAATCTTCGGTTGTCTGCAAACCTGGCAACTTTGGACGAATATAGTGATCCGATTCATGAATGAACGTGGACCATGCAAACTACGGGAGATTCCCGGGAGAAATTACAATATGGGAGGTGGGCAGGAGATAGGTCTGAAATACGGAAGAGTTTCAGGAAAAATGGGAGTGTTGGCAGGTATGGATTAAGGTGAGCTACTACTGAGCATGCAACCGTGATTAAAAGCATAGTTGTGCTTTCGGTCCACCTCTCCAAACTTATAAAAACTTTAAAACTATTGGCTGAATTTGGCCTACATGCATTCTATGTGAATGCATGTGAAATTATACAGATGCAACCTGTTATTTAGTATTTCAGCTCACATCTTCAAAGCAGGAGGACCTTGGCTCGAAATTAAGTATTTATATTTCTAAATGATACAGGCCTGTAGGGGATTCACAATAGGTCAATGTTTGAGCAGGTAGTTAATCCAGCTCTTTTTTTCCTCCGCAGTCTAAGTCAAGAATCTTTGTCTGTCACCGCAGCAGATGGAGTGTTACCAGGTTGGAGTGATGGGAATCTCACAGGGCTTTAGAGGACTTAAGTCAGGGACCCTGCTCCTGAATTCAGGGGCTCCACCTTGAGAAGGCCTTCCTCGCATAGAGACTTTAAAATTAGACCAAGCCGCTTCAGATCAGTTGCTCGCTGTGATGTACTTATTAGATCCTCACATAGCTGCGTCTCTCGTCTCCTTCCACCTCCCTCTTCTGTCTGAGGGTCGGTAAAGTAGCTGGCACATGGCGGCGGGTGATGTCACCTTGTCACCCTGTTGCCCTGCTGCCCTTTGCATACTGCACGTTTTCCTCTTGTTACATAAAAGCACAAGCAACATCTCCAACAGAAAGACATGCCACCTCTGACATTTGACATCCAATCCAGACCCTGCTTTTCTTTGCATCTTTACCTATTAGTGTTTGAGAATATACTACTTAAAATCTGTGTCTCCTCAGGCGGGTGTACCGGGACAAGTTGAAGTTCTGGACGCACTGTGTCCTTGTGACGCTTGTCATCTTCACCGTCATGTCCTTCTTCGCCGAACAGGTCAGTCCTTCCACCCGAGGTCGCACACACTTTATTGACAGATAAAGACGCTCAAAAAATTCTTTCACGCCTCCCCGTTTCCATGATTCACACTTGAGCTATGATTCAGGCCTGTGCTGCCGATATTCCACCCGGGATGTTTCAGGCTCCGATGTCATGCCGGCTTCACAGAAATGACAGACCCCTAGCAGTCCTCTGTGAAACCTCAGACTTTTCTGTCTTTGTTGACACATTTCCACTGTAATTAATATGAACTATCTTCACCAGAAAAGCAAAAATAAATCTAGACGAGCACGCAGAATTTAAAACCCATGATGGAGTTGTCATTGTTCTAAATTTGTCGCCGGAAAGAAACACAAATGTCAGGAATTGTTAAACAAATACTACTCATCCTTGGTATGGCATCCAGAGTTTGAGGGGCACATCCTTAATCCAAAGGTTTCCAGTTTCTCCTCACTGAATCTAAACAAAGGTTAATAGTTGCCGTGACCTTATGAGAATTTCCCCCCAACAACCCAGGGGACCATAGTTACCAGTTAGGCATGTGTCACACTGGTCCAGTGTTTCTGTTGCCACCGAGAAACAGACCTCTGATGTCCTCTTGGCATCACATGCGACCTTCTGTCCCGCTGCCCAGGTTATTAAGATAGAGAAACATGAGTGAGCTTTGTAGAGTTTATATTAAAGAGATCAGCAGTGTCTTCACTCCTGAGGGATGAGGTTTTTGATCTGCTGCCCTTCTAAGATTATCTGTGCTCCTTGTCTCACAAAGGTCTGAGGCGTCCAGGTCCCTTATTAATAAGCAGGACTTCATTTCTGAGAAAGAGCAAAGTATTTATGGAAAGATTTGTCTGAGTGTGATAGAAAATCTAGATTCCCTTTTTTATCTATCTGTTAAAGGAAGCTACAGTTCAGTTTGGTCTTAAAGAAAAACAAAACACAAAGCATACCACAAAATGAATAAAATAGAAAAGCATTTGTACAGGAGTAGTAGGAACTTTTTAACTTGTTATAGATAAACAACACCAAGAAATGCAGAAAAATATGTCAAAAAAAAAAACACAAAATCCCCACTTTACACTCAAGATTGCTTTTTCCTTCCTTCAAAAACTATGGTCACATTGCAAGAACTCAAATTTTAGCCAATATTGCACATTACACTTAAAATAAGTCACATTTATCTAACAAGTCTGGACATAAATATATTATTTTAAATTTAGGCCTGAAAAGTGTATTCCAACTCTGAATGCAAAATTTAGTAAGTATATCTAAGTTTACTGAATTTGTATCACAGCATGTCTCATCGGAAAATGAGACTTGTTAAAACTTCATACTGAAAAACTGCTAAACTGCTGACATGTAAGTAAGTGGCAAGACATGTACAGCTGAATGTCAGTTGCATATAATTAATAAGAGACACCTATGAATGTCCTTGTAAGTGGGAGCAGGTTTAAAGAAAACATCAGAGGGCCAAGGACAGAACCCTGAGGGACTCCACAAGACAGAGAGTCCCATATTTACCGGCTGCAACTGAAAAAGTATACAGATGTATATTGTGATTGTCTGTCGAGTCATTAAAACTGAGCTGTAGCTGAAGCATCGAGTTTGTTTGAGGTTGTTTTGAGGTTTTGTTTTGTTACTTGTAATGTCAACTCTGAAATCAATGTGCCATCACACATATACTCAATAAATATAAAGCAGTCTGCCACATATCGCTCCATTTCAGTCTGTCTACACATACCAGGCTGGATAAAGCCTACTCTAACTGATCCTGTCTCCTGTAAATCACTCATTCTCTTGCTAACAGGCATCATAAAGCTCTCTCAGCTGCAGTGTCTAATTACACCATTACCTCTCCCTACAGCTGATTCTGCTTAAGAGAAAGCTGTTCCCCAGGCGTAGGGTCAACAGGGACAGCAACCCTGAGCGGGTGTGAGAGAGGAAGACTCCCCTCACCTCTCATCCCCCTTTTCTCCTGCTCAGTAGAAGAACCAGGAGAGGAATCAGACCAGGGGGACTGGGTGGAAACAGGACTCTGAAGTCCCACCGACGCTGGTGTTGCATCAGCACGGACTGAGGATACTCATGAGAAATGGTGATGAAACATTTTTCCAGGAGATGATGGATGGGGCTGGCCAATGGAAGGAATGGAAGCCAGAAAGAAGAAACCTGTAGATCCTCTTCTCCTCCACTGGGGGCATGTGGGACTTTGTGCTTCCGCCACAGTTAACACTCACAAAAACAAACACTCCCTCACGCTGCACCACCCGTCTTGTGTCCTGCCCTCACCGAGCCACTGACTGATGTGCTGTTAAAGTGTGAAACACTTGATAGCAGCAGGTCAGGACTCATAAAGTGTGTGTGTGTGTGCGTGTGTTTGTGTTTATTGAGCTTCACGAAAGTTCGACCATAAAACTGACACTCTCTTGTGTTTCAGCTCAAAGGATCTTCAGATTTATCCGTCTCTAGAGGGACAGGAAACAATCTGCATCTTTGTTATGAATTCAGAAAATGCCAAACTAAAGATGGTACAAGCATCTTCATCATATGCTTTGTGCTGCTTTTCTTTGTTTTAAATCATTGGAAATTGAATATATTTGGGATTTTTGATTGTTTGTACAACAGACAAGGACATACTAAGACTTTGCCTTTGGTTTGCTGGGAGTCATGATGGAAATCTTCTATCTAATGATTGCTGATTGGCAAGGAATTGGTACTTGAATTGTGGATATTTTTCCGCTTTTACCGAGCTGACTTTATTTTATTAAAAAATGAGGAAAATTACATGTAGGATAATGCAAATAATTTAAGCATCAGTCGTCATATCTTTCTCTGTTGTATTTAAAACCACAAAAACTTGAAGTGCCTTCATTTTCATTCCTACTCCTTTGAACTTTTTTGTCTCGCATGTTTCTTTTTTTTAAATGTCTGTCACATCACACCCTAATCTGGTGATCTAGACTAAGAATGAATGGGAACTAGGATATTATCATTATTGTCCTCATGTAGTACAGATGTTATTGATTGTTGGAGCAACATCAAAGTATTGCTACAGCTTTCACAGCCTCCTGTATGTGTGTTCCTGTGGGACTCAACGGGCTGGCTACTGTCTGAAATTCAGACCCCCTCAGCATGTCGTGTAACTTATTTTGATTGCATTATTGTGAAGGTAAGCCTGGTGAATGATGCATCTGGAAACGAATGCTACAGAATGTAAACACAGCCTTGGATAATGCTCGTGAGATGTTCAACGTTTTTCTGTCAGTTTTTCAAAGTTCTTTGATATAACTATAAAAAAAAAAGAAGTGATGACTTTGAATGTCAGTGTTGGATGGGTCCATAACGGTACTACTACATGATATGATGATAAATCATGAAGTTCATCAGATTGCATTGATTCAGTGGCTCCTAAAACTGAAATAAATGTGATTTGGTTCTGTCAATATGGTTTCTTATTTATTTTTTGGTCATGTGTGAACATAAATTCAACTTGTTAACTAAATATTCATGGACGGTTTTGTGAAAACATTTCCTAAAATTCTGAAACAGGGCTGACTTTCACCTCACGATTATCATGGCCATGAAATATTGGTGGAAAAATATTTATGGAAAACTTGAAAACAAAAAAATCAGTCAAACTGATGAAAGGCAAGACAGGGAAGGAGCAACAAATCACTTTATATACTTGACTCCAAAAAACAATTACCTTTTATATCATCATCCATTTCTTGTAATACTCAAATTTATGGTTTTGCAGAAAATACTGCCTCATGTGTTTAGGTTCCTTTATTTCCTACATGATAAAGCTTTAATTGTGAAGTATCTCCTGGTAAACTGTAGGTCATGAATTTATAGAAAACTGTTAAAACAACAGGCAGGAAATACAAATTTTCAATTAAACAGAAATTATTGCTTATAATGTTTAGTGTTTATGTAAATCATGGTAGTGCACGATCATTTCTAAAATAGCTCTTGGCATAAATTACAACAAATCACAGCATCTCCCAAGATTATTACAGTTCATCCACAAGGGGGCGTAAATGTGCATATAAAAATCACATGATTTGTTTGGTTTGGATGCCACCATCAAAGTTGTCAGTATTTTACTTGAAATATAAAAGAGTAAAGCAAATGTTTAAAATAGCTCAAGAGAGGGAGAGTTAAGGTTATTGGAATTCTTCTGAGCTCTAGTGCACCCGTAAAATAGTAACACCAAAAATCAATCACGACAATCTGCATGAAAAATAATTCCTTTATTACAATCTTTTCCACTCCTATCTGTTAGTAGAAAGGTGTTTTTCGGTGTTATTGTACAATGCAATATGGAGTCGAAATCAAAAGTCATATTCGATGCATAGTTACATAAGTCAAACGTAAATTATACAAAATCTTTATTTTTAGTCATACTGTAATGTCCATAATCCTGCACAAGAAGAATCTGAAGAAGGAAAAAAAACACATAATTCTTCAAAATAAATCAGAACATTTTTCCTTAATTGTTTTAGTGGCACTAAAGTAGTTTTTCCCTTTTGATCCCGCTGAACCTGAACAATGAGTCTGTCAGATTACAACTCTTGAGTGATGTTAAAAAAATGAATTATGCTCCAACAAATCTCCCAGAACAAAACTGACCCCTCACCCATACATTACATTTTATTGTATCGGTGAAGACATGTCATGAGTGAATGGTAAAAAAAAAACAAAAACATTAATAGTTACCATGGTTGAGTGTGTGTGGTATGGTGCTCAAGTGGAAAACAAAAAAAGACATACAAAGCTGTTTTAAATATTCACAAGTTTAACAGTAATTACAACAAAATATTTAAGGCGTCTTCAGTTGAACTCTGTACAATCACAAATAATTAACATTTAGCCCTTCAGGGAGAAGAACAGAGAAAGCAGAACGAGTCTTGTGTTAATGCTTCATCAATCGACAGCACTCCAAAGGCCGGAGGTGACTTTGTTTAACTTTACAGGACTGGAGGATGAGATGAGAAACAAGAAAATGACAAATATTAAAAGCAAAGTGAGTGTGAGAGAAGCCTTGTAGAAAAACCAGTCGTTGTTTTCAGCACTAACACAGACTTTAACCCCTCCACTAAACCATCAAAACCCTGCCAACCCACATTAAAAACTGCATTGAAATTATGAGGTTTTAAAGGTCATTTTAAAATCTGAATTTTTTTTTTAAGCCCTGATTCACGTCAGATTTCGTCACATTCATTTAATAAATAAAAAGAAAAGATTTAGAAAGTTTTAGACAGGCTCTACATTTAGTTTGGGCAGCTATCAAAGACATTTATCTTTTATTCTTATTTATCTTGTATTCATGTCTCTTAAGTGGTTTGACATCTTAAAGTCGATAAAAATGCTTTGGTATTTGCCCAAGCTGTAAACTACCTGTTAAAGTAATATTTTGGTATAAAGGTTGAACAAGCATGAAAATGTAAAAATCTATTTTTTAACAACATGCACTGAGATTGAAATTTTTAAGACTGAAATTTAAGAACTTATCATCTCCAACAGCCAATGAGGGATTCAAACCTGGAAACTTTTATATATTTTCTTTTTTTTTTTTAACAGATCCATGCTTTTCAAGGCCTTTTTCAGTCCTGGGTGTTTGTTTTTTTTTCTTTTGGTTTGTAGTTTGGTTTTCTTTTTCCATCTGGTGGGTGAGGCAGTTTCATTGAGAAGTGGTCACTTTGTCCAGGCCGCAGTGGCTCGGGGTCGAGGGTCTCTCCTCGTGGTCGTCTGCTTTCAAAAGCGGGGAGAGATCAGCGTCTCCCCCCGCCTCCTCCCGCCGGGCAAGCCGTCAGTCTCTGTGGGTTTGGCTCGGCGGCGTGATGCTGAAGACTCGGATGCGCAGGTGGGAGGCGATCTGGAGGCACACGCCTGTACAGTAGCGTATTAGATCCAGAAGAGAGAAGACCTACAGAAAGACAGAAAGGCTTGAACGTTAAAAAGCTTGATAATACTTGACTACGTTACAACACCATCAACAGTTTGGCTTAGCTTAGGAGGTAGAGCGGTCATCCAATAACTGGAAGGTTGGCGGTTCAATTCCCCCTATCCCTAGTCTGTCTGTTGTGTCCTTGGGCATGACACTTAACCCACTTTGCTCCCAGTGTGTGTCCTCCACTGGTGTATGAATGTGAGTGTTGTGTGGTGGTGGTCAGAGAGGCTGTGGCACAAACTAGCAGCCATGTTTCCGTCAGTCTGCCCCAGGGCAGCTGTGACAACTAAGGTAGTTTACCACCACCAAGGTGTGACTGTGTAAGTGAATGAATGATGAAGCCAATGTGAAGGGCTTTGAGGGTCTCTGATAAAGTGCCATATGAAATTATTATTATAAAAAGGTTTGTTTGTTTTTAAGAGAAGAGTCGCAAGTAAGTGGATGTAAAATCGACCCTGTCTGCAGAAGTTAACAGCCTAGCTTCTGAGGGCATCTTCATGTAATACACCTATAACTTACAAGTGCCTTAGACTGAATTATTTAGATCCTAAATTACAGAAATAAATGCAAACAGCTAAAATAAAACGGTGACAATATTTCAAATACTCGATATACTCGCACCTCCTGGAAGACATGACAGAGTTTTCAAAACCACTGTACCGCTGCATGACATTTGGGCCTGACAGACATGGTGGACCCTTATACCCTTTGTTTTCCACTTCATTCTTCTGACCTTTTCTCAGGCATGTCATAACTGACATATCTAAGACAGTTCCTATAGATTCAAGTGTTTCAGATTGTAAAACCAAAGAAATCTGCAACTTGAGCAAAGATCTTATCAGCTATGATAAGTGAAAACACATATTCTGGTTAAAGGACTCGCCCCACATTATTTTTGAAGGAAAAAAGCAGCACAATGAGTGTGATTTACGGCTGACTACGCTCCTGCAGCTAACACCTGAATCACTGACACAATGAGTCTGTTGACTGACAGCAATTGAAACACATGCAGACGTCTGATAGGCCAGAATAAACTGAGAACAGGTTTGGGTGTGGATGCTCTCTAAGTCTGCAGCACTGTCACCTTCAATCTGCCCTCTCACTAAATGTTGCTTCCTGCATATCAGCCAACAAAACACCTGAACTATCAATCCTTTCATCGAGTGCAAATAGAGAGTATGACTTCATATTTTGTATTGTCTTTTGAGAGTTAATGCAGCAGATTCTGTCTGTGTAAAACAAACAGTACAGTTAAAAAGGAAAATATATGGTTGATTTGGTGTCAGATTTGTTTTTAATTTTTGTCGTTTGATACCAAAGCTAAGAAGTATTAAATCTCAATTAGAGCAAGATTTCACTGTGGGGTTTCGTCTTCAGTCATTCCAACAGTCTTAAATAAACTGTGACCTGAACCTTGTACCTGAACCTTGTACGGCTGTTATTAGTCTCTGATTAGACGGCGAGAGTGAAAACCAGCAGAATCCAAAGTCTCAGACTAAAATCCTTTTTTATCTCTGTACATAAAAGACTCAAGTATTTCTTCCTTCGAGTCATCAAGACTCACCTGCAGAGCTGGTTTTTGCAGCTTCTCTCCACACCTTTTTTAACTAACTGAGTTGCCGTTTGAGGAGAAGCTCTTACAGGGTGCAGGCGTGCCAAGAAAAGTATAGGTGACATTGAGTTTGAGATGCTCTGTCAGTTAAACATCCTTGAAGCTACTTTAGCTTCTGCGTTTATAGGTGAAGTCATGTGTGTAGTCTCATGGGGAATCAATGCACCATTTGCATAACACAGTGCATTTTCACCTGCAACATCTTTATAACTTATGGAAATAAAAATCTAGTTTTTGGATATCTCTGTAAGAAGTTAGAGTGGGTTACTCAGTCACAGTGGGCAATTACACCTCCTCATATAAACTCCTGGTCCGTGGAGTTCCTCAGGGCTATGTTCTAGGCCCAGTTTTGTTTACCCTGTACCTACTTCCTTGGCCATTTCTTACCACTGTTATGCGGATGACATTCAGCGACATATTTCATTCACACCCAAACATGTCACCAGTTTGTCCAACCTTCTGTATTGCGTCAGTGTAACTGATAACTGGATGGCAGCTAACTACTTACAACTGAACACTGACAAGACAGCAGTGCTCATATCTGCACCACACCACTTTGGGGCAACTGTATCACAAAATCTGTCAGCCACTGTTAAATCTGCGCTCTGCAATCTCTGAGTTTCATTTGGCCTTTGTGCCTCGATCATCATGTTAGTGGTCTAGTTAGTTCTAGTTAGTGCTAAATTGTTAATACTATTATTGATTTTTTAAATGATATCATTACTTTCTTTTAAATGTTGTTTTTACATCATAAACTTCTTTGTAAAGCACTTCGTGACCTCTGTCCTTGAAAGGTGCTACATAAATACACTTAATTTGATTGCTCAACAATAACTGTTATCCGACACTCACCATGGCGATCCAGAGAACTATATGCTCGTCAATAAAGCTGTTGAAGTATTGGTTGAGGAAGAGGAGTCCAGGACCTATAAAGGCCGTGTCAGGGAGGTGCAGCTCACTCTTTGTCATGTGTGCAACCTAGAGCAATGTAGGGATACAAACAAGGAGAAATAAACATACATAAAACACTGCTACTGGAATAAAGCAACATGGTATTAAAAACGTCTAAAATATTAGTTCACTGTTAACACCTGAGTGTATATGACAGGATTAAGGATAGATACATTTCAGAGTTGTGTACGTTTGTTAAGTTTGATTAAAGTTACAATCCATAAACAAAATTCCAAATACAGGGCTCGACAGTGCGACTATTTCACTCACATTTGCGATTAAAAATAGATGTGTGCGAATTGTAAAATGTATTTAGGGGCACATGTGCGCTTCAAAAAAATCAGCTGAGGCAACAAATGTATTCTCATGTAAATACCGCGGTGAAGTTAGTTTAGGTTGGATATTCGACAGACATTCACTGCAGATCTACCGATGTCTTCTCACTCTCCATAACCGAGAGCAACAGCAGCGCAGTTAAATCTACTCAACACCCTCACTGTCAACGTCAGGTGTTGAATAAGGGACCATCAATAAATTATTGGTTGATGTTCTCAAAAAAAGGCTGTTTTTCTTCAATAACTTCCATGTCATGTGACCAATTGACCTAATATTGATTTCAATAAATAATACTTATGTTGACCGATAAGACAAACATTATTTGATCAATTTTTACTGTGCCTCTAAAGTTCTTTGTGTGCTCCTTACTTTTTCAACTTAGGAGCACATGTGCTCCTTGTGAAAGAAGTTAGTGTCAAGCCCTGAAATAGAACTTTTTTTTTCTTAATGTCAGGATTGATCTGCATGGATGATTTTCTTAGTGGAAAAGTCCACCAATTCTTAACATTTCTAGTAACAATGCAATATGTGTACTTTTTAATTTGTGGCATTTCTCTAACAGCAGTTCCTGGAAACTCAATGAGTTTATGACACATGAAGTGCAGAATGATGCTATCCTTCAGAAATGGCACCATAAAAGACAGAACAATGCACATTTGTTTGGCTGTGATTTAAACAGTTGCACAGAGTTTTTGCAGTAGCATCAAACCACACATGCTGCTACCACGGTAACCACTAGAGCTGGGATATCATTGAGAAGAACTTGAACGTACCACTAGCTTGTTGGAGATCTTGGAGATGACCATGCCAAAGGCGAGAAGGTACAGGCAGGGGTGGTGCTCAAACAGCTGGCTTGATGACTTCTTGAAAATGATGAAGGCCAGGGTGAGGAAGAGGCCAACGTGCAAACCAGGAGTCAACACACTGGTGTCCTGCATAGAGAAACTTTGTTAGTTATAATCCACCATGTAAGCTAATTTCATACAGTGATCCTCAGTGAGAACTTACAGCCACAGTGGAGCCGTTTTTGCCAACACCTCCATTCAAAATGACATGGAAGTAGTTGTAGCACGAGTAGAGGGCTCCTCCAATGATGCCCATAATGGGGAAGGCGTACAGTGGCACTCCTAAGACGGGTAACTACGGAAACACGTGAAGGTCAAACTTGTGTTGAGACACTTTTAGAAAAAGAGCTAACATTGAAGCTGCAGGCATGCAGAGCGTGATGGGAGGGCAAAGCATTACAAAATGTGCGCGACATCAGCTTTTTTTTTGAGCCAGATCATGTCTAATAAATGACCTGTTGCCATGGCGTCAGCTACCCATATTTACCTTTTCACTTGTCTCAAGTGATGTTAAGTGAAGCCTCCAAAGGCAGCACAGAGTAAAAGTAAAACACAAAGTCTATTTTAAGACTAGGAGGACGACTAAAACTTAGAACTTTGAAGTGTTGAGTGTAATAAAAGGGGGCTTTTCACTCAGGGTGACATGAAAGTGTTCCTGTGTGTATTCATTTCAACAGAAAATATGCAATTCTCAGTTACCGTTGATTGCCAAAGGCTAACGCCGCCGAAAGCTGTCATCAAATACATGATCATGATGGCAAACTGCACCTCTGTCACATCAATCCTGTGAGGAAAGAAGCAGGAAAGATTAAAATAAACCTCGGTATAAAAGGGTTAGAGATTATAAATTAACACACACAGCATCAGTTTTATTTTTAGCGACTGATTATGTAACTTACAGGCCAAAGCGGAGGGTCCCAGACACATAGGTCTGCCAGTGAGCGCAGAAGAACATAAACATGCCGATGAAACCACAGAAGAAAATCCAGTCTGGGTATCTTCCTATCCCACAAGAAATACACGTTCCCACAGCAACAAATACTGGAGAAATACAGAAAAGAAAATCACAGGTGAGTGTAAATACAAAAAATTGGAGGAAGTCATTAGGTTCAGTTTTGTTGTGCAGGGAGCCGTGAGGTCACCTGTGGAGACGGCATCACAGCCGTGGTCAAAGAGCTCCCCGAGCGGTGAGCTGCTGTTTGTCCTCCTTGCCTGTTTCCCATCGATGGCGTCCAGAGACTGGTAGATGAAGAGGCCCAGAGCGCTCATGATGAAAGCCCACGATGGAGCCTGGAGAGGAAGAGAGGGACTTCATTTAGTCATTTTATCTCATGAAAAAAACCACAGCGCGGTACTTTGTGGCAGCACAGTGCATTTGAGTTTAGATGTGCGTGATTTAATAACTGTGCAGCATCACTTTAGTCACCACCAGAATTACTAATTATTTAAACAAATCATAAATCTTTTCATTGTTGCTGACCTGGGGAACCAAGAACCATCCTGGATGTTGCTGCAGTGCTTTATTCCTCTGCTATTTGGTTGTATTTTGATCAATTGTTAAAGTTTTGAATAAACTATATCTGGTCTAAAACTCTCTCTAGAGGAGCAATGTGAAACCAGTACAGGTATGCTAAGTTTTGACAAATTTCTTCTTTTTAGACTTGTTGGAGTGCAAGTCCTCTTAGCTACATGCCACCAGTGTGCAACTAATACAATATACTGTCAGCAGTAAAGGAGTATATGTTCATTGTCTTTAATATGTACTAAAATAATGGTTATGTTTGGCATCACAGTAAAAACATGGAAGTAATTTAGTCATAGCAGGTGACTAGCCTGTTAGCCTAGCCTCTGTAGCCAGTCAAAGGCTGCAGATGAACTATGATCCTACATTACATTAGTGCATGCAGTTTAACATCTCTGCCAATCATGAGAGATAAACCTATACTGAAAGCTAAAGGTATTTATTTCTTTAAGAGGAATGTTTCAATGCAATCTATGATGCTGCTCCCATCTAACCTCCCGGGTATTTACTTTCTGTCAGAGCAACTGCTTTAAAACATGAAGCTTTAAACTATGAGCTTGTTGTGGCATGCCCAGCCACACCCACAGGTTGTGCTCTACACAAACACTGTCATAGTTTGCTCATTTCATTCTACGACTGTAGGTCGTCACTTGATTTTCACTGTCTTATAATGTGTTTGTATATTAATTTGAGGCTCACTGACTTGTTGCAGCCGTTTGGAGGTTTTTAGTGTATGTTTTCATTAGTGTATAGATTTAGATGCAGATGTTTGTGAGTGTTTAAAAGTTTTAACTGTATTTTTATTGTATTTGTGATTGGAGGCCTTGTACTTTGTGTATTTATGTGCACTGCAAATAAGGAGAATGAGGGATTCCTGCTGACTGGAGTGACTCAGTTCCTCTTACTAGGGTGAAGGTTAGAGACCATCTGGACATGAGAGTTAGCCAACACTGTGTGTTTACCACTACAATGTGAGTGTGTTCTTGTCTGACAAAGATAGTCTTGTGTTTCCTGAAAGATCAAGAATCCCACGCTGTCCTAAATATTCAGTGACCCTGCTGTTTTCTTCTAAAATCTGTGTCCCAAATGCCTCATGGACCTGTGTGGACAGAGGTCGCTTGTTCACGGTTATCACAAAGGTTATTCTAGGAAAATCCAACATGTTTCCCCCTAAGTACGTGTGATTGCGTAAGCATGGTTATTTCATACCTCTACAGACCAAAAAAAAAAAAAAAAGACTGAATGAAAGTATTTGGCTCTGAATACTTCATAACAAAAATTGTAATGCTTCTACACTTGTGGAATTTGACAGTAACAGCATGAATGCTTGGACTGTGGACTCAGTTGCGCTGCTCTGATAGCTGGTTGAGCAAAGGTGTAAATCTGATTAACACACACGCCTATCTTTCTTCCTGCTGGAGCCACAGTGAACCTGGTGAAACAAATTAAACGGACCAAAGGTCAACTGTTAGTTTGAGAGCCTATTAGTGTATTGAAGGATTAGGAATATGTACCTAAAATTATATAATAGGGTACAGCAGAGTTTTCCCACATCAAGAAAGACGTCCAGTCAACTTTTTAATGTTAACAGGAGGAAGAAGTAGTATTGGACCCTTTGCATAACTACTAATTTATAAACACCATTTGTCCCTCATGTGAATAATCAAAATATAAACAGATAAAAGTGACATTTTCTTTTAAATTGCTATGCTTTGCAACAACATCTCTGCATCACGTGAACCTGACCAAACAACAACCCGGCAAAGCAGTCAACTTTCTTAAAACGTCGGCATAAATCTACATGACGGACGGGGGGCGATGTCACACATAATCCGATTAAAATTCTGACAATTTAAGGTGTCCTCACTTAAATCAGGCCATACAAGCGTGATACCTTATGATTCCATATAGTTTATTGATTATTCTGATACAGAGATCAATTCGGCATCAACACTTATTTAAAAAACCTGGGTATATTTTTAGGAAATGCCGACTTTCAGGGATAAATTCCCATGTCCCAAAATACCCTGCCGTGGGCGTCAGCGAGCTTGCATGACCCCGTTAAGAAAAGGGGGATGTTTTTATATTAAAGTAATCTGTGAAATGTAAACGTATGCCGAATTAATTGAGAGATTCTGTTGACTTGGAAAATGTTAAAGGACATAACATGTGCGAGGGTACAAGAGGCATATTGGCTACGGGACTCCGACTTACGCAATTCATGAATGGGGATTTCGCGTTCTCTCCATACCAGTAACGGGCACGTAATTGGGGCTAACCTCCGTGTAGAAACTTTGGCCAAGGTCGGTTTACTTACCTCCTCCGTTGCTGAGGGACAGTAATACACAAGCACCATCGTGGAGATGATATTGACAATCAGTCCCACTATAGTTAGAGTGTTTGGTGCGACCCATGTCGGAGTTTGCTGGATGAGCCAGTTCCAGTAGATTTGACACGGTGGCTCAAACAGGGATCGACCAGACGCGCTGTATTTATGCTCCTCCAGCCGCTTAAGTTGAGCGGGTGACAGTGGCTCTGGCCACAAGAAATGTGGCATTGTGTTCCTGAAGAGTCAGTCCTCCAAGTCCCGTTACAAATCTCCCGAATGCTGCCGGGTAGTGGTAGAACGAGGCTTTCTACTCTCCTCCGGAAAATAGCGGCTCATTTGGCATTTATAGGTGACTAGCTGCCATTTTCACAGCGGAACCAAGTGTTGTCGGTAGACTGATCGACTCTTGTCTGGGCCGGAAGCGACTGTCCGGAAGGGAATCATACAGCGGAGCGGGAAGTTTAAATGTCAAAATAAGCTGACTCGGAGACGACTAATTTGGTATGATATTTTTTTTCTGTTTTAATGTTGTCGGTTATTTCGTCTCTGATAATTTATATTGAAAAATATATATATTTAAAAAAGTCTGGATGATACATCTAACGTAACTGATAAACAACAAAAACTGAGAGGCTTCTTTCAGATTTAATTTGTATGTACATAAATTACATTTAAGTATGTCTGGGTAGTACAGTAAATTTTAAAATAGGCTAATATTTTTGTATTTTAGGGGAAGGGAAATGAAAACAGTAGCGTTTTCATAATTCAAATCAAATCTTATTTATATAGCGCCAATTCACAACAGTTGTCTTCCCAAGACACTTTCCAAAGAACAAGAGCAGGTCTAGACCACGCTCATTGATTGATAAATTATCAAGACCGAACCTAAGATGGGATTTGGCCCATCTCATCTAACATGAGTAACAGTGGCAAGAAAAAACTTCCTTTTAACGGGCAGAAACCTTGGGTAGGACCAGACTCATGCGAGACAGCCACCAGGCCGCTGCTGGGTTGGGGAGGAATACAGAGAGATAAGGGGAGACAGAGACGAGTGGAGAGAGGGCAGAACAACAACAGCTCATGAAATGGTGAAACAAAATGAATTCAGTTTACAGGGTTAGGAAATAAGTAATTATGGACAATGTTGAATAATTTAATGTGAAGCAGTCAGCAGGCCTAATAGTGGTTAATTCTAGTTTTATGTTATTAATGCCGGTGAGGCTGATGTTCATAATTAGCTGTCTCCTTTTCTTCTGACAATTTCAAATCCATTAGTTTAAATATTCCAACTTTTCCCAATGTTTTAATTTAAGTAATTTATTTTTATTTTTATTTATTTAACCAGGTAAGAACCCGTTGAGATCAAGATCTCATTTACAAGAGTGACAGCACACATCACAATAATAAATAATAATAATAAAGAAGAAGAAAATGGCCACATCAATCCAAATGTCTTTACTTATTTTATGAGTAAAAACTATGATATGATAACAAAAGCACCAAGCAGACATGTCATTAGAGTTTTATTTACTTCATTTTCTGATGATATTGGCTTGATAATCATAAGAACTGCAAAAGCACAAAAACAAGTACGCAACCTCACTTTCATAAGGGTTAAAACACTGTGTAAAATTTTGATAAAAAATAGATTTTGATAGTGTGCAAATCACTAAAGCTTGTATTTAGTAGAAAAAAAGTTCATTTTGGACAACTGCTGTAATGTAATGCTCTGCTCTGTAATGAAACACATTTCTTAACTAACAAGGTCAATTTGCAACAGATTAGTGACATAAATGGGTATTAAAAGGGCACACCAGAGAGCCTGTGTCTCTCAGAAATGAGGATAGGAGACCATTACTGAAGAGGTGAGATCTGGTGGCACTGGATAAAAACAGACATGACTCTGTACTTGAAATCTCTGCATGGGCTTTAAATCACATCTTAAAATCATTGTGTATGGACAGTTTGCTGCTATATCCACAAATGTAGGACAGACTGTACCATCATCTATTATGGACTGAAGTGAGGTGAAAACTTTGCAGAGGACTGTCAAAGTGACTGACAAAATTTGACATTTGTTTTGGAAATCATGGACCTTGAAGAGGCCCACCTATTTAAAGTGTGCTCTTAGTTCAATATAGTTGCATAGGAAAAATTCCCCAACATTTAATTACAGATTTAATCTGCATTATTCAGTACCTTTAAAACAGAAAAAGCACAAGTATTTTCTTTTTGTATGTTAATTTTATTGCAATTCATGGGTGATAATTACAAAGGCATGCGCTTGAATGGGCATCAATGAAACCTCAAGTCCAATATGAATCCAAAAAGCATAACTTTGGTATGCAGAATATGGACTATGTGTCCATTCCTTTCTTATTAGACATGAAAACCTACACAGAGTAATGGGTGAGATGAACTTAAATCAATATGAGTTTCTTTGATATATCCAAGATATGTGCTTATTTCACCTTTGTTGTTCACTGTTTTTAATTCCCGACACCTCACAAACACCAATCCTTAGTTTATACATTCCTTTTTCTTTTATAACCTCCTGAAATTAATTATTACTTTTAACAGACACTCCCAGCTATAAACATGTAAATACTGTATTTTGTGTCACTGAGTATGAGTTTTTGCACACAACATGTATTCATTAAAGAGAGAACCAAAACACTGCTGACATGCGTCTGAGCTGAATCAGTCTGAAAACACAAGTGGGTGACAAAAGGGTGGATTTTTTTTCTATGTTTACTAGCTCCAAAACTGCACAGCATGCCACACCACAGAACAGTACACCCCTCCCCCACACCCACATGCCCCGTCATCATCCTCCGGTTCCATCCTCAGGCTGCTAACCTCAGTAGGTGAGGGAAAAGGGTCAATTTATGGGGCGGATGTCTGCAAAGCTAAAGTGTCTCATTGCACTCAATCCAATTTTACTTCTCCTGCTCGACAATCTTATGCTCGTTCATGTACTTGTCGATCAGGTGTAGGGGCACTCCGCGTTGCATGAGTTCGTAGAAGGTGAAGCCTCCTGAGGGGCAAGAGGAAAAAAAAACTCTGTTACAATATTGTTGAGAGAAGCAGATGTGGAGAGAGGGAAAGAGATAGTAAGCTAGAGAGCAGGAGGAAAACAGAATATGAGAAAGGGAGACCACAGTACTGGAAAGTCAGTGAAAAGAGGAGAGTTGAAGGGAGTAGCTCATAATGCACATTCAGTTTGTGAATCCACATCTGCTCAGGCTTGCAGCAGCAAAGTTTTTTTCTACTAACAACAATCCAGGGCCAATGTTTTGACAAATTAGACACAATTAAGGCATACACTGTCTTCTACACTATGACTATCTAGATACTTAACTTGTACTACAACCAAATAATGTATTAGAAGCAATGGCTGTCACTCAAAATTTACCTATGCAGTATTATCAGTGAGTGTATTCAAACACTATTCAATGCTACCAAGAGCCAGATATTTAAATGTACAGGTTTTTTTTATATTGTTTAATGTCTTTGTGATTAATGTACAAAAGCTGTAGTCTACAATCAGTGTTAACCAGGATGGGGCTTGTTTGAACTCTAAGCTCATGGGAGGAGTATTTAGCTGATTATAAAACAGACTGAAATTGAAAGTCACACCTCTCTCTTAGCAACTAAAGGAAAGAAGCCTATACTATTGTCTTTAAATTAGTGGCAGCTGAATACAGCCAGCATTAGTTAAACGAATATATCTATTAGATTTAGAGTTTGTTTACCTGAAGCTGATTATATGGTTGGATAACACATAAAAACTTATGCTAGCCTATTTAAAATAACATAGCCCACATACCAGGTATAATTCTTAAAAGTGCTGAATCATCTTTTCTTTAAAATACATGTTAAATCTGTTGCTGCTTCACCATCTACCCACTGGTTTATGATGTGACGTGGACCTCAGCTATTTCTAATTTATAGCACAAAATCTATATTCAATATTTCAACAAAGACAGTCACCGTCAATACTGGTACACTGCCACAGCCCCACTGCTATTCAGAGGTCACCTCTTAGGGTTGGAAAACAAAGAATTCCATGTGGATCCAAAAAAATCCCTGATGACTACCAAAGTATGCTAGTACTGGAGTGTGAGTATCGAGCTCCACAGAATAAAAATAACCTTGTGAATGCAATATTCTTAACAGTTTTAGGTAAAGAAGTAGTTTATGGAAATGTGCTATAAACTTTGACAGCATACGTATGTAAACGTGCTTTTAAGTTTCTTATTTAAGAAAACTTGCATACTCCACTGCAAGTTGGCCATGGCATACAACAGGAGCCAGTCTGTCTCATATAATGCAAAGAAACCCCATCAACAGGTCCCAAAAAGACACATATTCAGAGTTAGTATACTTTGGATTCAATACTGGTTCATTTAGCAGCAAAAAAAAAGCCTTTTAAATGTCATTTCAACAAGCATCAAACTCCGTCCCAGGCTCCACAGAGGCTACTCTGGATTTCTCAGCAAGTGTTAGCAGGCTGACCAAACCTTTTACTCACCTTTACTTTGAGGAGCAGTCTTTGAAATCACACCATACCAAAAAAAAATATGGCAGTCAAATATAACGTTCAAAACCGGGTTATTAAATTCAGCCAGCTGAGCAGAACTGAGAATAATTTGTGCAGAAGCTGTCATGCGGGCCTGGTTTCATTGTTTCATTAATGCCAGATCTTCTCCTGTTTTTTCCCTTTTTTTTTCTTTTTTTTTAAAATTTAAATCTCTGGGTCTGACGAAGAGAAGCAGACTTTTTATCAAGAAAAGCGAGGTTACAAGCTGGCTGAAAGATGCATAATGAATGACATAAGCTTCATATGCCGAAACCATATGAAAGCTTACCTTGTATGAGAACATACATTCACATTTCTTGAGTTTGGACTGGGGGAGAAAAAGAGAAGAGGGGTTAACATAATGTTTAAATGGGGTTATATGTGTGTACCAGGGAAAACAGTTGAATTATTACTGATCTCTTTTATATGAGGAGTTAACTGAGTGGCACTGGAATCTGTGGAGAGAAGTTTAAGACAACACAGAAACACCACAGACCTAAGTGTTAAGACTGTGTGCTAAGGTGGTGTGTAGTGATGATGAACATGATGGCTGGAACATGGGAGGGATAGACCTGTGCATGTGGTGGTAATGGAAAATAGTCATCAGATATTATGTGCACTGCACACAATGATCAGATTAATGTAATGTCACTATTACTGTGTATTTATTTTGAAAATGGTGTCTATGAGTCAATTACACAAGCTGTTCATAAAGATATATTTAGCCAAGTTATGACACAATAGGAGACCCATGAATGATAAAGTGAAACAGGTTACGCCATATAGACTTTTCCATATAGAAACTTGTTACAAAATTGCTATAGCCAATAACTGCCCAAAGTGACTGATTTCCAAGTCAAACAGAAATTTAAACTTTGACTCCCAATTGGTATTGGTGTGAGACCCTCAAAAAATAGTCAAAATTGAGCATAATTTAATTATCACAACTATATACAGGATCAAAGAGTCTGTGTAGTTTGCTGAGGGTATCTAAGTCTTACTTGCTGGAGAACTTCCAAACACTTGTGCTGGTAACTCATCTGAGCCATTCATAAGCTTGTTTGTATTTATTAACAACTGGTTAGCATTAAAATAGTAGGCTATCGCAGTAGCCACTGACTAAAGCGAACAGCAGATACACAACATGAGCCCAGCATTTTTGGCCAAAAACAATAAAAAATAGTGATAATTTGGAAATTCCGGTGCTAACTAGCAAGGTGAATTTTAATTATTTAATCAACTGAATGTGTTAAAGTTAGCAGGCTAACAGTCAGTTTTCTTATATAAAAGAATATAAAACACAATAAATTCTATTGTTCAGGCTGTGCTTTTAGATTACATTTTATCTTATGTTAACATCAACTAAAACATTAGCCCTGTTCGTCCAATAACAGTAGGCAGGTTAGCATAATCAGATAAATTACACATTCAAAAGAAAACTAACTAATCCGAATGATTTATCAATGCACGGGAAATGGCTTTTAGGCAATTAAAACTTACATAATGGTAATTGTTAGTTGATTTTAACCTACTGTTGAGCCAAAAAGTTATGACCGAATTACTGTTCTCAAAGGTGATTACAAAGATTTTTTCTTCGGAAATTTTCTAATCGTCTACTAGCCAGGAAGTTCTTGTAGCCCTGAAGCCCCTACTCATTTAAAATTTGTAAAATAGCCAGTCTATGAACAGCTGGTGTAACCTGACCCATGTACTTACATGTCCATGGCTTATGTGGTCAGCCCTTCAGTAGACTGTAACACAAGTCAAACCCTTAAGTACCTCAGTGAAGTTGGTTTCCCAAAGTCGACTTTTCCTCTCATTTCGAAGCAGTTTTAACAGAGGAGATACAGCAGGAACACTACCAAGAAGTAGTACCAAGGACATTATAAAATGAAACTACTTGGGCTTTGGGAAACCAGATTCAGACACAGAGCTTGCCCTTTGGTCTGCACTGACCTTTAACCTCCAGCTTACAGTCCACTTGAGCCTCTCCCAGGTCATTGATGGCCTTGCAGGTGTACATGCCACCATCATAGGGGCTGGGCTTCCTGATCTCCAGAGTGCATACTCCCTGGTTGCTAAACATACGGTAGCGTGGGTCGTCAAGGATGATGATCTTATTCTTCATCCAGATCACTTTGGGCTGCAGTCAGACAGCAGAGGCATCAACAGAATGACAACATTAATTCAGCAGACAAACATCCCTTTATCTTTACTGTTAAAGTCCATGCTTTTGTAACAGTTTCTTGGATCAATAAAAGAGTTTGCCGTTTTGACCGTCGTTTTCATTAATTATAATTACTCACCAAAGTAACTGCTGAGATATAAAAACCACAACCATCCCCAATGTTCTCCTACATCAGAATCTTTTAATTTCTTTCAAATTTTGTTATTTATTGTCTCTTTTTTTTAGAAAAGTACTTATCATACTGTGATTCAAACTGTGAGGATTTTGAAATACATAATTTGATGTTTTGTTTAAATGTAGAAATGCATACAGAGGCAAGAATAACCATTAGTCCATTCATTCCCACAGGACACTATATGATAAACTGTTATTTTTGGTCAAATAGGCAGGGAATCAGGATTATAATACAACATTATTATCATCATACACTGTATATTTACCTGGACTGTATAATGTTTAATCTATATTTTACCTCTGGTCCTCCCACCTACCCTTGGGTTGGCACGAACACTACAATTGAGAGTAGTATTGTAACCGGCGATGGCAAAAGTGTTGATCAGCGGCTGCGTGAACTTTGGCGCCTCCTTGAAGTCGTGGTCATTGAAGTCGTGTGTTTTCACCTGCAAGCCTGTGGGGGTAAGGGTAAAGGAATGGGGTTGTGCATGATACTGGTGCTGTGCATGAGCGGTATCATGTGGGAGAGTCCCTATGTGATGAGGGAAAGACAATACGATTTGGTTTATCATCGGCTGAGTATACAACACCACTGTTCAAGGGTCTGTCAGTCATAGCCCGACCCCTGTTAGCTTTCAGAGTGAGGCTGTAAACTCAGGCTCACTTAAGGGTGGAAAACATCACTGACAGTACCTTTCAGATAACACCTGTGGAAGATATGGTGAGAAAATAAACAGCAATTTAACAGACTTCCCAACATGTGAACTCTGTGATTTGTTCCAAAGTTATTCTTTGGAAACATTTTCCCTCATCATTTCATACAAGGAAGGCAGAACAAACCAATCACATGTTATATATCCATTGGTTCTACCTTCTTTGACGATCAGAGCACTCTTCTTGGTTTGAGTGGCAGCTTCACTTAAGCCACACATATTCTCTGAGTAGATCCTGAAAAAGTACTCGTTCCCAACCACCAGCTCTGTGATGGTGATGCAGGTGCGGTGGTAGTGCTCAATGCACGTGTACCATTCCTGTAAAACACATCAAAGTGAGTCATCAAAGACCATGTCCAATCTGAACAAACTGCCAACTGCAAACTGAACCTCTACCATTGTCTTCTTGTCTGCTTTCTGAATGGTGTAGCCTGTGATTGGAGCGTTGCCACTGTCCTTTGGAGGGGTCCAGACCAGAGCCACGTTACCTCCCCAAACATCCTCAATGGTCACACACTGAGGAGGCCCAGGTAGGTCTGACAATCACAGAATCAATATAGACAATTACAAACTACAAAAGCATGAGGCTAAACTTGGTAACACAAGAAAAGACAAACTAAAAGTAAAAAATCTTGGGTCAAAATTCAGAAGTTGGAATATTACAAACTCCAAATATCAGCTTTGATAACCATCCAAGCCTGATAAACAAATCCACCAAACTGCAACTCCTCTTTATTATCCATTACTTAAAAAACACACTCCATTTACTCACCTACAATCTGTATGTCAATAATGGCTGTGTCCACATGGTTTTCAACCTGCACAGTCATCTCATACTTTCCAGAGTGGCTGCGTTCTGCTTTACGAATGAAGATGATGCTGTCACAGTCTGTGTTGCGGATACTAACGTGCGACTGTTCGATGGGCTTGCCCTCCTTCAGCCAGGTGACCTTCGGCCTTGGTTTGCCCTGTAGACATCACACAGTCTGTTGTTCTGCTTAAAAGTGTGGAGGATTATGAACAAATTCAGACATTGCTTACCATGAATGGCACTACAAGGTTGACTGCTTCACCAACTCTTCGAGTGTATGTCTGCTTCAAGTGTCTGGGGACTCGGATTTTGGGTGGTTCTGGAGTGAAGATGAACAAAATTAGTGAATGAGAAATGATACTAGATCCCTGGTTAGCCAAAAACACTGTTTATGCTTGTATCTGTGATGAGATAAGGCAACTGCAGAAAAAGCATTATGGCAGCAGTTTTCAAAGCTCACCAACAACTTCCTTGACCAAGATGGCGTGCTGAAGGGACCGTGGAGCGCTAGGTCCAGCAGCATTGATGGCTCTAACACGAACTAAGATTTTAGATCCTGGAGTCAGCCCGGTGATGGTGTACCTGGTCTTCTCTGTCAGCTCCTTGTTGGATACTATCCAATCATCACCTGGCAGGAAAGAAACAGTCATCATTGTATTTTGTTTTGAGTAGCTTTCTTGTATGTATTTTTCACAGTAGTTTTTAAAATCTCTACTTCTGCTTCAGCGTAAGAATTGCAAAAATGTGAAGTATTGTACTTCACTACATTTATGCTTGATATGCTAATGATTAAAAAAAATTACTGAAACGCACAGGCTTTCCATCAGCTTCACAAAAGCTAGCTGATAGGATGATTTATGCACTGCAGAAAATTAAAAAACATTTTAAACATACTGTATCTCAAGTAATATAAGTAGTTACAGAGCATAAAATGATGACTGCCAGTGCTATTAAAAAAAAAAAAAAAACATCCAACCAGAAAATTTGGTTTTTTTTGTTAATCTCTGCCCATTATGATCACACTCTCTGTGTCATTTTATGTCATATTCTGATTGGTTTATTTGTGAGACTTGGATGATGATTGCAGCACTTCTGTTTTGAGATGCAGATTTATAACACATCCCTATATGGTAAGTGGGGGTAGGCCCAAACATTGGTCAGACGCACCCTAATTCCCTTCATCACTCATTGTTTAAACAGGGCCCATTGGTTTGATGGAAGTTGCCTCACCTCCCTCTATGCAGTACTCCACTAAGTATCCATCCAGACCGGCAGCTCCAATGGTTTCTGGAGGACGCCACTTCACGGTCACAGTGGTGTCGGTGACATCGTCAACAACAAGCATGGTGGGTTCACTGGTCACGGCTAAGTGAAGGTAAAGGTTTTAGAGATTAGAAGGCTCATAGCCATTCCTCAATCATTATCCAACAATGGGTATGAACCAGATTGGAAAACATCCATTTTGGCAAGTCAGGGACGGAGGAGGGAGGCGCCTCATTCTCTTGCTGGTATGCTATCAATCTCCATTTCAGATCTCATTAACCCCCGCTCTTGCCTTCTATTCTTGTATTCTGAATCATATCTAACTCCTATTGAACCCTCTGACAGACCTGATCTCCTAAACCTCTAATCCCCAGATGATTTGGCAGCCATTATAAAGACATATTTAATATCTTCCAAAGCTCCTGCGTGTCTATTGGAGGTCACAGTCAGAATGCTTGGGATGGTGGGGTCTAGGGAGGAACAGCTGTGTCGACGGGTTATCAAGTGCAGATCACACACGCACTGACTCTTTGAAATTTCCTCCACTGTTACGAGACATCTAGTAGACAAACTGCTGCCTTGTGTAGCACCTTCCTACAGGGTACTGGTCAGTGATCATGGAGATTTCTGAGCTACTCACCCAGAGGAGTAAAGGCTTTGGATGGTTCACTGGGCTTGGAGACACCAATGGCATTGACTGCAAAGATCCGCACCTCATAAGGAACACCTTCAATCATCTTCTTGGGCTCGAATGTTGTCTCTTTAATCAGGTCAAAGTTCAGTCTCATCCATCTGGAGCTTTGTTTCTTCTTCCTCTCAATGAAATAGCCTTTGGAGGACATTTAGAATTTTATTATTTCACTCTAAGGCAAACACTTAACCTGAAGTTACAAGTGAAAAGCACTTACCTAATATCGGTGAACCACCATCATATTTTGGGGGCTCCCATGTCATTGCGCACCAATCTCCACCCACTTCTGGGACCAAGGGTGCCTCTGGAGGATCAGGGATATCTGTAGATAAAAGACATCCCAATACAACTATGTTAAAGACTCCATTAACAGATATTCATGTTAGTCATTCGGTATGTTTTGTGATTACTTACCAACAACTTTGATTTTGACGCTGGCTGTGGCTTCACCAGCTTCATTCTGCAGGACTATCTTGTAGTTTCCCGTGTCCTCTCGCTCTGTGATGTCAATTGTCAGACTCGTCTGGTCGCCATAAGTTTCAGCATGGACGCGATGACCAGACTCAAGAATTACCTAAGACGAATAGGGTGGGAAAAATAATATGCAAGACTAATATGTAAGGTCTGCTCCTACCAATTGTCATCTAAAGTACAATGATGGAGGAAACCAATTTGTGTTTTATAATCAAATATCCTACAAATATCACAACACAGAAACATATCTTTTCATTACTTTGAGCAAAGCCATGGTAGTCAACCCCAATTGCTTTGTCTCACAACTATAAATACATGATAGAGAAGCATTTAGTACCAATCCACAGCTGAAAATAGTGCCACCAGATGCACAGTTTAAACAACAGAACATTAAATCTATGGTGCCCAAGTTGTGAAAATATTTAGGCTTTTATAAGTTAAATTGAAAATTTATGGCCAGGTTTTAAAAATTTCAGTCTTAACTTGAATCAGCAGACTCTTGCCTGAGTACTTGAGATGAGGTAAAGGAGTCTGGAGGTAGCCCAACCTATGATGCCTTATCTTATCAAACATCTCAAGACTGAGCCTTACCCTTTCCCCCTTCATCCACACCACCCTGGGAGCTGGCTCTCCACTGATGGGGATCTCCAGGCGAAGCTTGTTTCCTGCCACTATTGTCACTGTATTGTCTGGGAAGTTCAAGCTGTCCAAGTGCACTCTTGGTGGATCTGCAGAAAGTTCAATCACATCATTTAATGAGAAATAGGTTAGGATATTTCATATCAATGTTATCTTAAAATTATCTGGTTAAACAAAGAATATGTTGAGTACCAATGATGTGAACTTTAGCAGAAAGGCTCTGTGAATATCCTTCAGGCACAAAAGTGTAATCTCCTGCATCATGAAGAGAGCTGGCCTCGATTTCAAGACGATGGACCCTGAAAAACCCAGATCCTACTGGTCAGCATACATATGGAATTATTTTACATTGAACAGAGCTTTGGGTACGTTACATACTTGTTTCTGTGTATGATGTTGATACGGTCATTGGGCTGGATCAGTTGTCCATTCCTGTACCAACGGCCTGGGACGTTGCCTGGATAAATCTCACAGTGCAGTTTGAGGGGTTGTCCCAGCTTCACTGTGATATCCTGTAGGTCCTGGTAGATTTTCAATGGTTTCACTAAATTGAAAAGTTAGAGGGGTGCAGAAAAAATTAGATTGAAATATTCAAAAGTGTTTATCTGCAAAGTGAGTAAATAAACAAAAATGCTAAAACAAAATGCTGAAATGCTACATACGGTCGACCTGTACATGAGCCTCAGATGTGCCACCAGTGGCCATGATGGAGTACGTTCCAGTGTCGTCTCTGGAAGCATCATCGATCACCAAGAAGTGTTTTGTTCCTTCACTTTTAACTCGATATCGGGAACGTACTCCTGTTGGAACCTCAACACCGTTCTTCATCCTGAAGGACAAAAGCATTAGAAATACAAATGTGTCATTGATTAAAAAAAAAGAAGTAGCAACAACTGACAAAACCCACCGAAATGTCTAAAGTGATAAATGAGTTATGAATATCTAATAGTTTGCTAACTAAAGTCTTACCACTTGACTTGAGCTCCCTCCTCAGACACTTCACACTCCAGCTCAATCCTCTCATTCACTGTGGTCTTCACTGGTTCAATACCTTTTACTATTTTGACTGGCAGCTCTATAAGATATGAGAGGAAGACTATACTGAACAAGGATAAACCATTAACAGCACATTTTGTCATGTATCACTCTTTATAAATTGAATTAAGGTTGAAAGCTAATCAAGATACCTTTCACAAACAGCTCTGTGGTACATTTCTCATCTCCTGCAGCTACAGAGTAAGCTGCGTCGTCGTTCATGCCGCAGTTGTTGATGACCATGATTCTCTGTGTGCCCTTATGCTCAAAAATATACCTATACAGAGTGTCCAATAGTCACATTAATGTTTACAAAAACTAAATACTAACCACAGTACATTCCAACTATATTGGATACCATTTAGGACTAGATATTACATCAAGAAATTAAAAAAAGACACTTCCATGGAGGAAAAAAACTTAAAATCACAGCACTTTTGAAGATATACAGAACTACAGTATCCTTAATGAACTCAACATGCATCAGATGCAGGCTATAGTGAGGGGCAGAAACACACCAAAACCCCAACATGGAGAATGCATGACCGTTTGTATGGAAGGACTTACTTCCTTTGACTAATGGTCAGCAGTGGATCCGGGACAGGGCCGGAGCACAGGGAGTGTACAGGAAGTGATTATGGCAGACAGGAGGAAGCACCATGATATGACAAACAAACAAATACAGAGAGACATCATGCCAGGAGGGGTAAATGCAGTTAACAGTAGTGTCAAAAGAGAGAGGGACAGAGAGAGGGACAGAGAGAGAGAGGTGTGTTGGTAGTGTAGTCTTCGGTACAGGGATCCTTGACAAAAAATGCCACAAGAGACTTTAACCAGAAAACAGCAATAACCTCCCAGATGGCTTTAACTTTGCATGGCTTTGGACACTGGTTTGACCTGGTGCTTGAGTTACATGCCCCATATAAGTACAGGCTTCAGTGCTTAAGGCGTTTGACCTGGGTTTGATTTGAACCTGTGGCCCTTCACCTACTCTGGTTTTCCTGGTTTTGCACTCTTCGTACTCTGACCACAGTCCTGTCCCCTCAATAAAAGCAAAAAAAGGTCATCGGCAATAAAATAGATGTCCTATTAGGAGTCTTAATTGAAAATGGGATACGACATACTAGGTATGAATATTGATGACCACAAAGTACTTGTGATTTAAGAAGGGATAGTTCAGTTTTTATAAAATGAGGTTGTATAGGGGATGATGGTTGGCCTGGTCTCATGATTGGGAAACCAGCTAGGAGCCTACATAGAAGCTAATCTTCAAACTGCTGCAGAAAGGGCTGATTTTACTTAATCATTTCACAAATTTTGAGAATTTTTCACTGAAATGCTATATTTAATTAGTTTTTGTGTTTTACTTTGTTAAAAAGCCACTTCATTTGACACAGCTTCATGGACTAAAGCATGCCTGCAGTAACTACCCCTTCAGACTTACTTCAAATGACTGTGGCAACAGAAGCAATAAAATATAAACTCTCAAACTTATGTCTTACAATCAAAGGCTGAGATGTACTTTATTGATAATTTATTTGCAGTGAGACACCAATTTGTGTGTTTCCAAAGCCAAACTTGGTTAAAGACCTGTGAAGGAGGTACCACCTTTTTCCTGTGCGGAGGAGGACATATCAGGAAGTTAATGGCAAGTTAAGACAATGATCAATATCATACGACGTGTTTACACCCAATGTAGCTCTGAGGCTTTTTATATATCCCTTTGAGTTCAGATTGTTTGCAAAATAAGTATGACAACCACATATAAGAGCCACATTAAGGTCGAGAGAACGTTATACGGTTGCTGGCAATGGTTCACAGTAGACTGAGCTAGACCGAAAAAAATGATGATAAACTGCAAACTGTACAGTATTATCTTACTAAGTCCTTTCTGATCCATTACTTTAAGGTTTAACACGTGAACCATTGTGTTTGTCATTGCAACAAAATGAAAGCACATTACACCAGACAGCTGGTAAAGTATGGCGATAACACAAATGAAACGCATTTTTAGAATAAAAGTGATTTTCATTTGTGCTGTGTTGGCGGGAAGAAGACACAAAAGGCGGACGAAAGAAAGCAGTCACGTACTTGGGAGTGGGTCTGATTTCTTGTCCGTTCTTGTACCACTTCAGTTCAACTGTTGGGTCGGCCAAATCGACCACCAGGCGGATCTTTCCACCTTTATCCACCTGGTATGCTGGGTCCAACTTCTTGGCAAATGCTTAGAGGAGAAAGGATCAAGACAGAGACCATAATTCCACTTTTGGCAACATATTCCGGTTTTGCTAGAGTGCAACTTTACCTCAAGAGCATATCAAACATTTGGACATTTGCTCAGCACTGATCTACCTTCACTCTTCTTCTCCTCTTTCGGAATCTTCTTCATCCTCCTCAGCAGACCTCTCAGATCTGTGATGCCATACATAAAGGCAATCTTCTCATACTCGTCTGGCCTTGCATTCTTCAGGATCTCCCACACGTCGACCTCAGGGGTGTCGTCTTGCTGTTTCGGCTCCCTAGTGGCGCCAGATACGAGAGAATAATGTCATGGTGGAATCATAGGCTGGTGTTTGCAACGTGTCTTGAGGAACAACTCTTATACTTTAAGAACAGGGGACTGTTTGAGCTAATGGTGGGATAAAATATCATTGAAGCTGCAAAATATCTTCTACAGTATGTGGTTTGTGACATTTAGGATTTGTTTGTCTTATTTCTCTGCACAGTGTTCCTCAGGACATGTTACACAAAGGGATGGGCATGTTGCGCTGTTTACCTGAGCGTAGCCATCATCTCTGGAGCAGAAAACTAACTGTAGAAGAACTATAACGTCAAACACAAAGGTGCTCTATTATTTGCTTAGGGGGTTAATCTTTTGCAGATGCTATTTTTTTTTATTGCCAGAATTTAAAGCTCCTGTGAAGAACTTTTGGCATGTTATGAAACATATTCATCTAAATACTGATGTTTCTTTTTGACATACAACATGAACAAAAATATCAGCAATGACACTGACTATTTCTTTACAGATATTCAGATTTACTGTTACCATGGGGGTAGGTGTCAGTTAAGTTGTAGACACAAAAATTTTGTTTTATCTATTTCTCAACAAATATACACAATAAATAATTATAAAAAAAAAATCAAAGACTGAAGGATGGCATGTTAGAAAATTCCATCTGTAAAATCAGAGGTATTCATTTGTCCACAGGGGGCACCAAACTTGTAATTCAAAGTTCCTCACAGAAGCTTTAATTAAAAATGTTTAACACAGAAGCATAGTGCAAAAGATATTATGACAGCTAGCCTAGGAAGAATTTATTCAATTTTCTATTATTATTATTTATTTATTTTTAGCAATATTGCAATAAACTATGTGGTTAGTTTTTGACCAAAATTAAGAAAAAAGTACTCTGACGTCTTCAGGACCTCGCATTTTCAAAATCAAGGCAGGTTTTTCGCAAGTGGTATAAAAAAGATCATTATTTTGATCTACAATTTGTAACGACCTTTACTTTAGGCTTTACCATTACCATTGTATACAGAGAAGAACAAGCACACCTGTCACTGTCACTGGTGTGTATGTTTTTGCAATTTTAGAAGAAGATAACAGAATCGCAACTTGCATTAGGTGAACTGCCAGTGCACAGGAAAGAGGAAAAAGTCCTCCAGTTTTAACAACAAATCCTTTTGGATACCTAAGAAATCATCCACGCAAAGAAAGTGTCTTGAACAAATATAAAATAACAGCAGCTTTACATACCATTTGCACTAATAGAAGAGTGGATGCTGTAGTGCTAATTTAAGAACTGCAGAAAGTTAAGCAGAGACAACTCAACTCAAAACAATTAATGATAAAATCACTACATTGAAGCACTTGTTGACCCACCAAGAAATAGGACCAAGGACACGAACAATTTAGCCCGCTAATGGCACATTTTGGAGCAGTATTGCAGGTTGCTGCTGCTTTGCAGACTTATGTCTACCCAAAATAAGGTGATCTTTAAACATATTTACAATCTGATCAACAAAAAGTTTAGTGACATCAAGAGCAAGTTATTTTTAATTACCAATGTTGGCTCGAAACTCCACATTGTGTTTCCCCAATGGTAGTGCCCCTAAATGAGCTTTTTAAGGTTTTTACATGCATTAAAAGGGGAAGTCAAGCTTATTCACAGATAATTGTTTTTTATTGGTTCATTCGTTTCTGAGATTGTAACCAGATCTTGGGGTAGAAGATGAAGCGAAAGAAAGAATCAAAACACCATAGCCTTGTCATTTTTTTCATGTAATTGCATGTTATGCAGCATGCAGGGATTAAGGAGAAGCCTGCAAAAGTTTTTAATGACAATGAATGATTCAGTGTCTATTTCATTCCCTGCCCAAACTGGCCCATCCCTTTGTTTGTTGTTGGTTTGAGTGATCACTTCAGAGATGCTCTGACACTGATAGTTAGTGAAAATATAGACAGAAAATGTTAGGTTTGTGAGATTTATGTTAGAAACACATCGCTCTTGACGTGAATGTATCCATTAATGCATATAAAGAACATTCAGTCAGCCCTTTCATTCAGAGACATTTTCCCAAATGTCAGAAAGGTTGGGGGTAAATAGCGTATAACTTTACTCCATTCTCTGTCTTTGTTTCTCATGTGTTTATTTTCAGGCAATTATGTAGAAAGCTGAAATAAACATGGTTGAATTTGCCTTATGTTTGTAGGCTAAAATAAAATGACATTGTAGCGATAACACTATTTTACAGCATCATTCCCTTATAGCTCCCAAACACACTATTAATGATACGAAATGTTGGGCTCTTGCTCATAAAAGTGACGCTTCTTTCCATCAGCTTGATGGAGATTCAAAGTCAAACCATTTATGATTCAAGGTCCATTTCCATCATGAATGTGTGCTGACAGAGCAGTTAGGAATGCTGCCTTCAAATGAAGTGTTACCGTACTACAGTAGGCCAACACTCTTGCTCGTCCAAGTCCTAGAGCTACATGTCATGCTGGGGATTCTACGAGATTACAGTACTCACCCGCAGTAAGGTCTAATCATTTTTAAACCTATTGGTTTTTCTCTACTAACCTTTGATTTCTGAATATGTAGGGGAGAGAAGAGACAAGTCCACAGTAAATGTGTAATTTAGCTGGTGAACAATGTCACTGCCTAGGACTATTTGTTGTCACACTGTACAACACTGCTCTGTATAATCTATTATATGTGTAATGGGGTTTATTTTGGAGACACCTGAATAGATTTGCTAACGCACAAAGGTTTTCAAACTGCACAGAGTCCCAGAAAGCCCAAGAGCACAGAGCGATAAATGATTTGACTAAAGTGCCCAAAGGTGATGATACATTTGACTAAATTTGCGCCAAATTTGTGCAAAAGAATTGCATGCCAATTTCAACTAAAAATTTGCACTACAATTTGTATGACAAATGTGTGACAAAAAATTAATGAAATATTCGTACCAAAATTTGCACTTAAAATTTGTGACTAATTTGCCCCAAAATTTAAATGACACGTTTGTGTCAAAATTTGCATGAAGAATTGATATGGCAAATTTTGTACCACAATTTACAGCAACATTTTATTGACAAATTTGTACCAGAATCTTATTGACAAAGCTGCACCAAAATTTGCATCACTTTGCACCTAGAGTTGTTTGATAAATTTACAATAGAATTTGTGTGATGAATTCTGCTCATGTTGCTATTGTTGCCAAAGCTGCATTGCAACGAGAATAGCTATGTTACAGCTCAAACAACATTTCACTGTCATCTCAGACTTATACATATAGTTTATACATACATACAGACAGGTACATAGGCGTCTGTAGGGTGACAACTGTAAATCAATTGACTGACCGTAAAATTCCTTAATATTTACCTTTTTATTCCACACTATCTGTTTTTAATTAACTCAGAACAAACGCTACACAGTTAATTTTGTTTGAGGAGGCGCTCACAGTGTCAGACTTTGAAAACCCCTGTTGTGATGTTATATATCTGTAGGAATGTGAATGCTATTTTTACTGAAACCTGCAAATCAAATGTTTGGAATATTTCAAAGAGTAAGAAAAGAAGCACATCCAAAAAAAGGGGCTTTTGAATACTGGAAATGACAAAATCCACTCAGGGTGGGGATGTGATTCTCACCTATGTTTAAGGAGACCACTAAAGTCAAGCTCTCCTGCATCCTCTTGTCCTTCACTGCTGTTGTTAACAAGGAGAGATTAATAGAGAGTCAATCAGACTTAAAACAGTAACTCTATAAAACAATGCTTACATAGCAACACAAAGCATGACTCGAGTCAATCGATTCATAAGCTTCGAGCTCACGAATGATTGGTGCTTTTACAAACCCCTGCTTTATTTTTTGGTCTTTTTCCAGATAAAAACATAAAACAAGGTGTTTCATATAAAGCACTGAGCGGTCCCAGGCAATATTGCTGTAGTAATGTTGAGCGACATTACTGTGTAGCAACATTGATAAACCAGGGTGCTTTGCATTGCTGTCAGGATACATTGTTTGAAGGGAGATTTAAAAGGCAAGAGTTGGCCTTCGATTACACATCGAATCAGCTGGTTGATTTGTAATTACCTTTCAGAGAAGGTGAATGACATTATCACAACCATCAGCACACTTATAATACTATTGTTTGAAGGTGAAATGCTAATTGCAGATTACCTCTCTCAACATAATCTTATATTAGTATCAATAATTTGTCAGAGATCGTATTATTGATCATTTAACTTTTTTTTTAGCTGAAGTGTAAAAAGGGAATACTGTTGACTCCTTTGTAAGACCAGGATGTCTGCATCACACACGCCTTTCTTTACCTTCTTTTGAAAGCTGATCGAATATCGATATTCTGTGCACCCTGTCCGGCCTCTGTAAGACAGTAACAACACAAATGCTCTGTCTGTATTCGGTGGGCTTAAACAGAATTAAGTGAATGCACTTTGATGATTTAACAAACCTTTAACTTCCAAGTCAAAGGAACAGCTGTCAAACTTGTCCTTGTAGGTGACCTCACATCTGTAGTTTCCCGCATAATTTTCTTTGGCTTTAATGATATGCATCTCAAATGTGTGAATCTGCCAGGAAGTGATGCATAAGTAAGAATTAAACCCACTATCAGTGTGTAACCGTGAGTTCATGTTCAGGAAGGGGGGCCAGGGCAGGTAGGTTTTACCTTGGTTTGGCGTTCAAAGGTCTCCTTTAGCTGTAAATGCTTTCCTGTCTTGCTGGCCAGGTCCATCCATTTTCCTTTGAACCACTTCACAGTTGGTTTGCGGAGGAGATCTTTGGCCTCCACTTTGGCGATAAAAGTTACATCTCCACCTTTTAATCAAACAGATCCAGTTGACTAGCTAGCTCTGTGAGTGCAGGATGAGTCAGCATTTTTTAGGTTCACCAGAAAATGACGAACCTTATCCCAAATTGCTACTGTCAGTAAGAATTTAGACTTTAGACTCTCTAGAAACAATCATTGAACTCTAAATTGATGTATGTTGATCTAGGATTTAGTACTTTAAACTCCTCTTTTACACACTTGACCTGTAACTCACCCACTGCAACAGAGGCGCTCTGGGGACTCTCAATCAGCAAGGTGGATCGTGGCGGGGTGTCGACAGGCTTTTCCAGGTCCTCGGGGGCCTGGCCCTCTCCCAGTGACCACACTGGTCAGTTAGGAGAAACACAAACATGACACAGTGCTCTACATTGCCATTAGACAAGAGTAAAGTAGCAATACAGTTGATGTATTCATACACCCACCTTTCACTTTTGATCAGAAAGATTTAGCCTTACTGTACCAGAAAAGAGTAATAAAGACAGACACACTTTCATACTTTCGGCAACCAGCACTCAGACAGCAGCAGAATAAAAGCTTTTTGCAACATGGAAAGCATGAAAAAGACAACGTGAAACACAATAAAGGCAGATTTCATTATTTGCGATTGGTTTTTGTGAATTCTGGTGCTCCAGTCTTCTTTGCAACGGCAGGCCCTGAGGAAATATCACAATTATGCTACAAGGCAGTTGCACGGGGCTGGTCAAAAAGCCCCATTATGGCTGAGGGTATAGTGAGATGATGCATTGAGGCTCTGATGTGTCAGAAAATATGTGTTTATGTTGGACAACATAGTCTTGGAATTAAATCAACCTGGATAAGACTAAACAATCGATACCAGACTCAATCTGACCAGCAATGACAGGAAACTGGTCAACCATACTTCTGATACAGGCTGTAGTCCCCCTCGACTGCTGAAAAAGAAAATTAACATAGATTCCACATGAGTTGTTTGTTTTACTATCATTATATTACCTGAGTCTTTTCTCCCCATTTCTGGCAAAGGGACGCTATCATCTAAACAAAGACAGAGAGAAATTTACAGCATATTGTGAAAAATAGTACTGTAAAGTCCACTGAAGCAAGCACACACTCATAGAATGTAAAAGCAACAAGCAAAAATCAGATATGCAAGCATCGTTTCAAGGAATTCTGATGGGAATGAATGATTTTAAAGAAACACTTGTTCTTTCTTTTAAGTGTTAAACCCTTATGGTGTTATCATTAATAGATGACTGATCAGAATTCCAATTGTATTCACATAAATACCAATTTATGCGTACAGAAAACAAAAGCGTGATCATGTAACCTGATTAAGGTCTAAGACATGGTGTGTGATTATATATTAGTATAAATACTTTGCGTCTTATTTTTTCTCTATTGAAAAGATAACTTCTAGCCACACAAATATATCTAGAAATAAACATGTTTGAACATGTTTCCTACTTTCAGGCGGTCTTAAATAAATCTGAGTAGTCTACTGGTTTGGTTTTGAAATGGTGTGATAGGATTTGACAGAGAATTCTTACTAGGCAGCTCAATTGAGAGTTTCTTGAGTGTATTGGCCTCTTCTGTGAAAAAAGCACAATCATCATTGAAATTAGGATAAACATCTACTTTGATGGCTCGGTCTCCACTAGAGTAAAAAAGCGGTCACATATAATTGAATCAAAAACAGATATGAGCAGAATAAGAATTAAAAAAAGACCTTTTTGTTAAATTCACTAATTTGATGCCTTACACAAACTTTTATTAGGATAAAAAACACAGCAGGCACAGCATTTAGTCCTGCTTATAGCATAAGGACTAAATGCAGAGGGGAAGTTAGCGAGCTCCAACAAAGATGTCATTGTAAGCTGTCATACTTACAAGGAAATTCTTCTTCACCATGTAGAAATGTTTATAGTAATTATCGTGATTTAACCAGCCTCACAAACTGAAGTTATTTTGATCCAGCAAGTACACCACATGGTTATTATTCTATACAGAGGCTAGCTCATCCCCTGTTTTTGCCTCTAGTGCCTTTCCAACCGTATATTTGTCTTTCAAGACCCTCATGTCATTTATGACCCTTAGGTGGTGATCCAGTTTTGCTTCATTTTGCCTGCAGCCCGTACCATGACACAGTCATGACTTAAGCCCTGAAAGTTTCTATGGGAAAAGCTGACTTTTAAACCAAAGAAAAAACTGATTTCCATCAATCTTAAATAGTTCTGGGACATTGACACATTTATGAAATGAAATTTAGCATTCCCTTTTGATATACAAACAAAAATTTTAACCCAGTATTTCACACTGTGCTTTTGTTTTTATCTATATGTGTTGTACACACAACCATGTAAAAATTTTGTACATAATATAAGAAATAACACTGACACATCCATACCTTTATTTGAGATGAGTAAATAAAGGTTGATGTACTTTTATGAATTCTGCAAAATAAAACCACACGTCTGCTACAAGTGGGTAAAAGCATGAAAAACATGCATAAGGATATCTATCACACAAAGTGTTTTAGCTGTGAAGTAGATCTGAACTGATGCAGCTTTGTTTCGGTACAAGAAAACTAGATCACGACATAAAACCTGTAAAGTTCAAAACCACATAAAGAACCTGAAAACTGAACTGACAAATTGTGAAGTTTTTACATTTTGTTGTTCTCTATTCATATCCTCTAAAGTTTGAATAAGATAAAAAATAAATAATAAAAAAGTGATTCTATTTCTTATGAACCTTTATTGAGGAGTAAAATGAAGATGAAGAAATTAGGGAGTAGTGAGGGTTGTTAAGGGTACCAACCTGGTTGGGGTGTTGGGGATGGGGTTGTGGCTGCAGCAGCATCATCATCTGTAATAAAGGTGTCATTGACAGATAGACCCACCTATCATAAAACTCCACTGGCAGGCCAACAAGACACAAGACTGGCAGGCCAACAAGGCCATCCAACACATGCGAGACAAGACTTGAATGGATGGGACATGGCATGCAGCTCTCAGACTAGAATAATGAGACCAAAATCTGAAGAGAAGACTTGACGTGTAACCTTTGAGACCCAAGGTATTTTGTATTGGATTGGTAAAAGAATGTGTATGGTCATGAAGGCTTTGTGCTCGCTAGCGCAAGCTTTTCAAGCTGCAGAAACAAAAGCACAAGCTCCCGTCTGACAGAGCGCAAACAAACACAGGTGTAAAGGACGGAAATCTTTCAGGAGCTGCATCACATTTGCAAAAGATGCCCATGAGCAAGCCAACACAAGACAAGACACAGAAATCCTGCGTACCTTCAAAGCTGCAGTCTTTATATTTGATACAATGCAGACATATCTATATGAATATTTAATGTAGTATGATTTGTTTCTTTCCCCTTTTACACCCATCGGTGTTTGGACAGTGGAATAAAGAACTGAGTTTGATGACTCACCTTGCACTCAAACTGCATCACCTTAGGTTTGCCTTTTCAGGACTTAATGAGTATTCCACCTATCAGTCTTTTTTCATTAGTCTGTATTAGTTTTATTGCTTCAGACATCTGTAAACACCCTAAAGTTGGTGGTCAGGAGAAGGGCATTGTTTCTTTGGGGTCTGCATGCAATTTGAACAATGTCAGAATCAATGCATGACATCAGCGAGTGGAGTTCAGAGCGATATCAGCAAGGAAGCTCAGATAACTTTCAAGCTAGCTTTCAACCTTGGGTAAAACTTGGTTTTAGATCATGTAATATGGATATAGAGTATTTTGCCATGCTGCTGAGCCATGTAATGTGCAACTGAAATGACTGGTAAGACGATTATTCTTGTTTCAGTGGCGTTTTTCACACTCAAGGGGTAAGCATGCATTTTCAGAGAGACATGGGACCCATTGATGTTTGAGAGACATACTTACCAGCAGGTTGGGGAGAGCAAAGGCCCTCTCCCTTTTCAGTAGTGTTACTGGACTCTGCTTGCTCTTTTACCCCAACCTCGGCTGGCTTCAGTTGGATTGTGCCATTCAGGGCAGTATTGGGTTCCTGAACCACCACAACCTCAGGGGAATTGGGCTCCTTAGCCACTGCTGCCTTGGCAGGGGTAGACTTCTGAGCCACCACAGCCTTGGCAGGGGTGGACTTCTGAGCTGCCACTGCCTTGGCAGAAGTGGGCTTCTGAGCCACCACTGCCTTGGCAGGAGTGGACTTCTGAGCTGCCATTGCCTTGGCCGAAGTGGGCTTCTGAGCAACTGGAGCCTCAGCAGGAGTGGTTTCCTGAGCCACCACAGCTTCAGCGGGAGTGGTTTCCTGAGCCGCCACAGCTTCAGCAGGAGTGGTTTCCTGAGCCACCACAGCTTCAGCAGGACTGGCCTCCTTAGCCACCACTGCCTCCACAGGACTGGCCTCCTGAACCACTACTGCCTCCACAGGACTGGCTTCCTGAGCCACCACAGCTTCAGCAGGAGTGGGCTCCTGAGTCACCACAGCCTCTACAGGACTGGCCTCCTGAGCCACCACAGCTTCAGCAGGAGGGGGCTCCAGAACTACCACAGCTTCAGCTGGACTGGCCTCTTGAACCACTACTGCCTCTGCAGGACTGGCGTCCTTAGCCACCACTGCCTCCACAGGACTGTCCTCCTGAGCCACCACTGCCTCTGCATGACTGGCCTCCTGAGCCACCACATCCTCTTCAGGAATGGTTTCCTGAGCCACCGCAGCCTCAGTGGGACTGGGTTCCTGAGCTACCACTGCCTGAACTGGCTCAGGCTCTGCAGGATCTGGTTGCTTCCCATCAGTCTCTACTGGCTCTTGCCCCTCTGTTACTGCCTCTGTATAGCAGACAAAGCGCCAGGCTGGAGCAGCAAGCACTAAGCATGACAGCCTTGCAGGACAATGCTTGCCCAAACATGGCATGTATAAATAGGCAATGACTGGATAGCCCTAGTGCTAATTGGTGACATTTGAGTGTAGAAGGTAAACAGGAACTGACATATTCAGGGATGTAAGTTGTTTTACAGGCTCTGGAACATCGGCTCCATGAGTAAAGTGCAAACACCCTTTTCTTAGTAATCATTAAAAAGGTATTTCACAAATCTTCCAAGGTACTTTTGGAATAATCAAACTAGTAGGTGTCATTTTTGGCGCTGGGTATGTTGGTGTAGAATATAATGAAAGATTGTTTTTTTTTAGAAATATCAGTAATTGCAGATTTCACAAAGGTTACTTATCATGAGCACCAATTCAACATCTTTATCCAGTCATTGTATATCTATACTGACAAGTGATCAAGAAAGCAGGGATGTACTGACTCTTGCAGTATGAACAAAATGATCTAATTGCATGTACCATTAAATTTAGACAGATGGCCTTTCACTACAGCCAACAGAGTCAGTGAAACCCAACTTCCCTAATCCCACTATAGCCTTGTGTATGATGACTCAATATGTCATACAGTTACACAAATACAACAAGCACAGCAGAAGTTAGTGATAGCACTTGGCACTGAGGCAAATGCATGTTGAACAACACAGGCATGTGGGTATGTGCACTATAAATGGGGTGGTTGCCTAACAGATAACCTTATCAACTTTTTTGCATGAACATATAGTGTGATCTGAGGTCATACCTATGCAAGGACAGTGCAGTTTCAGGCCTCTCAGAATGAATTAAGGAAAGAGAAAACCGTGTCGGCACACACCAAACGAACACGTGATGTAAGAGTGATGTGCAAAAGAAAGAAACATTCGTGTCCAGTTGAAAGGGGGCATCAGGGTTACCCACCTGGGGGTGGTGAAACCTCCAGGGAAATCTCAGGTAGAGGCAGGGCACCATTAGTGTCTGGGGCAACACTTTCTGAGCATGTGACAAATATAGTTGTAGATGGAACAGCTGCTTTTTAAAAAGCACAAAGCTTGAGCATCTGCAATGCCTCTCTCAGTCTCTCACTCAAACCAACATACATAAAACACAAAAACATGTTTACCATACATAAAATAGACTCACCCACTGCCCTGGGAATTCTCACTTTATCAGAGAAATATCATTTACTTTTTCAAAAGTTCATCTGTTTGATTGAACAAAACATCCTTCAATGTACAAACTTCTTAAGACTACCAGGCTGCTAATAAATGTATAGAATGTGCTGTTAATACGACAAAATTAGAATTATGCAAACATGAGTAAGGTTGGAGTGCATATCTGTAAACACACATCGCGTTAAAATAGTACGAAGGCTAACCTTGTACTTTTTACTTCCAACAAGCTGTTGAGGTGTCTTTACAGTGGGCACAACATGTGTAGGCCTTATCAAGCAGGATTTATTCATATACTGTTGAAGCACCACAACAACACTCACTGGAAGTATCGTGCATCGTCAGTCAGTGTTTTTCAGTCATTTCTCACCTACAGTTTATCATTTTGGCTCACATCGGCAACAACAGGGATTGCTCTGAAAATGGCTGTACTGGGTTGTGTAGTACAAGGTCTCAATCTACTGGAAATACAGGACTAGTTTTAAGAAGGATTTGGGGGGGGACTTTAGGAAGGAAAGAAATAAATATAGAGACAGAAGTCATAATATTACAAGATTAAAGTTAAAGTTTTTCAGAATAAAGTCCTAAACATGTGAATGTGAAGTTGTAATTTTAATCTATGGTTAGCCTATGTGTTATTTTAAAGGGGAAGATCAGAGAGCAGCCAGTCACCTGCAATAAAATTTGGAACATAGATCATCTTGTGGGGTAAACCTTGGTATATGTTTCATTGATGACTCAGTACACATGGTCATCAGTTCTTTGTTATAAGTATCAGGACTCCAAAAAGAAGGCAAAAAACCTAAATCCATTCTGGGGAAGGCAGTCTGATACGTCATCTGTGGGTTTCTGCTGTTTCTCCACATTTTATTGCAGGCAGCTGGCTGCTCTTCAGATATCCCCTTATATGTTATTTCACATCTAGATTAACCATAGCCTGTATTTATGACTTCTTCATAAAATTTCTACTTTATTCTTTTATGATTACAAATATATTCAAAGTCATTCAAAACCCTATTCTTGTAAATTTATTTTTTTTTCTCATAAATTTCCAACTTTTTTCTCTTGTGACCCCTTTCTTGTAAAATTACGACTTCATTTTCAATATAGTTTTTCCATTTTAACGTGGCCCTTATATTAGTTGGGTATTGCTAATACATTGACTCTTCGAGCGATCAGTTGTTTGTTATCTTACAAAAGAGTTTAATTAAATCATTGACAAGGAAAGACAGGAGACTGTTAGTCTCCACCAAAAGAGCTAAATATTGATTACCATTGATTAGCCTAAATGATTTCCATTCCAGTGTGTGCTTAACACTGAATTTGTGAAAAGGTGTCTGCTAGAGCTCTTATGTTTTACCTTTGACTGATTTTGGCTGAGTCAAACGTAGGTTTAATTTTGTGGTAAAAAGGAAAATAATTTTGTGATGGATCACTGTTTTTAACTTACCTGCCTAACAATGAAGATGACACTGGAAATCCCGAGCCAGTGTACCACTGTATTAGGCTAAGACCTTAAAAAAACCAAGCTACCCCCTTTGCCGTGTTGGAGCCTCAAGATGCTGCAGCTCCAAGGTCAAACCCCAGCGCCGGCACAAAGCCAATTGCATGCCAGCACCTTGCTCACATGGGGTGGCTGGGGCGTCAGCTGAATCAACAGAGGGGGATCAGCTGGCTGGCTAGAGGAATGTCAGGGGTGCTGACAGCTTGGTTGTTCCTACAGATCGCTTTGGAGCATGGCAGCACGTCCACACTGCTGACTATTGGCTCCACATTTACACTCCTATGCAAATGTGTTTGCACATTCACGCTGAGTTCAGAGTTGTAATCGTCATGTTACATGTGTAGACATGCTCAGCTTTAACCTGTGAACTCTAGTGCAAACAAAGGGGTGTACAGTCTATTCCAACCCTATTCATTCTGGTTTCGTTTCAAGATCTATGCCTTTGCCTGTAGGAAAATTTCTTTGGACTGTATGTCTACTCTTTTGCATACATTGAGCAGCTCCAATCTGCTAGACTCTGAGGTGACAGAGAGATTAGATGTCTAATTCCACTCACCTTCTGGTTGGCCGTTTGGCGTCTCATCTGGAGAAAAGGGGAAAAAAAACACATCACTGTAAACCATGACGTGATCATGTGTCTTTAATGCAATCAGCATATCAAAGTCATACAAACATTTATTTTTCTTTGTGCACATTGACTCGTTCATTGACATCCATTCACAGCTAAGCCATGTCATCTTTGTGTGGGATGACCGGCCTCTCGTTCCCAGACACCATGTAGTCTTAACTGATTATGATGAAGGCCTCCCATGACACACCATTTGCTTGCCCTTTGCCTTTTCTAGACTTAAACTAATGTAAGGGGCATTGTTAAAGATACACAACTAGATAAGACATTCAAAACCTGTAACAGGACTTTATGCAAAGCCTCAGCAGATCAAAGCTCCCACACCACTTTACATAAATGACCCACTTGAGAAAAACTAACCTGTTTCATCAGTGGGTTAGTGGATCACAAAGTCATGAGAGGTTGTCTAGTACTAATGGGAACCTTCAGACTAGTCACGAAGTATCCAGAATGGCTTGCTCTCCTACTGTTATTCAGGTATACTTAAGATAGATTCAGCGTAGCCTCTTCAGCTGTCTTACATCTTCAATAAAACCTGTAGTCCAGACAATGCCAAGCGGTTAATCTAAGAACATTAAGTCTTATAGTTCTGTTTCAAGTTTCCAAACATGGGGAGATTTCTTGAGAAGACAAGTTACTAAAACCCTTTTCCAATCAAATTCATGCAGTAAAAAACCTCTCCATCTGTCTCATCTCATAAGATGAATTTGATCACCATACAACTCAAAGTCACTAATATACAGGGTCACTTCTTAAACCACAACACCAGTGGACTTATCTTCATCATTATAAGAAGTCTGGCTGCAGGATGAGAAATGTTTCTTGTGTGCTTACAAATTGCTTCCAATAAATTAAAAAATGTTTAATCAATTTTGATATTACCATAGTGTGTCAGATTATTAGGGATAATACAATGTATGACTGGTAACAGAGAAATGTAACATGATGACAAAGTATGAGTTTCCCACCCTGAGGGTGACATCAGGGTTTACAGTGAATGATTGAGTGTCAGCTAGATTTGCCGGTTTCTCTTGTTTGAGGTACATCAGAAAACCTAATTTTGCATGTACAAGTTTGAATAATAGCAGACTGTCATTGGATGACCTACTTTGAGTCAACTATCAACAATGGTATTTTAGTGTATGAGAATAAGAATGGAAAGAAAACCAATACAACAACACAAAGAAAGGAACACATTAAAAAAACATTTACTCTATGTAAATGTACTGGTTGAAATTTCCATAAACTCCAGCTCCAAGCCAACATAAGAATCTTTTCGGACATAAACTGTGTAAACTTGAGGTGCCATTGCTGTTTTATGTGTGTTTTGGTTAATGGCAGGGGGGTCAGTCCTGCAGCTCGACAAAGCCAGATCTGTTCTGTTCATGCCATGGCTGCACCAGTACAACAAGTCAGCAGCCTTCAAGGGAGTGTTCTGGCTTTACTTCTTACAACGGGAGCAGATGGACAAGTTCTGTCCATATCAATATAGCCTACAGTAAATGGTCATTACCCAAATCAGGGGTCCTAGACTTAATGTACCCAAGTGTACACAGACAGATCCAATCTAATGGTACTTTTAAATCCATTATTCCAATCATACTGTCCTTTTTTTATTTTTTGAGAATTTCACAATATCTAAAAAGCCTGCGTCTTACTGGTGGCTATTGTTAGCTAGTCTATGAAAACTGCAACCTTAATTCCACATCTGTTCATCTACTGGGCACCGCTTCCACAGCCCCTCATCCTCCATTGCCCCCTACCTTCAGATAACCCTCCATTTAGTAATGATTCCCTCTTAGCATGCCCTGTCAAATTTAGCTACACTCCCACCTCACTTCAAAACAATGCGCCATTGGCCGCCGGGCCACAATCCTGTAGTGTCACATCATTCAGCCAAGAACTGCATCTCTGTCTCATCAACATTGAGATAATGAGGCTGGAGAAAGGTTTTGTTTTACCTCTGAGGACTCCCAGTGCAGCTGACAGGGCTGCAGGTATTTTCAGCTGTTGCCCCTGCTGGCGTGTGGACAGAGGGGCTCATACAGTCTTCAGTGTGAACCAGTCTACCAGCAGTTTTATTTTCCTAATACAGGCTTTTATTGCTTTAATAAAGATGGGTCTACATTAATGATGTTGTTGTCTTGGTTCCTTGTTTTTATCTGACCTTTCGGTTGTGGTTGTTCTGATCAGACGAGGACTTTAACATGAGTTTCTGTAAGACTGTAAGAGTCTTATGAAAGGTGAGCGCCACTTCGTGTCACTTGCACTTGGACGCCAATTACCTGTTGACAGGCTTTCCCTCTGTGCCTGACCACAGGTCCAATTTATGAGGTGGCATTGTGCAACCTGAAGCCACAGAGGACAGAGCCCAGTGAGAGTGATGCCCTTTAGTGACAGTAAATATCATCAGGTGAAGACATGGGCTTGAAACCCCAAACTGAGTCGCAGCAAGGACAGCAGTGAAAGGCCTCTGGGCACAGGGTCAGAGGTTTAATGGAGAGGTGTCTGATCCATCCTGAGGAGAGGCTGGCAGAGAGAGACGTCTGTTTTGGTGTGTGGCACAAGGAGAGGAGGAGGGGTTGAGTGGCTGTGGAGGGACATGGCAGGGAACAAGGGATGGGGATTAAAAGTGCGCTCATTCTGAACTATTCCAGGGACAAGAATCTAAGTCCCCATGAGATCTGTGGGCAACTCAGCCAGCCCGCCATCTCTGGTTCAGACTTTTTAAAGGCTTGTGAGTTAGGTGTCTAAAACAACAGTGCCGGCCTCCTTCTCCTCAGCTGTTCAGACTCATTTTAAGAACAATACTTTTCTACTCTCATTTATCTGCTGCTCTGGGCTATGGGGCTATTTATGGGTAGTGTTTGTGGCAGACTGGAATCTGCTGCCTCTATTTCCCCTCAGCTCTATCTCTGTGGGGATCAGGGACGTTTATGGTGATGGAAGAATACTTTTGGGGCAACTGGGATGCACTCTATTCAAAGGAAGGCGATGATTAAGACCAAACTGAGCTTCCTGTTATCTTAGGATTGTCTTGGACTTCTCAGTTTTTGACCACAAATGACCCAACAAGAGATTGGGATGACATTTGAGCTATGATGCATGGGATTTTAGAGCTTGGAAAAACATTTCAAGGTTCCTTTAGTTGGTCAAGGGACTCTCAAGCACCAAGTCTTGGAATTATCATCTTTATTTATTTACAATATATTTACAAAGCCCTTAATTCCCAATTCCATCTCAGGGAACTTGCAGACCTGTGCATATATAAAACAACCCTGGATCCTAAAAAATGCTCGAAAAGAAGCCCCAATGAGCGCAACAGCTGATAGACAGACAAGCAATAGATGTCTTATGTATACATTGTATACATAATTGTTTCCATGGGTGAATCATTTCCAGTCCATCAAGAACCACCAAGACAGATCAGTGGCCCACAGGAGGGTAATGAGTATCTTAACAGCTTGTATCCGCTCTCGTCAGGAAGGTCTCCAAGATCCAAACAAAATGTTCCAGTTTCTCTACATGGTCATGTCTGGGTTGACAGCAGACCTCTAAAGAGCTGAGCTAATGGGGAGGAGGGGGGAGTAATACCATATCGTAATGACAGACAAGGGCGGATTAGTAGGGAATGTTGATGGACACGACTGTACAGATGAGTGGCACTATGGTGTGGAGAAGAGATCCATCTAACAAGAGGGTGGGATAGAGAGTGGGCTAAGATGCTGCAAAATGTCAAGTTCAGAACTTACTCTTTGGCTGTTTTAAGTTTCTGTTTTAAGTTCAGTTTGCATCCATCATAAAAAAGACAACCAGAATCAGGTTGACATTCATCCCTCTACAGCCCAGCCCTCAATCGGTTTGTCAACATCACATCATCTTTCACAGGTCTTTACTCATGTCCGACACGGCACTCATCAGCATTCCTCCACTACGATTCATCATAGTGTCTCACTCCTGCTGGGAACAATCCAGTATGACCCCCACACACCCCCTCCTCGGCAACAATAGTGTGTGCTCATAAACCTAAAATCTTCTCCTGCCCCCGGGATGGTAGAAATGCATGCATCAGTAATACAACACCGCTGTCAAAGTCACTTTGAGGATTCCTACGAACAAGCTGGCAGATGAGCTATGAAGTGATGAAGCAAATATCAACCAATTTTGCTCCTTCCAAACAAAGACAGCAATCTTTTCAACATGAATTTGAGAGATTGTGTTTGCAAACAGAACTTTTTGCATACAAATGTACCCCGGCTACTTTAATGTGATGAAACCACTCTGTCACTCAGCAAGGCGAGAGTAGATGAATGCACAATATAGATGAATGCTGTCCCAACCTCACCATCAGTGCTCCTACCTTTCTTTGTGGGCTCTGGCATCTTGAGCCGTATCCCAAGAAAATCTCCAAGTAGTCAAAAAGTGCAGGTGGGTAATATAGGTGCCTTCAGAGTGATGTGACTCTAACAGGGGGCCAGGTAAGATGATCCAGAAGGTCCAGGAGCGAAGGGATGATAGGCCAGTTGAAGAGTTAAAAATCTCTGGGACCCCTCAGACCAGAGTGATGGGAGATAAAGTGGGCACGGGGATACCGTTTAGAAAACTCGGTGGGGGAAGAGAGGAGGACCAGTGACAGATCCGGGGGGGACAGGCTCTCTGGCCTTATATAGAGAGGTGGCATGCTCCTCCTTTATATAGTGGACAGTGAAGCTCTGTCTTAGACTCGCTGTTGCATCACCATCCCCTACCCACTGGCTGTTGTGCCAGTTTTGATTCAGGCACATGATTTTTGTGTTTCCTTGTGCCCTAGAATGACATTGGTGCATTTGCTGGCTTTAGGTTGAATCCTTTGTTTTCATTTCTCAGCTTGGTTTTAATTTTTGAGTTCTGCAAAGTCCAAATTTGGCATACCACCCCAAAATTTACACATTGCTGGTGGGACATTCATTTCAAAGTTTCCTGATTAAAGAAAGCATTAAACAACTCATGAAAGCAAACATAAAAGGTCAACACCTCTCTTATGAGTTGTGCATTCACATTCAAGCTATAGCTAGCAGCTGGTTAGCTTAGCTTGGCCTGGAAATTTCACGCAAGGAAGAACAGCAAGCTAAGCTCGTGCCCAAGCTAATGAATGTGCACCCACCAGCACTGTCTAAACTCTGTAATAATTAAACGTTTTATATTTCATTGTTGTGCAAGTGGTTAAAAAAAATCCCCCATCCTGACAACAACAAAAGATGTCTCAGAGAGCTCCAGCGGTGGGCTACTGAAAGGCTAAATTTTGTCATTGTCCCAACTGCCTCTAAAGTCTGTCTTCTTGTTTATGTTTGGTTGATTCTTATGAAAATGTTGTACGGATGCTGCTACAGCTCCCAGCAACATTAAATCAAGCTAATCATTTCGTACTTGGTTCAACAATACACCTCTCAGACCATGGATTTCCCTCGGTATATGGCTGAGGAGTGTCAATGGGGCATCAGAGGTGAGTATCCTTAATGCACCAAAGAAGGGGAGGACAGGACTTCAGGAGCAGTGACATAAAGAGATGTGATCTCATTTCCACAGGTGCATGTATCACTCATAAACAATGGCAGATGATAAACAACATATTTAGAGAAACTGAGGATTTATCCTAAAACAAAGGTTTGAAATGACAGTCAGGGTCTTCATGCCAGTTGCCAGATATAATTTTAATCCATGGGGAATGCCATCCAAGAACAGCCGTCTCTCCAACCTGGCAAATAAATACTGGGGAAATGCCTGGGCGATGGTTATATGGCCTATACTTAGAAAGCTGTTGTAAACCTTGACATTTGACATGTGTATCTGACAAGAAAAGAGGATTTCAGCGCAAATTATGTTACAGATGTGAGTCCCTTGTTTTGATCAATCTTTTCAGCATGTCAAATCGAAATGATAAGGCGCTTGTGGTCTGTTCAAATCAAACAGAAAGGCTTAAAGCTGCTGGATTGAGAAGCAGCAGAGCTTTTCCTTCTTTAGCTGTAAAGCTCCTGCTGAGAATCAAAGAAATTCATTGTCACTTGGGAATTTTTATGATCTCAATGTGGAGATACATATAAATCATGCACAATTAATACCTCAGACAACCCAACAGAGCAGTCAAGACAAAACATCAGAACTATTTTTAGGAAAAGGCTGCTGTCAGTGCACGGGAATGCAGCTTGCATTTGTTGACTGGTTTTTCAGTCATGTTGATGTGACAGCATACATGAATACTCTTGAGATGAGTCACAGAATTCACCTGAACGTGTCTATACTGTAAACTGACACCATAAATAAGATGTTAGATTTTAAATTAAAAAACACAACAGTTCCTGAAGTGACTGTTTTGGTCATTCTGTTCAAACTATGTGGCCTTTCTTGGTAACAGACACCCATAGATCAGTTAGCCCATTTATAACCTGGAGTGGGCTCCAGCAGTAAATACTAGGCTTAGGGGGGCATCACGTGGGCCCGCTACAAAGAGCACAAAACCATTTGGTATTACCCTGGACGGCCATGAGTGCACATCACAGAGGCGATTTAGCCATGAGGTCATGGCACACAGAGGGAGGAAAAAGAAGCAGCTGGGACTTTGAAGTGGACTACACTGACACCCTCTGGTTCCTGGCAGCCATGAAACTCTTATAAATGAAGAGGGAAACATGCACAGATGCACTTTGTCAACAGGGGAAGACAAATGTTAGGCTGCTAAGACTGTGTTTTCTCTCAGGGCAAGATAAACTGACACTTAATGTAGATGTTTAGGTGTACAGAGTTGGGCTGGAAACACTGGCTAAGCAATGCTTTTATCAGAAAAGGACAGCTTTGCAATGACTGATGAATCAAGATTTTTTTTTATGTACTGTACAGAGACTACGGTAAAAGCTGCGGGGTAAAATGTTTTGATGCTGACATTTCTTTTGTACTTCCTCCTCTCATTCACATGACTCTCATTCATCAGCAGAGCTATCAATCATTACAGCACACTTCTTTTTTTCAACATTAAATAGCTAATTCAAGTTTAAATGTCAAAAAAGAGGAAAAGCAGAATTCATGCAAAAAGAAACTTCTTTTTTTTCACTGTCACCCTTCAATCACCCAATTACCAATGAATAGATTGCAGATTCATCAACATACATTTTTAAACAGATTTTCCTTCTAAAGGGATCCTGTCTACACCAGAAGTGTTTTTGAATATTTCTCTGACAGTACACGAATGCAAAAACTGTCAAAAGAGACCCCTGCAGCACACCAAACCAGTTGGTGGGGAAATTTTGTGATCAGTTTGTTATGTCAGATGCTGTAAAGGAACATTGTGTTTGTCCGTGCATGTTGATCGTCTTTCATGTAGTCTTCAGAGGCAGGTCTGGGACTGTCGACTTTGATGCATTTATTTGCATCTCTGCTGCAGCAAATCTAGGTTTCCTTGTTCGCATGATACCAAACCTAACAGTATTGAAGTAAACATTATATTAAACCTAACGGTGCTGAAAACGTGAACTTGTAGTCTGCTGTTTTGGCAGACATGCAGCTCAAATAAAGAGTAACTGCTGTATGCATGCTCAGGTATAAATGTAAGCGTTTCCAAACTTTTGTTTTTGCTGTCTACACAAATTCATACAAACAGATTTACTTTTACTTTTTTAATCTCCACTTTAGATGGTATTTTCAAAAACTTATAGGTATGTCTAGTCCAGTCATTGTTTATTGTATTTTGTCTATTTATTAGAGATTAAATAAAGTAGTTTGACAAAAAAAGAAGAGTAATATTTTTATTCTTTTTTTATTTCTTACAAAATTACAACTCTTACAACATATAAACCTTAAGAAAACTCAGTGGTAGAATGACAAAAACAAAGACTCATATAAAGAAAGTGTGTGTGGTGGGGGCTATTATGAGATGATATGACACAAAAACTCATACACTATGTACAAAAATACAGTCCTTTTTACATGTTTCCTCTTTGACTCTTCTGCAGTACTGTGAGGGTGTTCTGGCTGAACTGGTAGGTGAGTTTCTTTTTCACCTTGAAGATCTCTCCCGAGCGGGCGTAGTTCCTGAGGGCGCGGGACATCTTCTGATACGTCATCGGCCTCTTGTTGCCCTTCCTTTGCCCCCAGAGTGCTGCCACCTGGTCCTTGTTGGTGGAGGAAAAGCGAAAGACGCCGGCAGCAGCTGGGACCCAGGACACACAGTGGGCCATGTTTGGATCCTCCAACATCTCAAAGAGGAAGTGAAAGAGTCGCACTTTTCTACCTGGGACAGAAATTGGCACAATTATAGGCTTTACAAGGATTTTAAAGAAGGGATTATCTTTGTACCTGTGATTCACTGAAACAGCTCATGCAGGTTAAAAGTTAATCATTTCCTCAAATGCAGCAATTCCCAGAATATCTCTCCCCTGATGGGATGCCATTTAGCCGAGAAGGTTAGAGCTGTAAACACTGCGGTTATCTGATAGATATGTAAAAGCTGCTTTTCAGCTACGCCATGCACAGCTCAATTGTTTTTTTACAGTAAAGGGAAGGTCTCTTATTTACTCTCTATTGTTTCCCTCAGGCTACGAGCAGCCACAGCAATAACAGTATCTAGTGACCAGAAAAAGGAGAACTCACCACTCCCGGCTGCTCTGCTGGGTTGTCTCATTGAGACGGGGTTTGGCTCACACAATGATGCTGTTGTGGTTTGGCTGTGAGATTCTGGGGTGTCGTGTGCCATCATGGGATGAAGCGCAGGTGTGATAATCTGATGAAAGAGAACAATGACAGATTTACAGAATTGGGTGTGTTTCAATTCAGTGTTTGTGAGGAAAAAGGATGTGAAAGCACATTTTTATGCGTACAGTTTGCTCGCTGCACATCCATTGCTGCTCACATGACTCCTCAGCTGCAGTCCAGTTTGCCTTGACTGCTGGAAAAAAGAAAAAGTTGCAGAAAGATTTAATTTGACTCATATTTAATACCTCATAATTGAGTTTTCAAGGCTTTGACTTTACCATTTTCTCCAGAGTGTTGTCTGTAGTACTCCTCTAGGAACTCTAAGATCACCTCCAAATCAGTCTGACTCTCCTGGAAAGTATTCTGAAAAAGAGAAATAATTCAAATCAGGCTCAAATTCAACCCTTAGTTTCTCTTTAAAAGAAATTCTGTTGTCATTCTTCTTTACCATCATGTGTCCTTCACTTCTGGAGAATTTCACAGGACTGACTCTAACACCCCTCAGTCCCCAGACCCCTTAATATACCCCCCAGCTGGAGAAGGTTTTCACCATACGTCTTCTACTCCTTAACTCACAGAAACAATGACCTCCATCCCACAAAGCCCCAACACCAGCACCAGTTAACCCATCAACAAAGCCCCCCGGCACTGACCACATCCTCCCCGCTGCACCAGATAAGCGCTGGTCTGCTCTCTTTTCAGGAAAAACACTCTTACTGCCATATTTTTCCTCACAGGATGTGTTTCTTAATGTGAGATTTTTTTAGTGAGCTTACTGTGATGGAGGTGATGCCAGATCTTTCAACACAGCCTCAACATCACTGTAACAAAGGATGTGGTCTGTTGTAGTCAAGTCAGTGAAACCAAACCTGTAAGGAGGGGCACACAAATCCTAATGACTACAGTTTATTAATGAAAAGAAGAGTTGGGCAATGATAGTAGAAACACATCATAAAGTGAAGAGCAACAGTTTTTATTGATGCATTTATTAGGATATTACCAAGATTCACTTATTGTCTAATGCCAGTCAGGAGCCAGCAACTGCTTAGGGATTTCAGCCTCTGTATATGTGGCGCACTTGGATTGCTCGGCCATCAGTGCACCCAAGTTATACTTCAGTATCAGTTTCAACCAATCAACAGGAAATCAAATCTTTTAGCACATCAGCTCCACTATGTCACGAGTGTCAGGATCCTAAATAGATACTAAATAGAGTCTGCTTTAAGAGGGACATGTTCATAGATACCAGCATGTACACGCGCCTGCAGCTGGCTGCTGAGTGTTACTTGATAACATGATATACCTCTGTTTGAATTCAGGGGCTGGCTGCTTTTCTAATATCCTCTGACATGTTGTTTTACACCAAACAATGCCCCTTTCTAATAAAATCACAACTTTATAGTGACTGTGTTTTATTTATAGCTGCAAACTCTTACTAATTTGCATTTTAATTCTAGTTAATTCATATCTTTATTTCAGTAGTTTTAGACTTCAACCTTGCTCATTTATGACTTTATGATGTAAAGCTGCAGCTTAGTTTTAGCACATTTACTTGTAATTGCAGTATCAGCTCTATTTGTGTTAAGTTACATTGTACAACATTGATTGTGTTCATTTCATAAGTGTATGACTTCTCCTGTGAGAAGATTTTTTATATTTATGAAAAAGACTGAAATTCATATTGATTTTTTTTTTTTGACAAACATAGAAAACAAGATCATCAGAGACTAGACTCATAATTTTTTATATTGTAATTTTTGATGCCTGACACTGGTGTGAGAGGGAGGTGTTAGCAAAGTGGGTGAAAAAAGCCCCATTCTTGCAATATTCACAATGGATGATAGATTTGGCAGTCAAAAATCAGCAGGTTCTGATTTTTTTCATTGTATTTATTTATTTTTTTGTTACACTATTTAAAAATGTTGAGAACAATATAAGCAAGACTGCTTTGTCTACAGGGGCGAAGTCTGAAAGTTTCTCACAGAAGCTTTAAGTAAGATGACTGTTTTGGTTTCATACTATGATTCTGACTGGTCCTGTTAATTGTGTGGCTTACAGATTAAGTTTTTCAAATTCAATGTTGCACTGTTGTTAATTTTAAATTCATCATGTTTGCCCTTATTTTCTCAAATGTATAACTTTTTGTTTGGAATTCAACTATTTTTTCTCATGTTTTCACTAACTTAACATTACAATTTTATATAACAAATATATTATTATAGAATAAAAAACTCATTCTTTTTAAAGTACAACTTAATTCTCATAAAACTATTTTTTTTAAATTTTGTAATACTAAGTTATCAGAGTCAATTTTTTTTCTCTTAAAGGTACCCTTTACTTTGATTGTAATGTTGACTCTGTGATTTTAGACAGCTATTTAATTCTGAACTCTGGTGACATAAAATTCTCCAGAAAAAAATAAAGTACTTTTTTGATGAAAAAAGTTTTATTTTTTATTACAACTGTTTACAATTATTTACAGTCAAGTCCACAGAGTACTCTTAAAAGTAAAGAGTATTTACAGAAGTTGCAGTCATACAGAAATACATAAAGGCTTAATAGTTTGACAAGAAAATTATTTTATGACACTAAAATTATAACGTTTCACCAAATATAGATGGATGATTGTAAGTGAAAACTTCCATGAACAGTAAATATCTTGGAAAAAGTATCAAAACACAAATTATACATTTAAATATGATCGTATGTAATGATTAGCTTGCTCTAAGATCTAAATTGGAGTTTATTTTTTTCAGATAAAGTTGTGTTGTCTGGAAAAACAAGCGTGTTAAAGTGACACCATATATTGAACATGTTCCAGCATTAGAGGCTGAAAATAAAAGACTCTCATTCATTGAATCAGTTCTTTAAAAGTGATTGTGACTTTGCTGAGACTCGTCCTTCATCTCTAAAAATCAATTACAGTAAAATTTCTGGAGTCATTATACACAATTATTAAAATTAAGTGTAAAATCTCAATCATTACATGCATTAACTTTAAGGGATAAATGTGGCCCAAATGAGTTCAGACTGTCCTGCAGCTCAGAGCTGTGTGATGCTGTGTGTGCTGAAGCTGGTGGTCAGGTTGTAGTCCTCCTGCAGCTGTCTGAAACAGTTGTGTCTGTGCCTCCCCATGGCAGCAGGACCACAGAGGCTCTGATCAACCTGGCTCTGCGGCCACGTGCCCACCTCCTCTTGTGCATGATGGACCGGCAGGTGCATGCTCACCTGTGCAGAGCCGAGCCTGTGCAGGATGTCTGGATTGAACTGGTATGTGAGTTTACGTCTCACTTTCATGATCTCGCCTGTGCGGCTGTAGTTTCTCAAAGCTCTGGCCATCTTCTGATAGGTCATGGTCTTGCGGTTGCCTTTGCGTTGGCCCCAGCACTCGGCCAGCTTCTCCTTGTTCTTGGAGATGAAGTGGAAGGTGCCGCTGCCACTGTCTGTCCACTGGATGGAGTCGCCCATGTTGGGGTCATTCAGAGCTTCATGGAGATACTCGTAGAGTCTCAGCTTCTTACGGCCTGAGGAAGAAAAAACTTGATTTAGGGATGAGAGCACAATGGGAAGTGAAAATGTTAAGAACAGAAACAAATCTGCTTACCTTTGCTGCTTCTCTGGGGGGGCAAAACTGAGTAAAACGGAGGGATTTCACTTTGAACTGAATGACTCAGCGAGACTTCTGGCAAGACCTGAGGCCAAGACTGCTGCAGAAGGAGAAATACAGATAACAGTTTATGACAAAGTGTCTGTATGAGTGTTTTCAGATCATTGCATACATTTTGGTATTTAGTTTTAGCGTTGTAAGCTTCTGAGGATCCTGAGCAAAACTATGTGTCCCTTTAACTCAGTTAATTTAATCAGATTCCATTCCTGCCTCACTGTAGCCGAAATTAACCCAAAAATTGTGCCACATTTTTCTTATTTTGTTTATAACCAAAATGTTTTTTTTTTTTTTTTTTTTTTTTTTGAGAAATAAAGAAAATGGAAAAAAAGAGTTTAATATAACTGTACTGACTGTGCACTTTGAGGTACCTTGAAGTCCTGATTTCTGACCACACTGGTCCAGCAGTGCAGCTTTTATTAGAAATATGAAACTCAAATTGATAAGATAATAAAGTACATTTGATGATATTCATTTAATCCTCAAATCAAACACCGGTGAGAGAATTGCTAAACATTATTAATGGACCAAAGATTAGTTTGGAAATACAAACTAGGTTGTCAAAATGGATTGAAATCTCAGAGATTGCATCAAAACACTTATAGTAAACCAAAATAGAATATTTCCTGACATTACACAACTTTAATCTTTCAGTTTTGTAATGTCTGATTCCACATGTGTGATGTGTGATTTATGGTATTATTAATATATACTGTTGTGTTACTTTTTATTGTAAAGTATATTTTGTCTTTAATTTATTTATCATTACTTTTTGATTATTTTATCAAAGACATCAGCAGAATACAATAAATATATGATAAAATGATATTATATTATATTATAATATATTACATTATATTATTGCACTCTGTAATTTGTAGGCAAAGGTAATCAGACTATGTCATACCCTTTGTAGAAAGTTAACTTTTGTCAGTTTTTTTACTTATTTAACTATTATTATTATTATTATTATTATTATTATTATTGTTACTTACAGTCATGTCATTCCACTCATACACTGGGGTTGTTGCATCAGATGAGTGTGTGACGAGGCAGCAGGAGCTCAGAGTCTCATAATATGCATATTCTAAAAAAAAAAAGGGTGAATTAGTTTAATTTAACAGCCAGACTAAACTAAAGTTTACCTGAAAAAAGATTTTAAAAAATGTGTACTGCATAAATAACTGTGGACAATAGATAAAAATGAACAAAAACATTAAAATATTAGAGTGAAAATGAGGAGATTTTGACTGTACCTGAATCATAATATGAATTATGTGAGTTCTGTTGCATCACATCAATTGCATCCTGGAAGTGTTGGTTGATGTCGGTGTCCAATGAAGTCTGGATTAGAAACAAATAAGAAAACATACTCATGAAAAAAACATGCATTATAATCCAGGTTATATTTGTCTGATTTGCAGAGGACTGATGCTAACTACCTTCAAACTCACCATCGTGTTTGTCTGATGTGTCCCTTATTTTGGGCCTGCCTGAAGACTGTCTCGGTGTCACTCTGGTGCAGGTGTGCAGATTTTGAACAGGTTTATCTAAATATATATATGTCAGACCGGCCTCTCTTACCTGGTTAGCCTCATTAACAGGTAAGAGAGGCCGGTCATTTTTAAAGTCACTTCTTCTTTTCTGGAAGCAGAGATCAGACGCACACCTGAGCATCACACTCTCCTCTCCTATTGCAGATCACAATCTGCACACAACAAAAACTCTTTTATCACGCACTCGACCCAGGAATACAACAATTCTCCGGCTGACCTGAGAATTTGCATAGCGGGCAAGATGTGTATCTAACATACACGTTTATTACCTGTGCTGTTCAGTAATGCTCAAATTTAAGCCTTGAGTGCTGCGGGTCGTTTTACACCATGGTTTATTGTTTTCCAGCAAAAAATTGAGAGCATGCATTAACATTTGCATGAAAAGGATAAGCCTTTGGCCAAGTTCTTATAGGAAACACAAACACTGGAAACCACTAGCTTACAATAAATCAAAGGATTGTTATCTTCAGTCATAGTCTACAAAGACATATAAATGTTCACTTTAATTTGCATTCAGTCAAAAGAAAAAATGAAGAAACGTTGCATTCCCTGACTTTTTTTTTTTTTAAAGCTAGCAGGAGAGAAAAAAAGAAAAGAAATTAGAGGTTGATTTTGCAAGATTTTTACGCTGTCTCTAATTCTGAATCATGAAAATTAATATAGCAAAAAGAGAAAGAAAAAAGTCCTAGAACAGTGCTTTTACTGAAGAACTTAAACAGCTTTTCCCCCCTTTTTTTCTAAAATGACTTTATGTACTCAAACATGCTTTATATTCTGGAGCGTACACAGGTGTATAAGGACTATGTGCAGAGCCAAAGCCAAGTTAAAATAAAGTGATGCTCAGTTAAGCAGAGTGCCATAAACACACTTCTTGATAAATGCAACAGTAAACGTTAATGGTTAATAATGTGGTCATCTCTGCTAAACTCCGTCTCCCCTTGTTTTCTCCTCTGTCAAAGCTGCCCCCTCCTCCCTGTTCAAATAAGCAGCAGCTCTTTTTTGAGAAGTGAATTTATCACAGGCGTGCAGTTTTAAATATCAACTGACTTGCATCCGAAGTTCCCCTTTCTGCCTGGTCGTAGCATGGCAGTCGTCAGACCTGAATGCTGAGCTTACAGCAAAATGGAAATTAAAAAATGGAGATGCACAGATTATAGTGGTGCCAAAAACCAACAAGGTCAGATGACAGGAGCTCACAGATGGCTTTGTTTGATGCTATGTTAACTGATAAGTATCTCTTTTTATTAGATTCTTAATCACTGAAAGGGTCTTTATCCAAAAACATCTCGCCAAACCAAATACCTTTTTTGTCACTGTGTGTATGTGTGTGCATGTGTTTGTGTGTGCAAGTGTTTGTGTGTGCGTGAATAGGGGAGGAAGGAGTGTCTGTGGGTTCAAGCATGCAAATATACGTGTGTGTGTGTGTGTGTGTGTGTGTGTGTGTGCGTGTGTGCGTGTGTGCGTGTGTGTGTGTGTGTGTTTCCTGCCTGTGCAGCACGCTGATAAAAAAAAAAAACAAAGAACCACAAACCTCCTCCTCTCACCTCTTCTGTCTCTCTCCATTCAGGGTGAAACTTTTGTCAAATCAACACCGTAAATTTCAGACCACAACTTGTCGGCCTGCAGCAAAGGCCTGACAGATGTGTGCCTGTTTCAGGCTGTGTGAGAGACGCACTCGGCTCCCACAGAAGGGTGGTCTCTGGGGTCTCAGGAAAGTTGTTTTCAACTGTTTTAAATTATTTTGTCAAGATGAAAAATTTACCATTGAGTAATACTGATTTATGTCAGTGTGAACATAATTTTTGATTCTATTCTATTCTATTCTATGGAATCTCATTATATTATGTCCTATTTCATTCTATTCATATTTCATCAACTTTGCTCTTTTCTATTTGACGCTATTCTATTTTATTCTATTCTGCCTTTTCTATTCCATTTTATTCTTTTCTATTCTATTCTGCTTTATTCAACTCTAATTATTCTATCCTTTTTATTCTATCCTATCCTACTTTTCTATTCTATTCTATTCTTCCCCTTCTTTTCATTCTATTAGATTCTTTTCTATTCTATTCTAGTTTATTCAACTGTAATTATTGTTTTCTATTCTACTCTATTCTACTAAACTTTAATTATTCTTTACTAGTCTATTCTATTCTATTTGACTTTAATTATTTTATACTCTATTCTATTAAACTCTAATCATTCAATTCTATTCTATGCTGTTCATCTTTATTTATTATTTTCTATTTTATTCTATTCAACTTTAATTATTCTTTCCTATTCTATTCAACTTTAATTATTCTATTCTATTCTCTTCAATTTTAATTATTCTATTCTATTTTATTCTATTCTATTCAACTTTAATTATTCTATTCTATTCTATTCTGTTCAACTTAAAATATTCTTCCTATTCTATTCTATTCTATTCTATTCAACTTTAATTGTTCTATTCTATTCTATTCTATTCTATTCAACTTTAATTATTCTATTTTATTCTATTCTACTCTATTCAACTTTAATTATTCTATTCTATTCTATTTTATTCTATTCTACTCTATTCAACTTTAATTATTCTATTTTATTTAATTCTATTCTACTCTATTCAACTTTAATTATTCTATTTTATTCTATTCTATTGTATTCTATTCTGATTCTTTTATAAGTTGTGTTTCCCACTTTCCTGTTAACTCTCTCTTATCTCCCCTATATTTTAAGTCTTTCTGTCCTGTTGTTCTCTTTTTCATCCCATTATTTTCTACTCTATTTTGATGTTGTTTTTACTTTTGCTCTGTTGTGTAAGTAGGCCATGAGTGGAATCCATACATTTTATACAGTTTGATAATTTATTTCTAAAATGTTCGCTTTCATCTCATCCTGGTCCTGATATAATGAAAGTTAGTGGGCACAGATTCTAAGAGCATCTGTGTGCTTACTATACGTCATGCCATTCGACTCTTTTTTTTCTTTTTTAAATTCCTATAATCTCTGCTATCTATTATATTTTTTAGGATATCTGAACCATTATTCAAAAACGTTTCAGAATAAGAATAAGTCCTGACCACATAAAGCTGATCTCACATTCTCATTTGTTTTGCTGCAGTTCTTTTATCTTTGTTGTTTGATTATAATAGAGTTGAGTGTGTCAGTAAGCCACTGTTAATTATGTGCTTTGGAGAGCATGTGCGAATAGGGAAGAGAGCAGAGTTGTTAAAGAGAGTTATGTTTGTCTGTGATGGTGGTACAGTATAATTTCAGTCAGAGCAGACATGCTGCAGCTTAATCTTTCCAAACAAAGAAGCACTTTCCTTCCCCTTCTTGGTTCAATAGCTGCGTGTTTGTTGGCTCCAATGTGGGAACGGCAGGCTGACCGCAGCACAGTCAATACTATTGTTCTTCCTTATTTACTGGTACTGGATGAAAATCAAGAAGTGTCAAAACCAGAGGTACATAATGAGCCTTTATCAGGCTGCATGCTGATGTGACCACAGGGTTATAATCTTTATCTCTGAGTTTGTTGAGCAAGGGGAGACTAACAGATTGAGAGTAGTGCACACTTTGCACTAATTTTCTGAAACATTCATTTGGATTCAGGATTTCTAATCCATGTCAGATGCTCTGATGTGCAAAAGTTGCATGCATTTCAAAAATCTATTCCTACTGTCTATTAAAAAGATATTTTAAAGATAAAAAGTTTAGTTAAAAGCAAAAATATAACACTCTGTTTTACTTAGGTTGGTGATGGTTTTTATAGCTTAACTGAAATGTGACTCATTGACCAGTAGACGGCAGGACAGAGCCATAAACACCTCACATGTGTAAAACACTATCCAAGTGCAACTGGTGGTAAAAGAGCCTTATATTTACTGTAAATCTCACTTACAATGACTGAAAGAAAACCCTACATGTAAAAAGCTGGTTGAAGAACCAAACTGCTTTGCTTTTCTTATCATTAAGTCTGTTTCTATTCAAATCTCTTGCTCTCCAAGGAGGTCAAAGGTCAGGGCCTGTAGAAGTGGAGATAGTAGCAGTGGTTTCCTGCTCTGCTGGGTACACTCAGCATGATGTGTGTTTGGTTATCTTGAAAACACCAAACAAAGCTTGTGGGCTGTAGTGTTTCACAAGAACACTAATTAACAAATAGATGAGTTTAAGGCTTATCAGTTACAATAATACTGTCCCAGGCTTGATAACATGATTAGACAGATCAGAAAGGGAGTTCCTTGAGTTACTGTTCTTGGACCAGTGAGAATCACGTTTCGAATATACAGTATTTGCTCCTTCATGGTACAATTGGAATAGCTTTATGTCAAAGACACTGTTCTTAATCAGGGCCTGTGTGTACTAACAGTGTTTTTTGTGTGTGTTTAATGAAAACACATATTTCCTGTGCAAAACCAATGTAGTCAAGTGTTTTCAGCGCTCAGTATTACAAGCGCAAAAACACCCTCAGCCCCAACTCTCTCATAGTTGAAAACATAGGCTGTATGAAATCATGGACAGGTTAACAACTACTGTGACCGATGCAAAAACTTTTGCAGCTCCCTCTGGTGACTGACTGCAGTGTGGGGCTTAGAAGCTGATCAGACTTAGATGTATGTGTATTTTATATCTTGCATTGGCAGCATCTCGAGGCCTTTAAAATGCACCCTGTAAAAAAACAAGTTTTAAGTAAATCTTTATCAATTCTTAGGAAAAATGTACTGAAATGAAAACAAATATGAGGCATTCAGAGTACGTTAAAACCATGTCTGAGGGAAATGATAGTGCCATTAGATGACATTCACAACTTAGCAACAATGACTGGCTGTGAGAAGCACTTTAAAATTAAAGTTGTGGGTGCTGCCAGTGCAAAAAATGCCATTAGTGGACACAGGCCCTTAAGGTCCACATTCCTTACTGCTGCCTCTTTTCCCCTAAATATTCATCTCATAACCCAATGTAATTGTCCTTGAAAGTAGATTTAAATTGAAGTTTTGGGTGCTGTCGGTTTTAAAAAAAAACCCTTATTGTTCACAGGCCTTTATCATTTCCTTTAAGTAATAATCACCATATTAAACATTTTGCACTGCAGACGCGGTAGTTCTTCTGTTCTAGCGTCTCGATCTGCTTGCATTTCATGACGAAATGATCATATGGATTGGCCCGAGGTCTCTCAACAAACAAGCGGCTGCTGGAAGAGAGTAGGTGAGTTGTGTTTAGTCTCTTTGCTTAAGAAATTAGGCAAAGTTAAAAAGATGTTTGGTGGCTCTTGCTGTGGCTAGGACCCTATATGTACTGTTGATGAAGTTAGGTGCTGTTCTGAGCATTATTTGTGGCTGTAGAGTGGTGTTTTGGTTGAGGTTTGTTTATGGCTCGTCAGACCGCTGTGTCTTGCTATCGTGCGGTCGTTACTAAAGTTGGTATAACTAGTGAGGCAAGCGGTCAGCAACATTCATCTCTCGAGGGGGTGTCTAACTCGGTGTTACGGTGTGTTTGAGCCTAAATTAATTTTATGCCGGAATATCCCTTTAGGGTTCAGATTCTTTCATACAACCTCTTATTATCTACACCCTGAGTAGTTATCCTCAAACCTAGATGCACTAAAACTCTCATCTAAATTATCAAACCAGCTTTTGGATGTTAATAACTGTTATTGAATGTGATCATCAGTAACCAGATAGCTGCCGAGGGGATGTAAAGTCTGAAAACCCCTGATGCAGTAATAAAGCAGTCTAGATTAACAAAAAGAGGAACTAGTTTCTGATTTTGTGAAGAAATAAAAGACACAGTCACACGGTGAAACAGGTTTTGAGGTTTTTTAAAATGACACCTTACACGATAGATTTCACATCGTAGGTTTGATTTTACTGGCTGGGCTTCCTCAGAGATCTATTGCATACAGAAAGAACAAAGGCCATGAGCTCGGATGTGAGCTGAGGTAGCACAAAATGAATCAAATAAATGTGTGTGATATTGACTATGATATGAGAATTGTCAGAGAGTAATATTCAGAATTCAGAGACGAAAGTGGAATATTTCTTTTGGAATATATTAAAAAATAAAGACCTGAATGTACGGATGGGTGATGCAGGGTTACAGATGAGGGTTTCTACTTTCTGCAGAAGGCAATAGCACCATATGCTACGACTCCTACAACAGCCACTAAAGCAGCACCTTCAAACAGCCTCTTGGTGGAGCTCTTAGGTTTGATAGTCTTTGGTAGAGGGGAGGGCTGAGGCTCTGACTTTTCTATCGCTGCTTCAGAGGTTTCAGAAGAATGTTCCTCCACATCAGAGAGGGGAATCTGTGAGAATTTTAGCAGCTCCGGACTCTCTGTTGGAAGCTCTACTGCCATTGGTGCAAGGATGAATGGAGGGTGGAGCCCTTCAGTGCTATAAGGCTCCTCAGCTTCAGAGGTTGTGGTTGAAGGGACGGGTGTGGATGTAGTAGAAGGAGGGTGTAGCCTGACGATAGGTAAAGGAGGCAAAGCCATTGGGGGCACCACCTGCATGAACTCAGCAGGCTCCTTCTCCATTCGAGGCTCCTCTGCTGACACCAGGAGCCCCTCAGTTTCTGGGGCTTGGAGGTCCTGTGCCTCCTCCCTCATCTCAACCAGCTCCTTCTCTCCACCTAAAACACTTAACACACTCGAGTGCAGCTCATCCTCTTCCTCCACCTCGTCCTCTGCCTCTTCGAGCATCTCCACCTCCTCTCGCTCTAGATGGACCATGTCAGAGTTAGAGGAATGGTTCTCCTCCCCAGCCTGAACTGCCCCATCGTTGCTGTCTAGGCTCTTAGTGTCCTCTGGGTCCACGTCACCCATTGTGGACCATGACTCTGCTAGCAGGCTCTCGCTTTGCCAGGGTCCGGGACTCTCTGTCTGGGTCAGAGGCAAAGCAGAAGGGCCGGGGCTGAGGGAGACCTCCCTGCCTCCTCCATCCCCCCTCCTGGACTCAGCTGGGTCCTTACCCTCCAGAATGAAGGATGGTGCCTACAAAGAGAAATTATAGAGCAGATTATGAGGGCTATATATTTAACTTATTAACTTTTAATGGGCCATTTGAATTGTGTTTCCCTCATCTTTTAATAAAGTAACTGTATTGTTTCTTAAAATTATATTTTTTGATATCTGCAGTGCAAATAAAAATAAATAAAATAAAATAGAAAAAATAAACACAGCTCCACACATGCATATTTTGATTTGCTGACTGAAATTGATTCATAGGGGGGGGGGGGGGTTGTTGTTTTTGCAGTTGGTAACAGGGCTAACAGACATGCAATGACCAAAACAATCATCCCTAGAGGAGGAAAAAAGCTGCAAATTCAGAAACGATGGAGAACCATAGACTGTGTAAAGAATGGACGCCATCTGCCTCCTTGCTGGGTGAAGCCACTCCAAGAACAGCACCCTCTGTTGACGGGCTGCAGTATAGGTCATAAATCCCACCTCTGTCAGCAAAGCTTATGGGACTGTGGACAAACCTTAGAAATTCATTAAACAGAATATAATTTTTTCTCCCCCCTGCTTGTGATTCATGCTCAAGTCCTCTTTTTTCTGTGCAGCTCCGTTTTTAAAAGTTATTAGAGGTTCCATGTTTTCTATGATTGACACTTGATACAGCCTTTGGGCGTACGAAGATTGTGTAGCTCACCCGGGGATACGCTGTTTGAGCCGAGCGTCATTACAGCGACTCTCGGCGACTCTCCTGCCAAATGCGTACAACATAACTGCGCAATGCTGGTTTCAGGAACTGAAGAAAAACTGTGGAAATACTGAGAGCTTTTTGGCTTAAAATCCGCACACTGGCGGAAGGCGAAACCAAGTTGTCCATAGTATTAACAGTCTATGTGGAAAACACATTAAAACATCTGAGACAATTTCTAATGCACTGCAAATAAAAAAGGCACAAAAAGACATTTAAATCTGCATGAACACATAAATGTGTATATGACCGACTTGTACATTATCAACTTGTTTTGATAAGTAGATCAGATAGATAGTACTGTTGCAGACCAGTTAGCCTTATCAGCCACTTTGTAGCACAGAAAGGTCAAGATAAATCACCAACAATTACCAAAATACATTTAACAAAGCCAACACCACTGCAAAGTCACCATTTTTAAAAGAACAAATCTACAGTTTAGAGATGTTAAAACTTGGACTTAGCTTGGACTTTAGTAAGCAGACCATGTCTGTTCTCGAGCTGTTAGCCGTAGTTAGATAATTAGCACAGCCTTGCAAAAAGTGCAGCAAATAATCCTGTCAAAAGGTATCAGAACCCACCCACGATCATTCCAAAAGCTGTTTAACGGTATAAGACTTGTTCCTGTTTTTCGCAGTGATTGCAGTCCTTCTTGACGAAGTGAGCAAACCAACTGGGACATTATTTTGAACTAAGACCAAATTTCTGTAAAGACATTGCTAGGCAATTCATGTTTCAGTGGGTCAGTTAAATATTGAGTATAAATTTAAAGGTGCTCAGGGGCATGTCCAGAGGTGGCCAGCAAGGTGGCATGGCCCCCCTTGAGATCTGGTCGACAACTCTGGATTCCACCAGAAAATCCTTAACTATGATTGGCTGTCTGCCAAGTCAGAGGCAGGATTTCAGTAATTTTTTTCACAACACAGTGCTACAAGATGGCATACATTTTCTGTTGATGCATTGGCTTTTGGGTTTCTTAGTGGTAAAACATGAAAGAACCTGTAGCAATAATGTACCTCATGATACTGACAATCCAGCCAGACCACACCAATTCAATCAGAATCTAATCTTTTGACCTTAAATTCCTCGTCTAGATCTTCAGGATATCATACATTTATAAACAGTCCTCCACATTGTGGGTTGGGGGTAACAATATGCAACAAGCTTATTTGTCAACACGTCTGTGGTCTCTGTGTTGTCAGTGGGACTGTGGTTGGAAAATGTTGCTCACTGACTGCTCTGTATTGCTGCAGTTCTGTGCCTATCTATAGCCTCTACTTGCATATCTTTCTATGTTTAGGCACCATATACATCTCCATCTGTCACCCAAGAGTGGAAGCTATTTCAGAGATTTCACATGACGTGGGAGCTGGAACATGGAAGGGGCACAATCTTGATTTTGTCTGAAACACTTAGTTCGAACTGTTTTTGCAAAAACTGAGATATAAATATGGGCCCTGAGAGATAACGATTCAGATTCATAAAAAACAATTTCCCAAATTATTGATAACAACCATGCACAGGTTTGCTTACATGCAAAAAAAATCAAGGTGACCCTCTTCTTCCCTTTTGCCATGTCTCAGTTTTGATTGCAGAAAGTATTCACCCCCATGCCAGGCCCCAGAATAGACACTCTCAGCACTTGCCCCTCACTATGTGTACCCTGGTATCACGTTCACAACGTGTCTCCTGTCTGTGTTTCTCCAGTAAATTAATGTCCACTAACAGAGCTAAATATAATCTAGAGTTTAATTTGACTATCCCTCCAAAGTCCAAAATTGTCAAATCAATTGAAAAAAAATTTATTGTTTATTTCCTAAAATTTATTCAGGGGTTTATGCAAATTTTTTAGATTAGAGTGGTCCTGCTGTTACATGGACCTATGCAAGGGGGTGTCAGGCTATGGGAAAGTAGGATGCAAATGCAGACCTTGAGGGGCTTCTAGAAATTATTCCAAAGAATAACCACTAAAATCTCTGATCAGGGGATAGGAAATAAACCAAAATAAAAGTTCAAAGTAAAGGTGTTCCTTTTATTGAACCAGACTAACAAGAAAATACAAGTAAACTTAACCACTGCTGGTGTTCTAATAACATTTTTAATGCATTTTTTAGCAATGTCTTGGCACCAAAACAGTGCCAATAAATACATTTTAGTGTGCAGAACTTTGATAGACTGATTTCTCTGCTACGCATGTGCCCTATATATATTTTCAATAGTATAAATTACAAACAAAAGAAAATATGCCACATGCAAATAAACGAAAAATAAATACATTTAAAAATGTAAATAAAACTAGCAATCTATTGCATAGCTTAAGTTGATCAAATATATGTTCAGCCTCTGACAAGGCAAAAAAAAAAAAAAACCTTGGTTTTTGGGATGGCGAGTAAGGTTTTAAAAGGGGGCCATGCCACCGCAGGATGTCCCTGTAGACACACCCCTGCTTGTATTTCAAGTCATTTCAAAACCCAACTTGTGATTGGGGCAACTCCAAAACCAGTCCCTCCACTATAAGACCCTGACAATCAGCAGATTGTTCTCTGCTTTTCTGCATTATTGAAGGATTGTGGCTATAACAGAGCTCAGATCATTGATGCATGTTATAAATACAGTAATACTTCTGTGGCTCTACTAGAAACAATATGTTATCCTCTGTAGATCATATTTTATCCCAGGTTTGTTAAGGAATGTAAATAAAAATGAAATTTGAGGTTACAGAAATGTTCTGATTATCAGTTTAAGGCCTCTGGATCATGAAGTTACTTTACAAATCCAAATTTGTAACAAGGACAACGCGACTTAACCTTATCTATAAGTCATGGTGTGGTTACCCATTAATTCATAAATTTACAAGTTTACAGCATTTTGTAAAAGACATATTTTGATAAGGGTGGCTCAGTTATAGGAATGACATGAAGTAGATGTAATGCTGATGAACATATTTTCAGTTACAAGGACGTGAACAGTATGCTTGCAAGTTTTGATGTACCGAAGCCCCTCTTTACCTGTCAATGCACACAAAATATATGTATGAAGCATTTTTTATACATTACAAGACTAGTAAAAGAAAAGGTAGCACAATTAGGTGTTTTTAAAAGTAGGCTACGACAATAAAGTCCAAAATTCTGATTTTCACAATACCCAATCATAATTTTTGTAGTTGGGGTGGCCACTCTGTGGTTAGGGGGCATACCATTGCCACCTTTCTAGGCACAACCCTGCTGAAGTGGTGACCCTAGTTTGTTTCTGGCAGGATTTATTTATTTTATTTTTTTCGAAGCTTTAATCCTCATTTTAAAAATGCGTCTTTGGTTTAAATGTATTTAAGTCAATGATGAATTCCATGACATCCAGGCTTCAGGAATGCAATTGTTTTACTTGAGTGCATTATTTCAACAAATCTTACAACAAATAACAAACTGTTATTTGTATCATGAATAATTATGTTTAATGTGATTTTGTGTAATGTGTATGTGCTGCCATACTTGGCTAGGTCTCTCTTGCAGAAGAGACCTCGGATCCCAATGAGACTGACCTGGTTAAAAAAAAAAGGTTTTAATATGATAATAAAATAAAATGATAGAAATATCTTTTTGGCCTGAAAAATGATTTAATGAATGTATTGCGCACATATGGTCAGATATTGGCATTGTATTATTGTTGAAATTATATGTTAGAGACACAGAAACACCAGAGGTTTACTTGTGTGTTCCATTAAGGCAGTCTTACAACATCTACTACTGACTTTGGTGTCATCAAAGGGCTGGATGATGAATCTTAAGAGTTAAAATGATGGAATACATTTTTGCTGGAGTTTTTTAAACATTTTAGTCTCTTTGCAGTGTCCTTTTATACAACAGATTTAGATTTAGATTTAGAGCTGGGTGAATTTGGATAGTTCCAAAACCTCTTTTGTGCCCCACTGTACTGACAGTGTCGGCTGCTAACACATTTGAAGGTTTGGATTTAAATTTCTTTCTCATATATTAAAACACATTTTGTTTGGTCTCACAGGAGCAAAGCAAACTTTCTTCACGCCTGTTATGCAACAACTTTTTAGCAAGTAAACCTTCTGACTCTGAGTCAGGCTGCTTGACAGAATCAACAAAAAGGCTTATGAGGCCTTGAACAAACATTTCCAGCTCACAGTTGTGAATTCAAAGAGCCAAATCACCTCATTAATACTGAGCCAAGTGTGTTTTCACTGTTCAGATCTAAATTTGTGATTAATAGTTTGTCCGTATTGAATGCTGTTATTGATTTTCTCCTGCTGTCATGGCTGAAGTCCTTAAAACCATGTCATTGCACCTCTAATGAAGTGAGCAGACTGACTCAGACGCCTCCAGACGTCACTAGTTTAATGACAGAAGCTGCATATTGTCTACCCTACTCTAAAACTCTAAAACGTTTGTACCTTCTAAGAAACCAATCAATCTGTTCCCCTGTGGGATCCTCCTGTGCTTTACTAGCCTACTTGAGTAATTGGATTCCCAATGATCCTATCCCAACCATCACAGACTCCTGCTGAGGCGAGTGATTGAGGAGATTTAAAGCATTCTTTCTGTGCTAATGTGTGATATGGGAAAAATCTGATATCAGATGCCACATCTTGAAAATGTTAGCTTTTAGTGTCAAAGTTAAAAAGGGGTTTGTGTATTTTGGAAAAATGGGACTTTTTCTGTTTGGGTTAAGTGAGATTTGCCCTTGACGTGATCAGAGTGACCCCTAATGACCCCTGTAGCTTTGACGGGTTCACAGATAACACACTTTTAACAAAGAGAGGCGCAAAAAGGACATAAAATTAGATCACATTCATGAGTTAAAGCCAGAGTCTGCGTTTTTCCCATTCTTTTTTAAAAAACTTTCTGCCATGTGGAAAAGAAGAGATGTCCTGCATACCTGCGTCCTCTTGGCGTGGTGCTGAAGGAGCTGCTAGAGGAGTGAGACGTGCACTCAGACTTGAAGCCACAAAACAACACGAGGGTAGACGTGCATGCTGGAGCTGCCACGGGAGTAACAAGGTAGACAAGCTGTGCAAAAATCTCTCCCTCCCTCCCTCCTTCTCCCTCTCTCTCGCTCTCTCACCCTCCCCTCCTCCCAAATCCGTGACATAACACTTGGCCAGAGAGCAGTCGATGGTGACTTTGCTGCTGCGTGAGACTTTGAATAGTGTAAATAAAAGAGAATAAATGTCCGTTTTTTTGGATCAGACTTCGCTTTCTGTGTCTGGGGTCAACAGAGGTCAGGTGGGAGATAATGTTTGAGTGTAAACAATTATCTGTAAAGTGTCATGTTCTCTGTCCAAACATCAGATTAGCAGGGAGTGAGTCCATGGCGTGCTGTGAGCCGGTGTGAGTGGAAAATGGGTGTCAGACTGGGATTTATTTCTAAAGCTGAACTTTCCAAGTTGTACTTCCCTCTGCTGGAGAGACTCATCAGTAGACTGGAAACTCTGCCAGGAGGGTTTATGAGGTAAAGAGCTACAACCAGTTAGCTTAAAACCTTTGACCTGACCTGCTGCCATCTGCCAATGAGAGCGTGTGATTTATTTTTTGTTTTTGGTCCCCTCCCTCAGTTTGTTCTGTTCTCTCTGTATTTTTATACTTCAGATCAGCTGCACTGTATTCAGTGCTCTGTAAATACACCTGAGCCAGAGTCTAAAATTAAACAGCTTAGATTTGATATTTCCAACCACAAAAGAAAAATGAAATATTATAGAGATATTTTTTTAATTTATTTTTTATTTTGAGCCTGCACAACTTAACAATGAAACCTATACTCAATTTCCCCTACTTTATCCCAGGAGAATACTGCCCACAAGTTATATCATTAATGATACACTTAATTAAACTGGGGTGGAAAGAAATCAATTCTATTTACTCATGCCAATGTAACTGAGTACCTTTTTTGTGATGAATAGCTTTTGTATCAGTACTTTTACCTTCACCTGAGCTTTTTTGTGTTAAAGAGTTCTCACTTTTAGATATTTCACATAGCATGAGTCAGCTGATTACTTGTTGTCTAGTCTGCAGTGACTAGAATATTTTAATGTGACTTTTAATTACTTCTAGTCAAAAAATCTTTTGACTACAGCGACACTCACTCAACAAGTTCAAATATTAACATTTCATTAAGATATTCAAAGCCCACATTTTCCCACATCTTGTTTTAAGAATCTTATCGAGACAGAAACTGCCTTAATTTCTTAGTTTTGGCTTGTAATAAAAAGCCTCCCAGTCATGGCAGTCATTCAGTGTGTCATCTACAAAGTGTAATCTTGACAAAAGATGCTGCAGGAATATTAAATAACTGCACACTGCAGAGGTGCAGTCAAAAATCAACTTGCATGTTAGTGCTATAAGTTATATCGTGATATTCAGTTTATTTCAACAATCCAGACATTTTTAAATCTGAAATGATCTTCAAAAAAATTTGAAAGAAAAAATAACATGCAGCCATTCCAATATTTTGCACAATTACAACCTCCTCTGCTATTCTTTAGTACTATTTCATGTTTCCTTTTTGTAATCCTCATTTATCATTATTCCAAGACTATACAGACCCCCATAGCTTTAAATCACTCTTAAAAACACACCTTTTTAAAGTGGCTTTTAACCTGTGAACTGTTCTTTATATTGTTTTCTCATATTGTGCCTTTTTTAACCTTTAACATCAGTGGTTTCATTTCTCAATTTTTCTGTATTTTAAATTGTGTTTTTTAATTTTATTCTCTTCTTTTTCTTTGTAAGGCGTCTTTGAGCACCTGTAAAAGCGCGTTATAAATAAAATTTGTTATTATTATTATTATTATTAGTAGTAGTAGTAGTAGTAGTAGTAGTAGTAGTAGTAGGAGTAGTATATTATTATTTCCTCTTTTTGCAGACCTCTATCTACGAACTGACCCGTTGGTTTGTAATTGTTACACACCATTTGTACCCAAACTATCCTCAGGATATTTCTATTACTTGAGCAGATTTGTAATTTTACCTCTGTTTTGTTAAAATCTCATTACTCTAACTGTAAATCATACTGCAGTACTAATTCCACCCTTATTATTGGTCCAGCCTGAATACGTGTGTAGAATAAAGATTAAAAATGGAAATAAAATGATAATATTGAAGAATAGGCTTTAAAATTACGACAAAATCTTCAAAATCATCCCTTTTTGTTTCTATTTTCTTCTTTTTTACGCTCAGTTAAGCTCGTCCAGAGCCCTCTGAGCTGGTCTATAGTCCACGCACGTGATTGGCTGTTTCACCGGAAGTAAACATCATGTGACGTCCCATCAGCTGATCCTCCGTAGACATCTTTACGAGTCACGACTGCAGCGATTAATTCATACCTCTTACCCTGTGATTTTCAGGTATTTAATTCACCATATAACGCAATGAATGTCAAATTCGAACCTCTGCGTTTTAATCTACGGTCTCTTTTATCTGTTAATGCATAATTTTGTGTTATTTTTGTGTTTGCTTTCTCCATCGCAGGCCCAAGCGGATCATTGACAGCTGCAACCATGGCGCTCAGCGATGCCGATGTTCAGAAGCAGGTAATGAAGCGTTTTCACCTTGAATAACGACTAAAATCACCCCTCTGTGCTCTGTTAACATAGTCAAATCATTTTTGTGTCTTGTTGTTGGTTTAAAAATCAGAGAACAATTTTAGAAGCTGTTGTATTTCCAGGAAGTGAGTGTGTCAAAGTGAATGACATTGAGAGAGCTGCAGTGGGTCAGTATTAAAATAACGCTCACATCAGCAGAAACACTCACTTCAGGGTGATTTTGTACATTAAAATGCTAGAAAGAGCTTAATAGTTTGTCATTAGGGGTTCAGTGTTACACCGAAGTCCCCTCTGTGATGGAGAGAGAGTCAGATTTCCAAATGGTCACATGATGAACACACGCCAGGGCCTGATGAGGAACTTGGACTGAGACACTGTCTGGACTCTCCAGTCTTTGGGAAATCTTAGCAAACACTGGAAATAACCTCCAGACAAATGGCTCAAGTGAAGCTGCACAAATCAGCTGTGTATGTATCTGAAACATTCAGGGTTAGTGTTTGTGATATGCACAGAAACATTCCTCACTGCTGTGACAAAAAGGCTTCACAGCAGGGTGAGGTTCAGAGATGACACCTCTGTGGGGGGTTCAAGGAAGAATAAAGCTTCATAAGGAAGTTTTTTTGTGGTTAAAACCTTCAAAATACTGTCGGTCTCGTTCCTAATGTATGTGTCTTCTTCCTATCTGCAGATCAAGCACATGATGGCCTTCATTGAACAGGAGGCCAATGAGAAGGCAGAAGAAATTGATGCAAAGGTATAAACAAATGCAGGAAAAATGCCATGAATACAAATATAAGGAAATATACTAATACCACTGTTAGAAAATACCACACAAAAGGCAAAATGTCTGCATTTAAAGTGAGTTAAGACATGTTTAAAATGTATTTTTCTTTGTTTTAAAACATTTCCTTGCTCATATAAGCTGGCATTTCTGCCGTTAACATTGACAAATACTCATACATTTCACCAAATCAGTGTAAAAAAACAGATTTGGCAGAGTGGCAGCTGTAAAGTAACTGAAGCTCTTGCACAAATGGCATGTTTATAACTCAGTAATGTTGGACTTTATCACAGCTTTGGAGTCCATATTAACACTGCAGTTTGAGTTGACTGGCCAAGCACTGTAAATAACTGCTTTAGTGTAGTTTCATTCACAGATCAAAGAGGTGGCTCACACACTCAGAAATAGTGCTCCTGCTGTGATTGCTTTCTGACATCCATCTGATCAGTTGCACCTAAATTGTGCAATACATATTTCAGTTAAATGTAATGTTCAAGAGCATAATGGTGCCAAATACAGCGCAGCAGCTCAACTAAGGTGTGCTTAAAAAGACAATATAGCATATAATTTAAAAACAATATGTTAATTTTGTCCCTTTATTGCATTGTACTCAAAGATACAGCGTGTAGAAATGGAAATTTTGAGATATCTGGTGATCAGATTTAAAACTGAGACACTCCCATGATCTGTGAAGTGATGGTGTCCATAAAGGACAACAAGCTCCTGTGATGCAAAAGTATAATTCTCCATTTGTCAGGGTTTGACCATCAAAACATGTAACAATGTAAATACTTCTGCACGTAGAAACAAGATAAGATACTTCTTAAACCCATTCGATTCTCTCTGAAAATTCATATTCACATTTTTTCTCTTAAGATTCATTCAAAATCAGTTCTGTGATGAAAGAACCATGAACTTTGAGTTTGATGTTTATCAGGCCTGACAGTTACTCAGATGTCAGTATTTCCTTTATCTTCGATTTGAACAAGTGCAGTAGTGATTTTAATTTCTCAAGGACTTGTGCAAAAGGATAAACATCAACAATGTTAACAAAACCAAAACACAACACTGCTCCATTACACAAAGAACTCCACAAATGATCAAGACAATATTTAACTATTATCAACCTCAGGGTTTTTCATGTGTGTGAGATTCAGCACTAGAGGGCACTGAAAGCACAGAAAATACAACTTGCACTGAAGGTCTGTTGATACATTTTACCCCCCGAGTGAAACTTCAAGGAATTATTTTATATCTGAAATGATTGGAATTTGAATATTTGCCATTACCTGAAGTGATATCAGTGCATTTTAACTCAAAAGGTAAAATTAAGAGCTTAGAGTGATCAGTTCAAGTAAAAGTTCACAGGATGTGAATTCTTAATTGTAAGAAGGTGGAGTTTTTTGTCAAGTTTGAAGCATTGAAACAGAATATGTTTGATTGTTAGTGAAATAAAACATGTTATTTAAAGATTTAAGTCCTCCAAACTGTGATCTTTCCAAAATTTATTTGATTTTTAGAGCTCAAATTGTAAATGCAATGTGTTGTCGGAGTGATAGTCGGAAAAATTAATTTTAAAAGGGTTAATAACAAGGTAATACAATCAGCCCAGTGACAAAAATTTCATATGCAAACCTATAATTATTTTGAGAGCTTCTCCACCGTCATCGAATTTTTGTGGCGGAACTGATCATTATTATGAATCAAACCCTTTATAAACCGAACTGTTGCTCCATTCAGCCTGATCAGACGAATAACCCGAGCAAAATCACTAAAACACTGTCAGGAATGAGGATTTCTCACTGACTGAGCTGTGTCTCCTCTTGCAGGCCGAGGAAGAGTTCAACATCGAGAAGGGCCGCCTGGTGCAGACTCAGAGGCTGAAGATAATGGAGTACTACGAGAAGAAGGAGAAGCAGATTGAGCAGCAGAAGAAAATGTGAGTCATAGAAACAAATCACAGGACACGTCCAGTCCTCCCTTTCCTGAACTGTACCCTTTTGAGAACAAAGAAATATCTGTATGCGTGACACTGAGTTCCCCTAATTTTATTTAGTTACTGTCTCCTACAGTGACTCTATTGTAACTTGGCACCAAACAGTCTCCAGCATTTCCTCAGACACACACAGAAAACTAAACAGAGCCAATGTGTTTTTGATTTGTCCATTTAACAGCCAAATGTCCAACCTGATGAACCAGGCTCGACTGAAGGTGCTGAAGGCACGCGATGATATGATATCGGTAAGGAGTGGTGTTTTTATCCATTCTGTTATATTTCACTGTATGTCCATAAAAGAGTCAGACTGAAAGAGAGAATCAAACTTTATGTGGCCACAGGAAATGCTGAATGAGGCCCGCCAACGGCTCGGTAATGTTGCAAAAGACCCGGCCAGGTATCCAGCTCTGATGGACGGATTGATCCTGCAGGTTTGTTTATTTCTCTCAGACACTCTATGCTCTGATTTATTCAGCTTGATACTTCTTTTGAATAATAGCGGAAAGCGTGTATGCATGAAGAGAAAAAGAGTCAGTCAAACCAAGAAGTCTTTCAGTGCGAAATTTGCTGATTGAACTGGCATTTTCACACTGGTGTTTAAGGGGGTTCCTGGGTTTTTGGAGCAGGCTTCTAGTGGACATTTAGAGAACTGCACCTTTTTGCATTTTCACATTGGTTCATTTTTAGCACTGAACGTTGCTACTTGAACCAGATGAGCAAAGACACAATAACTTTGTCATAAAAGTCACGCTAGTTGAGCTTTGCTGATGCAGTTTCTCTAAAATCCAAATAAAGTACAATATTTTTGTCAGTTTGAGGAAGGTGTACAAAATTAACGAGCAAAAACCACATGTTCATTTGGTGGCTGAAATAGCGTTCTCTCATCCTAACAGGGCCTCTATCAGCTTCTGGAGCCTAAAGTGACTATTCGCTGTCGTAAACAGGACTTGCAGTTGGTTCAGGTAAGCTAACAAGCAACTGTATTCTCTTTAAGTGGATTTTCTTTAGTTGAAAAGGTTGTATAATTGAGTTATTCTTTTTTTTTATTAAAAACTGATAGTCCTGTTTTCATTAGCTTCAATTCTTTTTGTGACTCTTTTCTTTTAGGCCTCAATCCAGAGGAATATTGCCATCTACAAACAAGCTGTGAAGACCAACCTAGAGGTCCGCATCGACCAGGACAACTTCATCTCTGCAGACGTGTAAGCAACCTCACAATCTGGACATGAAATCAAACCTGGTACATTAAAACAAATCACATCCTGATTAAAGAGTTTCTTTTGTTTTGGTTTGTTTTATCAGTTCTGGAGGAATCGAGATGTACAATGCTGACGGGAAGATCAAGGTGTCCAACACTTTGGAAAGTAGACTGGACCTCATGGCTCAGCAGGTAGGAATCAGGAGAAACTCGTGTCCTCAGCCCTAAATCCTCTCTCTTATCAGTCACTTAAAAACACCTGACACACTCTTGATCAGTATAAATGTCATTGTTTTTATTTTAAACTCTTCATTCTTTAATCTTTTGCTTGAAATTCTTCATGGACTCAGGGTTGGTATTTTATGTTACTGCTCTGAACAAGAAAAAGCAAAACAAAATTCCCCTTTAATGAAAAGTGCAGACTTTAATAAATCAAATGATGTTAAAGTGACAGTAATAACATTAGTGAAGCATTCAATGAGCTCAAACTTTATTCTCATGGGAAGAGCTGCAAGTAAAAGGTCAAAGTAATCCCTCAATCGGGTCTTACTTTTGTCTTCAATCAATCAATCAGACTTTAATTGCTTAGCACTCTTCATAACTAAAACAGCTTCATTCTTTTGATTGCCTTGAGGGAGCTCCTAAAAGGATCAATAAAGTTGTATCTAATCTAATACAATCTGATCTAATACAATTAAATGTGACACAAAGTGCTTTACACAAATAGAAAATCATTCAAAAGTCTTACTGTTCAAAGGTCTTTGATAGATACCATGAGTGCTTAAAATCTGTTAAGTTCTTTTATAGATTTGAAAGTTTATGAACACAGTTCTTTTTTTCTTAAATGAATTACAGTCTCATCCTTGTAACTTAAAAAAAAAATCAAGCATAAGGAAAGTAAATAAACGAAGATAAGTTGTCTGAAGATGATGTTCTCATCTGTCATGGTGGCTGTTTTTCTGTTTGAACTTTTATCAGTTTGTCTTGGCCTCACTATTCTCATAAGCTTTGGATTTTCTGTGTTAAATTGAGGTAAAACAATTTGAAAAGAAAAAGCTGTAAGAACAAATAAACAGCTGGTTTAAAATTGAATTAACTGTTGTCAAAGGAGGGCTGTTGTCGACAAAGATACTCTTGACAAAACTCGATTAGCGTCGCTCTCCACTGAGCTGAACTTTCAAGTCTTAATTTGTCACAAGATGGAGCAGTTTTCTGATGGGTTTGTCTCACTCAGTTTATTGTTTGGTACTTTTCCATTTGTTCCATTCATACACAAGTTGTGTCCACAATTACACACGAGGATGGGGAGTTTATGTAGTTGAAGAGCCAGTATATATATCTTTAAGGTGGAGCGTCTAATCAAAAAAGAACAAAAGCAAAGAAGGGTAAAGTACAGACATTATTATGTATCAAATAATACTAGGTAGTTATGTGGATGGTTATGTGGCATTTTTAAAGCTCCCATGAGGAGATTCAACATGGAGTCACAATAGACAAAAATTTATACAAATGTGTCTCAACAAGGGAAAAAAAGACCATCATGATTTTTATTAGATGATTTCTGAAGTTTTTGTCCTCATAAACATCCCATTTTCATTTTCCATAACAAAGATTTTCAAAGTGTCACACATTTGACTGTCAAACAGCAGGTTGGGATGTTTTGTTAAAACACCAAAACAGCCTTGTCCACTGGGGGCGCCAAAAACAACAGTAACCAAAAGTTTCTTACAGGAGCTTAAAGTAATGTAATAAAACTGTTTTAGCTTTTTCTCCTCAGATTCACAATCACAAAGTGTTTGTTTTTGTCACCTTTATGTGTACACATGGGTTTTTGATGACTATGTTGGTGGTTTTGTGGTTCCTTTTATCGATCTTTTTGGTGTGGTTTCCTTAAAAACATTTACAGTTTCAACCATATCCACATTGCCTTTTATATTTCCTCTGTTTCTGTATTTTTCATATATTTCTTTGTGATTTTATAAATAAATAATTAAGAAAACTGAGAAAAACAAGGCATTGTTTTACCAGCCAAGTAAATGATCGAGGATTTCTGCACAACTAGTTATTTTTCTGTTAAAAATGCTGAACTTTCTGATGCTTTGCTTTGATACATGCCTTTCAGGTTTTGTTTTGTAAAACTATTCTAATATTTATGAAATGTTTGCTACACTCAGTGCTGAAACTAAAGTGTTTTTAAACTTATTTCTATTTTTGCAATACAAAACCGAACAGTTAACAGAGAAAATAATAAGCCCTTCTGTGTTTCTGTGTTTGCAGATGATGCCTGAAATTCGAGTGGCTCTCTTCGGTGCCAACCCGAACCGCAAGTTCATGGACTGAATAACTCTGCTGTAATAGAGAAAAAAAAACTCCATCTTTTTATTTTTTATTTTGTCACATGAAAGAAGTCATTCCTCTGTCTGTGAAATTTCTGATGCGAGAGAGACGCATTGTTGTTGTGTGATGTATTGCTGTATTTTTCTTGTGCATCAAGGGACTCCATTGGAGCTGCAACTCATCATTACAGATGTGCACCGTGTGTCCTGCACAGCTGTAATGACTCGTTTACTCAGCTGCTTCTCCTTTAGAGGGTCTCAGTTTACACCAGTTAGACAGGGGCGACAGGATTGGCTGGATGATTGACAGGATGTTCCATAATTGGATCCGTTTTCATTACAGACACAACAGCTATGTCATGGTTTCCCAGTTTCAGTAATCACCACTCTGTATATGTATGGGGCTCTTTGTCGATGATGGGTGTGTGCTTCAACAGGTCACAGAAAACAAACAGCATCCTGTAACAAACTGAAGACCAGACACGGCCTCTCCGAGTTAATTTATTGGTGTTACATCCTTATTCTGTCATGTATTAAAGCGCGAGAGTTATCATTCCAAGGGGTGTACTGTATGTATATGAGGTTTCCAGGTTAAATTATACGTATGTGTGGTTGTTGTTTTGTTTGTTTTTTTGTTCTTTTCTTTTGCTGATTGTGTTTCAAACTGAAAATGTAATATTGTGGAAATGTAAAACCTAATAAAATATAAATCATTAGTATCATTTCCTGCTCTCTGATTTTGGGTGTGTCGGGATTTTGGGTTTTTACTCCATTTTGCAGCAGTGGCTATTCATGCTTCATTCATTAGTTTATCACATGGTATTTGTCAGAGAAAAATGCCCCAATTATCCATGCCCTGAGAGTATTTTGCTGACATGCTGGACTGAAAGCGGAAGTTTATGGGGAAAACAAGCAGACCCTTATGAGAGACGGCAGAGTGAGGACGGTGGACTCGAGACACTTGTAAGTCTTGTGAGTTTTAAAGTACTTAGATCTGCCTTTAAGATTTCTGTGTCCATATTAAGTTTTGGTTATAAATCAGAGGGTTGTTTATCACCTTTCTTCCTCTTATTTTGTGGTTAATTTTGACCTAGAAAGGAAAAGCTGTGATGTTGCGACTCCTGAATGGACTCTGTCAACACCGTAATGTAGCCTGAAGAGCATGCTCTCTAGTTACTGACCTTAAAACAAGTTTACTAAATTTATTTACCCACTAAAAGAAACTTAAGAAGCTTTTCCTTAAAGGAGGAAAAACTAAATGTCATTATTTTGTGTCTTAACACAGTATTTCTTTCTTTACAGTGATCCTGCTCTTAGGGCGGCTGTGTGATCATGCTCTAGCACCATCCTGTGGCCTTTAGGACATGGTGCTCTCACTTCTCCAGGCTGTGGTCACTTATGTGTCCCTCCTGTGGTTTGTAAGAGTGACTGACGCAATGCCTGACCCCACTCAGAGGGAGATGCTGATGCGTCAGGAAGCATCCCTACAGACAGGTGGCAGAGTGATCCTGACACCAGCCGAACAAAAGATGGATGCTTACCTTCATCAACTAAAGGAGCAGGAGATAAGTGTTGCTCAGTTCCTACCTGCCATCCACTTTTTTAAAGCAAAGCCTCTCATTGAAAAGAGCTCCATCTTCAAACTGCTGCAGAAGATGCCCAAAGGTAAATATACAATCCAGTGTTTGTACTTTAGTATGAATATATTTATAGTATATTCATATTTCAATGTGATTAAGTATATACTTGTTCAAGAATGTTCTTTTTTAAGTATCTTCTTCTTTAAAAGTATTTACCTATCTATATATGTACTTGTTCATTATGCACTTCAAGGGTTAAATAAAAACAAACAAACAAAAAAAAACAACAACTATGTGATTGATTAATTGTGTACTTGTTCAGGTATGTACTTCTTTAAGTATGAGCTTAAATAAGTATGTACTTGTTTAAATATACTTCTTTAAATATGTACTGAATCAAGCTCTGTAATTTTGTAAGATAGGACTACGTTAACATACTTGTTCAAGACTGGTCTTTTTTACGTACATTCTTTAAAAGTTTTTACGTTTACCTATCTAAGTGTGTACTTGTTCAGTTTGCACTTCAAGGGTTAAATGAAAACAAAGACACAAAAAACAACTATGTGATTGATTAATTGTATACTTGTTTAGGTTTATACTTCTTTAAGTATGAGCTTGACTAAGTATGTACTTGTTTGAATATATACTTCTTTAAATATGCACTGAATCAAGCTCTGTTATTTTATAAGATAGAACTAAGTTAAGTATATACTTGTTAAAGTAATTACCTGATTAAGTACATGCTTTATAAATTATTGTACTTGTTCAAGTGCTTGTTTTAGCATGTATACTTTTTAATTTCCCCAAAGGATGGATAAAGTTCTATCTAATCTAATCTCTAAAGTTTGTGTTTACATTTTAATGTTTTGATGACAGGTGCAGCACTCCACATCCACAAGTCCACACTAGTCAGTGCTGAGTGGCTAGTGAAAAATGTCACCTACAGGCCAAACTGCTACATCTGCTTCACCTGGGACAACTCAGCACGCTTCTTCTTCTCTGACCGCCAGCCTTTCCCACGATGGGACTGCTTCTACTGGCAACTACTGGAGACTTTAAGGGCCAAAATAGGAGACCCTACAAAGTTTGATAACAGGTGGAGTAAGACACTATCATCTCACCATCATTGTTTAAGTACAGATTTAATGAGAAAACTTAACCTGGGACATCTGTTTTTTGGTTCTGGTCAGTTTAATGCAGCATCTCACACTGTTCACTGAGGATCCAGACAGGGAGTACCCGAACCAGGATGTGGTTTGGGAGAAGTTTGAGAAAGCCTTCATTGCAGCTGCAGGGTTAATCACTTATGCCCCTGTGCTAAGGGACTACTTCTACAAGGGCCTGGAGGAGCTTCTGCGTGACAACATCATGTATCTGGAACTTAGAAGTGGACTCTCCAGGGTTGGTTTTGCTTTTTGACACCTGATCCAGAGCTCCTTAAAACCCACAACAGAAACATCAGTAAATCTAATTTTACTGTATTTCTAGACTGTGATGGTATCTGACAAATGAAACATCCTTTTTTTTTTTTAGACGTATGAGCTTGATGGGACCATTCACGACAAAGTCTGGACTCTGAAGATAGTTCAAGAGGTTGTGGAGAAATTTAAAGCAGATCATCCGGACTTCCTTGGGGCTCGTATCATAATTTCTGTAAACAGGTATTATACTGTAGGTTTTGGTAAAAAAAAAAAAAAAAAAAAAAAATATATATATATATATATATATATATATATATATATATATATATATATATATATTCTCTAATGCACAACTTATTATTTGCTTATTTTAAGAGAAAAATATAGAGTCTAAAGAGTTTTAAAAGGAGGCCTTGAATTCATAAACAGAACAAAAATATGTTCTTCTCTGCCACTAGAAAGTAGGCTAGTTACTTAAAGCAACCAAACTGGGTTCAATTATTTATTTAGACATCACCAAGTCCACCAAAGACAAACAACATACTGTTGACACATGATAAATGTTTTGATTTACTTGTCTTTATTATTACTAATTTTCCTCTTTATTACCCCGCCTGCTCTTTTTAGGGCTTTGGGTGTATCTGAGGTCAAGGCAGCAGTGAAAGAGGCCGTTCAGCTCCAAAAGGACTTTCCAGATGTTGTTGCGGGGTTTGATATGGTGAGATGTGACAAATGGTGGAACAGCCTGTTTAAGAATAGGGGAGAGTGGGGTAAGTTGAGCCAAAGGGTAAGTTGAGCCACCCTCTGTTGCTTGGAAATGGTCAAAGAAATTGATCATGTGACCAAATATTTCGGAGATGGGCATCAATTCATGGAGTCTGTGAAGGTTAGAAGCACATGGGTGAAGGGGTTTGACATTTATTTACAAAAAAACATTTTTCACTCTTGAAAGTGAATTTAGTCTGTCATAAGTTTTATTAGAATTGTGTTCAGACCAAAAAAGATCTTTTTAAATGTGTTTTATTCATCAATTGGGGTATCTATGAGCTACAACATGAGGTCAAAAACCTAGCATAAAAGTCCACCATTTTAGCTTAAAGGACTAATAAAGTCATCATAGTAGTTCTGGGGTAAGTTGAGCCATTTGGCTAAACTGAGAAAGTAAATGAGTCTGATGAGAGGATCAGAGTTTCAGTTCAGATTGTTGAAATGTGTTTCTTTTTCTTTTCAAAAATACAGCTGTGAATATTCTGAATCACTTAAAGACATTCTCATGTTAAAATGACTTTTTACAAAACAGCTTTTTAGCAGTTATATGCAATAATGATAAAAAGAATAATTGCACCAGTTGAATATCGTAGGGATACGGCTCAACTTACCCCGCTCCTATGGTCAACTTACCCCATACATGAGGTAAGTTGACTATAGGAGACCACTTTTTTTGGCATGCTATATTATCAAGACAGTTATGTTTACATTCATTGATTCATCTGTTGGTTTGCAGGGATGCACAACATCTTGAAATATATGCAGATACACTAGTTAGAGACAAAACTATGATTGCCTTGATGTAGTGATCCGAAATATGAAAGATGGCTCATCTTACCCCACTCTCCCCTAGCAGTAACCAATTGTTCAACAGCAGTAAGCTTGTTGGCTATGATTTAACTTGGTTTAAGAAAGGTACAGAGAAACTGAAATCATTCAAAAAAGATTTGCCACAAAAGTGCACCAATCCTCAGCATGCAGCACCAGGAGTGATCATCATCTCTGATTTAATCTAAGATAATGATTCTGGTGTGCAGGTTGGCAGGGAGGACAGTGGGAGGTCTCTTTGGTACTTCAGGGAGGCTCTTTCTCTACCCACTGAACTGGGCGTCACACTGCCGTACTTCTTTCACGCTGGAGAGACAGGTAGGTTGATCAGTCAGAGTCAAACTACATTTCTGTTTTTAAAATGCACTGTGATGCTCAGCTTTGTTCCCCCTGTTTGCTCATAGATGATGACGGTACAGATGTGGATCAAAACATTCTCGACGCTCTTCTGTTCAACACTTCACGCATTGGTCACGGCTATGCTTTAGCACACCATCCACTCGCTAAAGAACTTTCTAGGAGAAGAAACGTGGCTGTGGAGCTGTGCCCTATCTCAAACCAGGTAAATGACCTATTGTTTCTTGAAGAAAATAGCTGACGGCAAATGCACAACCCCTGGGCTTGCAAAATAAGTCCACTTGTGTTGTGTACTTTTCAATGTTTTTACTTTCACTACAATGAGCCTGCAAGGATGCAGAACTGAGAAGGGGTGAAATGCATTTTAAAACCCCCAATGTAGAAAGCAGTCTTTGCTCATCTTGTCCTCAAGTCATACTTTTTTCTGGAAAAATCTCATCCTGCAAATTATTGAGTGTCAAATTTATGATTTATTGTGAATATTTTATGTGGAAAATCTTAAATTTTAGATTTCAGCTGTTTGGCTGATACCTACCCCCTCGCACTGGTAAAAGGCAATAGGAATTATTTCCAAAAATAATCAGTCATGTTGCTGATGGTTTTGGTTGACTCTTGAATTTCATAAAAGGCATCAGTTTATTTCATAGATGTTAAAACACTCCTCACAGACACTTTCAGTAACTCTACTTTGACTAGAGTTGAATATTTTGCTCTGAAATGCATCCTTGGAATAAAGCCATGTGCAATCTTTAAGGTCTTAACATTAAGATTCTTTACTGGTTGTGATTTACATTTGATTTCCAGGTGCTGAAGCTGGTTTCTGACCTCCGAAACCATCCTGCAACTGTGCTGATGTCTGAGGGCCACCCTTTGGTAATCAGCTCTGATGACCCATCCATGTTCGGTACCACAGGCCTCTCCTATGATTTCTATGAAGCCTTTGTTGGCATCGGAGGTTTAAAAGCAAATCTGGGCACTCTAAAAGAGCTTGCTGCTAACTCCATCAGGTGAGACATCATACATATGTACATCGTTAATTTGTCATTTTCTTAACTAATCTTTTTTAAATATTCCCCCGTACTTAGTTTCTAATCAGTGTATGGAATTGTCTTTATTATAAGTGGTGAAATCACTGTCCTCTATTCTTTTTATTATTATTATTTTATTTTTATTGTATATATTTACATATATATATATATATATATATATATATATATATATATATATATATATATATATAATTATTATTATTATTACTATTTTCTCAACATTAATCCACCATCTGCAAAACATTCGGCAACTTTTAGAGGGTAGCTTCCCTTTAACAGGCAGAAACTCCGAGTAGAACCGGATTTATTGTAATTTGATTGCATCCTCTACAAACTAGAATATTTAGTCTTTTTTTAAAGCTGTCCTGAAGATAACAGTGACAGAAGACTGGGGCCAAGATAAGGATGAGAAAGTTGACATTTCTGACATTGAGTCCTACAATAACAAGAATTATTTAAAGAAAAAAGAGCTAATTTTACAGAGAAAGAGTGGGCTTCAACTGAAAAAAAAAGTTGTTCTCACAGGCTACAGTTAATCGTTACGCATTAAAAGATATTTAGCAGGATGTCAGAGAAGCAGCAGCCACCTGCACTGAAATAAGGATCATAGATCATCTTGTAAGGTTACCCCTCAACAGCTGAGGACTTCATGGGTACTAGAAGTGAGTATCCAATAAGCTTGCACCTCTTTAAAATGAATTCATTCTGTTTTGTTAAACCTTTATGAACTTTTACACAATTCTCAAATTTCTTCATTTTAGTCGAGCAACTAGCTGCTCTGATCCTCCTCTTTCATTACCTATAATTATGACTCTTGATGAATTTATTTTCACATTTTCACTTCACTGTTTATGTAAATATGTGACTTTATTCTCATAATTTTATGACTGCTGTAAATTTACTACAGACTGTAGGATACAAGTGTTGGAAACAAAAGTGAACTGTGTTAGACCTGAGATGAGACGACCATTTATGAGGCAAAGAAAGTGATGCAAAGAATTGTCTTCTCATTTTTTGCTCATTTTGTCGACACAGTTTACAGATTTAATCATATATTTATCCTTTTGTATTATTTATTGAGGAATCACAGCAGGACTGATTTATTTATAATGCCAAAATGACGCCAACATTGATCACCATCCTTGATACAAGATCTAATTATCCTGCAACTCATTTGACACTAAACTGTAGGGCATCCTTTCCTGCATCATTATGAATAGATCCAAACCATCCTGCATTGAATCTGTTGCAGCACAGCTTTCTCTCAGAAACACAGGTTATTGATTTTTGTTAATAGTCACCTGCATCAAACCACTTTGGAAGTGTCAGCAAGTTTCTCTCAAAGGTTCTCTTGTTAAATGGAGTTACTGATGATTTCTTCTCCCTGCAGGTACAGCTCCCTGCCAGCTCATCTGAAAGAAACAGGTCTTGCTCTGTGGCAGAGACAGTGGGACGCCTTCATCGTTGCTAATTCATGATGACAAACTCAAACGCTTTGGATCCTGTTTGACTTGAATAGAATTTTGAAAGAGCTTTAAACTAAAGCAATCATGTACAGGCAATCCGAACTCTTCATTTGGATCTTTGGTGGAAAAGGCTTAAAAGACTTTGACAAATGATGGCTTTTGAGAGGTCTGATGTCGGGACATTAATGAGGAAAACCATTAGTGAGTGGCACCTCGTATTGGAAGTGACACTTATTTCATATTCATCCAAAACCTTGAGTCAAAAACGAAGACTACATCAAACTGAGTGCTCTTCATCTCAGGGATTCAGTTCCCATCTTCTCTGTGACATACTTTGTTTTTCAAACATCTGCGTTCTCCAGAATCAAATATTTAACTTAAAGTTTTCTAGACAAGCAGCAAGTCTTGATCGTTGGCTTGTGGGTTATCTTTTTTTCCCACCTCATGTCTCGCTGGTTTCTTTGATTAGATGTTCTATTTTCCATTTCTGACCAGTGCACTGCCGGACGACAAGTTCGTAATAGCCGTTATCACCCTTTGCAATTTCAACACATCTCTTTGTATCTCTGTTTTGGATTTGTCCACCCTAGGAATAAAAAGACACACCACATTAATAAAATATTCTCTGGACTGATCTCACTGGAATAGTCCGTGAAATGGTAATTCTTACCTGTTTAAAATCCCACAGCATGTTTAGTTTCCCCCGCAGAGCTGCTTTGCAATCGTGCAGGCGCAGATTGAGTCCAATGGCGGGATCCACCAAACAGTTGTTACTGTTGTAATGGTGGGATTTGATATCACCCATGTAGAACTGACCATTAGTGCGATAGAAACAATGCTGCACAAAAAAAGAGAAAAAAAGAAAGTAGTTGTGTGAAAAAAAACTCAAACAATAAATCAGTTGATAAGCATACTGTAAAATCTGTCAGCACACCTGATTAGAAAAGCCATGGCATGAGAACAATATAAGTTTTTTTCCTGGGTCTGGGCCTTGGTCAATACATTGATCTGGGTCCAGATCATTCCTTACCTGCCAACAAAAGCAAAAGGTAATCCTTTAAAGTTTTCATTGTAAATAATGATGCATATATCGCTTGTGTTAGCTGTTGTTGTGACTTAGCCAGAGCCAAATTTTCTTCTTTTTGTCAATTTTGCAAAGGATGGAAAGGCTCACCCCACCATAACCTAGCATGTCTGCCAAAGGATCCAGGTTGGGGTAAACATTATCTAGATACCACTTGAATGGTTTGCAGTTCAGCTTCTCTCTCAGCTTTTTCCTCTCAGACACATCTCCAATATCTATTCCATGATTCTGTGTGACGCAGCAAAATAGAAAAAAGGTGCTGATAAGTTAGAGAAAATACAGCGTTTGCGCTTGAGCCTCTAAAACACTCTTAAAAAGCTCATGGTGAATTTGTTTCCCTTACCTTTAAGGGAAGGCCCCAGACTACGTTAACATTATTTTTGTATTCATCCATCCACACCTCTGCCACCCTCAGTGCGTTACGCTTCACCATTGGATCTAAATCTGGGAGGTAAGGCTTAACTGCCCGTTCAACGTGAGCAACTCTAGAGCAAGGTATGATTTCTATGCTGCCTCCACAAAGCCATACCTGCCAAACAAGAGAGGTTATTTAGAGAGGGTGTGCTCCAACTATCAGGTTAGCACAGTGTTTAATCACCATTTGGTTTGAAGCCTGGGATTATCATTTCTTTGCAGATGATGTTGTTCTGCAGCTTTGAGAGGGATTATTGGATGGGTTTGCAATGAAGTGCAATCAAGGTTAGGATAAGTGTCAACATCTGTAAATACAGTGGTTTGCTCTCTCCAGGTGGGGTGTTAAGGAAGCAGTGTAGGCATGTGAAGTAGTTTCCATGTTTGGGGGTTTAGTGGGAACACCCAACTTGAAGAAGACCCCTAGTTGGACCCATGTTGTGGGAGAGGGGTGTTCGGAACAATTTGCGGAGCCTGCTTTCACTGCAACATGGCCCCAGATAAGTGAAGGAAATTCTCCATTGTTTCAGCAGCTGGTTACCAATTGGGAAGGAGAGAGCTGAAAGAATTTAGCAGGTTTTGACCTTTTGTGACTTTTAGATTAAAACAAAGCAGGACAAGGACATGATAACATTTAGGTTCTTAAACCCTGAGTGTGACGTCATGGGGACATGATCAGCTGGGAATTAGGTCTATTGTACACAATGTAGAGTATGTGTACAAAGCCTATTGGCACGCTAACATTTCCATACCTGAAACGAAATGCTAATGCCAACATACTGTCCTGCTCGACTTTACACAGCTAAAGAGATATGGTAAATCATCTGAAGCTAGCCTTGTAGCATGGTTAGCTTTGAATCACTGAACAGACTGAAAATGTCTCCAGATGTGAAAGTATCCCAACCAACAGGACAAACTACCATTACTGGTCAGGAATCAAATTTAGTGCCTTTTTAATTTCATTTTATGTTCAAGGGACGTGAAACTTACCCGAATGCCCAGCTCAACATTTTCTCCTCCATATATTTTCATTCCACCATCAAGGCTCCCGATCTCTCCAAAGAACTTGCGATCAGCTACAAGAATCCCCATGATGGAGGGGCTCCTGAGGACAGAATATGAAACATTTTTCATGTTTTGAGAGAGGTTAACAGAGGTTAAAAACAAACATGACACCAACAGAACACAAAGTAAGTAATGGAAAGAAATTACTTTGAGGTGTCAGTAGCACCACTGCAATCTGTGAGTAGTCTGTCTGACTTTTTCTTAAGTCGTTCTCACATCATGTCATGTTTGATTTGACTTATTTAGATAATGACTTACTTTCCAGGTTGTGTTTCATCTTTTAAATCATACCACTCAGGCCCAAAGTATTCATACAAGCACCACAGAGCCCAATCAAAGCCATGAGCATATGATTCGTGTGGAGTCACCTCCAGATCATAATAATTGACTCTGTCAAACACCGGAGACACTATGACAGTGCGGTCCTCCTTGATTCGAGCTAACAATGGCTCTGCCCTTAAAGAACAGAACAAAAAGTTTTACACAGATTATTCAAACACAACAACCTTCAAAGAAAACTGTGCTAAGACAACCCATATCCCCAAACACTTGTACTAACCACTGGACATGGACTTCTATGTGAGCATCCAAGATGGCCACCACATCCCCCACAGCAGCCTTCCACCCTGAGAGTCTGGCCTGTGTGAGACCAAGCTGCTCTGAGTGCCGGACTCTCTTAACCAAACCTGGATGCTCCTCATTAATGGAGTTGATGAAGTCATCTAGTTTCCCCTTTAAATCCTCTGCAAAACAAAGACTAAATCAACAAACAGTTTTGAGGCATTCAGCACAAAGTACCCAGTCTTCAAGCAATGGCTCAACTAAGTTATGACTATTTAAGTAGAATTCCCTAATCACACTTAAGATCATGAGATATCAAGCTTAGATTTCTGCCAATACAACATGCTGGTAAAATTAAAATCATGGTGCCAACGCAGAAGTGCCGAAAAATCCAGTTTCTTGAGTGTCCCCTATATTCGTGCTGACTACAAAAGTAGGCAACCCACATTCACAACCCATTTTAACAGAATATCAAACGTATCAAGTGAAGGAGATTGAGATACACATAAAAGGTGACAGCCATCATGGCTTGGCTGCATCTTCTCCAATTGGTGTTGCTGGTATCCAACATGAAGTGAGCATGTATTTTCCATAAAACATCAAAAATGTCCTTTCCAAAATTTGTCATGTTGTCTTTTTCATTTATTCTTTGAAGTGAAAGTTGAACATAATTTTCAAACCCAACTTTTCTGGAATTGAGGTTTGGCCTTAAAAGGATCTTTTTTTACCTTTAGGTTGGTGTTGACTGAAAAAAAAACATGCAAATTTCAGGTTGAACTACTCAGAACAACAACATTGTTTTCAACAGCTTGATATTAGGCTGAAATCTAAAAACAGGTTGACCTACCATTACTGCTGTGATCATCCACCAGGATGATTTCTTTTAGAAGCCGGGCTGGTGTCCTGTCTATGACACTGTGTATTGCCCTTTTAATTATGGAAAGAGCCTCATTCAGGTAGATTAGAATGACACTGATGCTGGGGAGATCCTCAGGATATTTTTTCTCAGCACACCTGTAAAGGAGAAAACTCGACAGTCCTTATTTGGAAAAAAAAAAGGTTTAGGTAGGTTCGACTGGATCACAGCAGCAGATGTTTGGCTGCCGTGGACCTGCCTGCTTTCCAGCTCCTTCAACTACATGCATCAATCTCACCTCTGTCCATCTCTCTCTTTATGCATTTCCCTCCATCTCCAATGCAGTCTCAGCAGATGACTGTCAAACATGAGTCTAGTTCTAGTCAAGGTTTCTGCCTGTTAAAGAAAGTTTTTCCTTTCCACTGTAACTTGCTAAATGCTGCAAAATGTTTCACTCATGTGGTTGAAGATGGGATGGGAGTAGGTCTGATCTTACAAGACGAGGCTCGGTCTTATCGCATCTTTACATGAGATCTTTGTAAACAGAGTATGGTCTAGACCAGCATTTCTTTGTTAAGCATTTTGGGATAACACCCACAGCTATTGACTGATTGACAGCTGTTGAATCTGATAATACTGGTATACTCATTTTTATATGTATAAGGCAATGTCTTGACAGAATTGTTCCGTTGTATAATTGTTTACGTAAACCATGAAAAAAATCTCTTTAAACATTTCTATTTGAAACATGGGAGGAAAGTTTTCAAAATGAAATCATTAAGTGTGGGTAATGCTAACACTCCTCCTGTGTAGATGATTTGGGGTTTATCAGTTTAACAGTAACCATCAGAGATTTAAATTCACCTTTTGGGTCTGGTGTCAGGGATCTGTCGTTTCAGGGGCAGCCGGTCACTGAGAAAGACGTTGTAGCCGTAAGCCCGAAACAACTTTTCGGCCTCTATCTGCTCCACTTCGGAAAGGCCATTACCCCACTTGCTGAATAAATATGAGTCAGGGTACAGCTTCTTCACCACCTTCTTCTCCTCTTTCTTCTCTTCTTTCTCTTCTGATTCTCTCCTCTTTTTTTCCACTTTTTCCCTTTTTTCTATTTCATCTATGAAAGTCACTGTGAGCAATAGAAAGTTGCTATTAATTTTCATTTTTTTCTCATTATTCTGCCCTTTATTAAGACAAATCACAGATAGAGCAACAAAGAATTTACCCCAACATAAAATGTCAGTCAAGTCTACTTCTGGAAGGAGGTTAAGAAAGACTGAAATAATCTCAGATTTTTACCTCAGTATATTTACAGTCATAAAATATCTTGACAATGACATCTCTGTGATACTTATTGGATCACTTCATAAACTTGACTGATTAACTCCAGAACATTTCTAATGAGGTTCGAAATTATTTACAATGCACACCACCAGTCCCCTGACTTTGGAGAAGATAATGACTTGTAAACAATTGTCATACTTTTATTTTTGTTTTGTTTTTTCTGTCTTGGACTTTGGTTGCTTTATGTTCGGTATTGTAAAGATTTTGTTTCTATGTACTACTTCTGGTAGATTGTAGGTAAAGTTTATTTGATAAGCACACCTGGAGGCTCTACTGTTTTTTTTGGATGAACAAAATTCTTGGAATGACAGTTTTATAAGTGCTTATCCATTATTCAGAGGGCTGCTACAGCTAGCTCACTAAGGCTGCTGCTTCTTTAGATCTGCATTTTAAAATAGTCAATACTTAACAAACCAAGTGGGTAAGTGCTGCGTGGAGTCAGAGTATCCGTGGAGGATCAGGTGCTCTTCAGGCGGACAAACAATGTCTAATAAGGCACGAGAGAAGTGACTTGCCTATCAGGTGTTTATGAAAGTCCATGGTGCGGATGGCAATCAAAGCCCGAGGTCTGAGACACTCTGATAAAGTTAAAAACATTGTATTGTAAAATTATGTCGCCCCCAGGACAAACAAGTGAGTTATTAATAAATATTTGATTAATAAATAATTCATATTTGAGAGAGCAAATTAAAAATCATAAAGGAATATATTGAAGAAATAAACAGTAAATAAATTTTAAAATAAGTTAGCCAATAATTGAATAAAAAATTTACGTAATCTATAAGTACATGAGAGACACAATAAAAAATTTCAATGAAAAAATACAAAATAATAAATCAATATATTGTGATTAAATATGTTGGTGTAACAGGTGATTCAAAAATCTATAACTACATAAATACATTGAAAATTATAAATAAGTATAAAAAATCAAATTGATAAAAGTTAAATACGATTTAACTAATTTTGTTTATTTTTTATTAATATAAAGACTCACTCAGTTTGGCGATGTCTCCCTCCATCTTCTCCATCATCTTGAGCATCCCCTGACCCCTGATGGAGTCATTGTGGTGGGCTCTCTGGAGTCTCTCTGAGTGGGTATTTAACTCTCTCTTTATAGAGCTAATGTATGACACAGCCACAGTTCCAGCGAAGATAAGGAATAGTCCTTTAATCCAGCCAGATCTTATCATGCTGCTCCTGTTCATGTCATCAATTCACATTGAGTGAGGGAAAAAAAATGTCCTACTCTCTTCTCCTCTCCCTTCAGAGGCTCTATCTTCCTCTCCTCCCTGTTTCCACACCCCTTCTGCACATATACACCCTAATGCTTAATAGCTCTACCATTGTGACTCCTCAGTTTTTGTTTGAAGTTTATAGTTGCTCTTTTATATCTCCAAGACATGTTATGCAACCTTTTTTTTTAAACGCTGCTATGAACTGGGAGGAGAGGCAAAAGTATTAGTCTGCAAACAACATAGATTCAAGGATATATGGGACATATAGAAGAAATGTGTCTCTATAGAAATTGTTTCGTAACGATGAAATTTATGACTTGTAGAATGTGGGAAAATTATCCGATTAAAAGAGGAACAGTGATGGAAGAGTGATGACTTTGTACAACAGTAGCTGTAAAATAGTGCAAACACATAGATCTTGTAGATCAAATAGATAAACTCACAGGTCTCAAAGTAATACCAGAGTCAAAAGACATGTTTGTTTTTCCCAACCGTCAAGTACAGTTGGTCAAAGTGTATTTTTTAAAATAACAGAAGGACAAAGAGGAAATGCACACAGCTGTGCTGACACACAGGTGACGTTTGAGTTGGTGTCAGACCTATAACACTTAAAGGGGGCAGCATCCAGCTGAAGCTCTGAAACAGAGCACCTTTCTGACAGCAGAGTTAAGCTTTGAAGAGTTTCCTTATAGAGACAATTGGATTGTTTATTTGGATAAGCTTTATTACATGGACCTGACCCTGTCTGCAGCAACAAGGTTTTGGTTCCCCGACCGGTTTTCTCATAAATTTACTCAGCAAGGGGGCAACTCAGTTGGTAGAGCAGGTTTAAACTCATGGCACAAGTCCCCCAACAGAACCTGTTGTGCTAAAATAATATTTGTCTTTGAATTAAACCTGAGCAAACATCAGGGCTTAACACCAGGTTCTAACACCAGTAATGATGAAGAAGAGACGGGAATGTCAGGAGTGATATTTTCTCCAACCAGGGAGACCCGTGCAGGGGTTCTGAGGCTGCGGAAGTTAATGCTAACTGGAGTCTGAGGCTAGAAGAAGCTGGATCCAGCAACTCAGAAGATTAACACTTAAAGACTCGGCTCTCCAGTGATAGGAAGAGAATCACTTAGCTGCAGTATTAATATTTTAATATTCTAATGTTGTCCTAGCTTATGTAAGCATCTCTCCCAACAAACTTAAAGACATATCAACATCACCCGTGGCACTCTCTCAGTTGACGCCCTTCTTTAGGTCACCATACTAAACCCCTGATGAAGTCATTGTGATGAGCTCTTGAGTCTCTCTGAATTGGTGTGGATCTATCTCTCCATGTGGATTTAATGTTCAACAAACCCACAGTCCCAGCTAGATAAAGAAATGCCTCTTTAAACCAGCCAGACCTTATCCATACTGCTCCTGCGATTATCGTCAGTTCACACTGAACAAAAGGAGGAGGACTTCCTCTATCTTCAAATTTCTCTCCCTCCCTTCTATGTTTCCTTACACCCCTTCTACACATACACACTGTCATGCCTAGCTGCTGTGTAATCTGATATTCTCACATACAAATTTGTTTCAAGGTTTAAAGATTAGTCTTGGTTCTTCTCTAATGCCTGTCCTGCTGATGGAAAGGGTTTCTCATTAGCTGAAGTTAACTGGAAGGAGAGACAGACGGTAGTACTCTTCTGAAAACAGGAACAAGGCTGACAAAAGCTATAAAAACAGCAAACTGGGAACATAGCAGAAAAATCAAGCTACTTCAAATACTCTTGGTGGCAAGTAAGTAATCAATTATAAGAAGACGGCTAAGCCCGATTAGAAAACAGGGCAGCAGGCTGTTCTCATCAGCTCTCATCAGACACTTTTAAAAACTGAAATTCCACAACTTTTATAAATCCAAATGCAAGGTTGGAGCTTTTTCTTATTTGGGCTGCTAATAGAACATTTATACTTTCCGATTGTCCTTTTAATAATTTTCTATTTGGTTCCCGAAGGTACGATCTACCAAAAGTAGCTTCAAAGTTCACTTTGGAAGCAGCACTGTGAAACAATGTCGAAATAAACCCAATGCAAGCCAGAAAAGTATCAAAATAAAAGTATGCCGAGTAATCTTAGTAAGGCGAAGCCTTCTCTTAAAAAAGTTGTAGTTACACAGCCAGTGATGTGGATAAATGGATGACAGGGAAGTGTGTTTATTAGGAAAAATGATGGACTTGAAATATTTATGAACAAATATACTACTGTATGTTTCTCTATTCTTTTCTTGCTGTTTCTCACTTTAACTAACTGTTTTGCATTTTCTTTAAATATCACAATAACATCATTATATGTTTTGGCCTTGATATCTGTAAGGTGAGAATCTGGTTTGTACATGTCCATTACTAAGTTTATCATGAATAATTGGTGTTATTTTTTTCATCAACTCTAACTCAAACAGCCTCTCTTGATCTGTGGCTGTTCGTCTCTCCTCCAATCTTCCAGGTGTCTTAAAGTGGATGTTGAATGGTCCAGACCTGACCAGTGCACTGCTGTACAACAAGTTTCTGATTGCCGTCTTTACCCACTCCAATTTCAATACATCTCTTTGTTTTTCTGTTTTTGATCAGTCCACCCTGAAAAAAAAACAAAAAACACCACACCAATGAAATGTTTGCTTCCTCTACACTCACTTCTCTAATGTGGACTATAAAACTGTCATACCTACCTGCTTAAAGTCCCAGAGCATGCCTAATTTTAACCTCAGAGCTGTTTTGCAATCGTACAGACCCGGGTCAAGTCCCTGACCTTCATCCACTAGACAGCGGTTGCTGTTGTACTTGTGAGATTTGATTTGACCAATGTAGAACCGACCATCAGTGTGATAGTAACAGAACTGCATCAAAGACAATTACACAAAAAATGAACATGACAAATCAGACTATTTGTATACTGTTAACGTCTTTTACATGTTGTTGATGTGTACATCTTCACAACCTGAGGAGAGTAGTAATGGCATTTGTACAGAATGGGTGTGTTTCCTGGCACCGGGCCTTGGTCGATACAGTAATCTGGTTCCAGATTATTCTTCACCTGCCAACAGAGCCACAAACAATAGGTTACCCATCAAAGTGTCCATTATAAAATTGAGCATAGTGTTAGTTCAGGCAGGACACAAAGTCAAGCTAAAGGCTACGGTCATCTAATCCTAAACCAGCCCTCAGTCAACTGATAGCTTAGCTGTTTGCCCTCTACACATGCAGTAGGCAAATGTCAAACCGCCGCTCTATTTAAACTTCTTCAGTTGCCTTCTCTGCCTGCTGCAACCACTCTACAACCCACCTCCAAAAAGAAAAGAAAAGAAAAAGGGAAACCTTATACAGTATGAACGTGGTCCAGAAACACATGTGACTACTCAGAGTATGAGCCCATTTTAGATTAGTTAAAGGTGGGGTTGGCAGGATATGAGGAAGTACCAATTTTTGGGAGAAGTCTTGAATGTAAACACTACCCTTCACAACCAGTTTTCCCCTCAGCTCCTCCTCTCCCCTCCCTCTCTGCTCCAACAAGCCCCGCCCACAAACAGACGTTCCTGCTCGCTCGTATCGTTCCAATTAAATTCAGATATAATGCAGATAAATACTTCAGATAATTATAAATGGGGCCCAGTCAACATGAAAGTAAAAAGCATTGGTGCTACTGTAGATGCCAACAGACTACCAACAAACATGATGTTTGAAAGGATTTCTACAATTAGGAGAAAGTGACATACCCCAGGACCTGAGGTAAACAGTTTAGAGGTGCTACAACATGCAGCAGGTCCCGTTTGACAAGAAACACTTCTGCTACAGACTTGGCTTACTTTGTTAAGGCAGTTTACCTGTCAAGCAGAAAGGTTACAGGGTCCGTAAGATCCGGAAGCACCCCCCCCCCCCATCATTGATGTTGACCCGCCTTTTTAGCTCTTTTCCCAGTCTACCGTTTTAAGCGCCTGTTATTCCGCCAGAGTCTCCAGTATTTACTTTGTTTTCTTGCTTGTGTTGGCCAAAGGATGATTCAGATATTTTTCCGTACTTTCTGGTTGGTTTCTACTGTCCGATATTGTAGCACACTAACTTTCATTGGGCTCGTGAACGGCACGGAGGAGCAGCAGCTGCCTCACAACCAATCAGGTTGGGAGAGGCGGAGAATGGCTTGGTTTACAGTCAGAAAGAGCGGGCCGCTCAAAAATATTAAAATGTTCTGACGTCTTCTGCAGATCTAAACGATTTCTGACGACTTTGCAAAGTCAACTGCAGAATTAACAGCGTTCTGAATGAACGGCACATGCTGCGGCACTTTGAAAAGTCCTGCAGCATGTGTTAGACGTCACCATCTACTCATGGACCAATCAGGGGCTGCCTTTCCCTGTTGTCCGGGGAACAGTGGAAAGACAGTCACTGATTGGCCCGGTTATTTTCTGATCGCTAACACACGCTCCCGATGGGCCGAAGTCCAGACTGTTGTGTGAAGGAACGGCAAGTTATTCACGCAACTGGATGGCCCAGACAGGCTAGGAAGACCTTGCATAATACAGTCATACAATACTACACCATATTCTGCACGTATTAAACAGCATGGCTCTTCCATAGAATAATCCAGATTTTTAACTGACATGCCTGCAATTTCAATTTCTCATCCAATGAAAACACAACAAAGATCTCAAAAGTGTTGATAAATTTGAAAGTTGATGACATCCAAAAGATGCCAAGACTTACCACTCCATAACCTAGCATGCCTGTGAAAGGATCCAGTTCGGGGTAAACATTATCCAGATACCACTTGAATGGTTTGCAGTTCAGCTTCTCTCTCAGCTTTTTCCTCTCAGACACATCTCCAATATCTATTCCATGGTTCTGTGTGAAGCAGCAAGATAGAAAAAAGGTGTTGATAAGTTAGAGAAAATACAGACTCTCAAACACTCAAGGTGGAAGCTCATGGTGAATTTGTTTCCCTTACCTTTAAGGGAAGGCCCCAGGCTATGTTAACATTATCTTTGTATTCATCCATCCACACCTCTGCCACCCTCAGTGCGTTACGCTTCACCATTGGAGCTAAATCTGGGAGGTAAGGCTTAACTGCCCGTTCAATGTGAGCAACTTTGGAGCAAGGTATAATTTCTATGCTGCCTCCACAGAGCCATACCTGCCAGAACATAAAAATTTTTTAAAGGTATTAGAAAAAATTCCAAACTGGCATCACTTAAGTAATGAGTCACTGAGAAACTTCTTAATTAAAAAGGATACTCCTACTATTGATAAGTTTCATAGCCAACCACATGACTCCTCATGTACCCCCACAGCTTGAAGTAAATGAACACAGTTGGGTAACAAGAGCTGGTGCATTACTGAAGTTATCATGTGTTTGTAGTAGGTTGAAAAGCTACATTGGCTTTTCATTCTGTATTGTGTTGGTCTGAATGGCTTTGAGGACACCCATTATACAGTGAGTGATATTTTTGTAATGTATTTGTGTAAGTCATCGTGGTTACAAGATCAGTGAATCAGGGGCACAGTTGAGTTGACTAACAAGCGGGAACCCTGTAACCATTTACAAGGAGGTTAAAACCCCACTTAAGCAAGTGTTACCTGTATGGTGACCGCTGCCATTAAGCTTCTAAACTCAGTTTCTTAAACAAACTGATGACATCTCTGACACAGTATTCATGTTTTATGTTATTGTATTGTTATTGTACCTAACATTGATTTCTAAATGTTTGATGTTGTTGAAGTGATGCATTTTTCAGACAGTAGTTTACCATGTTAATCATCTAAGTTTTGTCTTTTTAATATGGTTACATTATTTATCACATAATTGAGCCAGTCCTGTTGTTTCAAAACACTACACTTTCAGAGTAAAGTTTATGTAGTATATGTAGGTTTGTGTACATACAACTATTCAACGTTTAAATTGTGTAAGGAAACCTAAGTAAAACGTACTCTTCCCCCATAATTCATGTATAACGTAGAGCAGTTTAAAAAGTTAAATTTTTCTTAAGAAATTCTAGTTCTTACTGAATCTTAAAAATACAAAGTAGAAATTGTGACAGTTACTTTAATAGAGTTTAGTGCACCAAAAAGTCACTTTTTCAGCGTACCTGGAGCTTCCTTGCTAACATAAGGACAAAAAAAGTAACTTCTAAAGTTAGAAGTTCTAAAGGTGACTTTTTTTTGACGTGGACAGCAGTGTTGAATTTAAACTCTTACCCGAATGCCCAGCTCCACGTTTTCCCCTCCATATATTTTCATTCCACCATCAAGGCTGCCAATCTCTCCAAAGAACTTGCGATCAGCTACAAGAATCCCCATGATGGAGGGGCTCCTGAGGACACAATATAAAACCTTTGAGCCTAGCTCTCTCTGAGGGCTAAAAAAATGCTAACCAGTATTTTTGTATGTTTTGTAAGTAATATAATATTGGACTTTTTAAATGATAGCACAGCTGTAGAAAGACAAGAATATAGTGGGAAGTAGAGAAAGGGAAAACCATTAGCCCATCTGCACTCCTCTACCAGCTTTTATAAAAATGACTCTATCTTTGCAGGGAGAAGTGGCTAACTACTTAGCAAGCCAACTATCTCCATCTGTTGATGGAAATAGCTTCTTTTATTACTGACTCTGGGGAAAGAAAATTTGTAAATGTCAAACTCCTCTATTGTCTTTCATTGTGTTATGTTTGATTCTTTAGATCAAAAACTTACTTTCCAGGTTGTGAATCATCATTTAAGGCGTACCACTCAGGTCTAAAGCTTTCATACATGCACCACAGAGCCCAATCAAAGGCATGAGCAGATGTCGAATATGGAGTCAGCTCCAGATCATAATAATTGACTCTGTCAAACACCGGAGACACTATAACAGTGCGGTCCTCCTTGATTCGAGCTAACAATGGCTCTGCCCTGGACAAACCAAATGAAAATGTTAGTACATGTTTTTTATCAACAATAAAGCAACCCTCAATGAAAAGTGAGCTAACCCAGATCACCAAACACCTATACCAACCACTGGACATGGACTTCTATGTGAGCATCCAAGATGGCCACCACATCCCCTACAGCAGCCTTCCATCCTGACAGTCTGGCCTGAGTGAGGCCGAGCTGCTCTGAGTGTCGGACTCTCTTCACCAGACCTGGATGCTCCTTATGGATGGAACTGATGTATTCATCCAGTTTTTCCTTTAAGTCCTCTGCAAGATAAAGATTTGATAACCTAAAAATTAAGTGGCATTAAGTCTTGACATCAGCCTACTTGTCTTTCATTGTGAATCCACATAATACTCAGTCTTTTGAGCATTATTTTCGAAGTCTTCTTCTGAATCACTTATCCGTTTAAGTCTCTGGAACTGACCAAAGAGGATATTTTCTAAAAGCCAAGATGGGTGAAAGCTGTCTGCTCTGAGGATAGAATTTCAATCAGAACATTTTTTAAAGAGGAAGGTGTGTAGGTCTCCATTAACATCTTAAGAGATGTTACGGTCAAGAGGATTGATAGCAGATGAGGAGAAGTCGAGGCTGAGTTCCAAATATCTATTGGTACTGTCCAAGTACTTATCAAGGGCGGCACAGTGGTGTAGTGGTTGGCTCTGTCGCCTCACAGCAATAAGGTCCTGAGCCAGATCAGATTAACAAAACATTGTCAGTATATATATGCCCCATCATACAATTTTATCTAAATAGCCGTTAAGATCAGAGAATACAAATTTATCTTCCCATGCCACCATAAACAAGTTGGCGTAGTTCGGTGCAAAACAGGCTCCCATTGCTGTACCTCTTTTCTGTTTAAAAAATTGACTCTGAAATAGAAGAACATTGTTATTCAGAGTCCATTCGGTCAGTTGCAGAATGAAGGAGGAGGGGGGCATCACTTCTGGGTGTCTCTTTTCCAGGTAACGTGACAGGGCTTCATTTTAGTATACTTCCCAAAGTATACTTTGTACACTGATACAATATACTTCCAGTGTACTTACAAGTAAACTTCTTGGGACTGAATTGGCCCAATTTAGTTTATTAAAGTACACTTAAAGTATACTTTAAAGTAAACTTCTTGGTATACTATATGTTTACTAGTAATAAAATTCTAGTTTTAACTCTAGTTTCTAAAAGTACACTCTGAAGCATACTTTATTGAGTCACTTATTAATAACAACAATAAAACCCGACACTTCCGCCCACACACACACCCATGGACCCACACGCACACAAAGGCACACACCCACCCTCACTCACTCACCCACACACACACACACACACAACCGCACACATTGTAAGAATTTAAGACATAGGGCTCTATTTTCGTGTACGCTGGTGAGGCCATGGAGGGCGGCGAGCCCCGCGCAGTTGTATTTTCGTCTGGTGGAGCCCGGCGTACAGCCAGTTTGGTATTTTTGTGGACTGAGGCGCACGGAGGTGAGCTGAGATCCGCCAAGCTGGGCGTGGTGGCGTGGTAGGAGGAGGTGTCGAAAGAATCAGCGGGCGTAGTGACATTTTCGTGCTCACCAGTGGCGTGTAAAGTGCGCTGAAAGCTCGCCGATTCAAACCTGGTCAGCTTTCAGCGCAGGCGGAACGCAGCTGGTCTAGTAGTATTTTGGTAGACCGGCGGCGTATCGGCATCACACATGCCTCACCGGCAGGTTTCCACAGTGTCAGGCACATTTCAGTGCAATAAATAATCATCAACAACTATTAATCTGAGTCAGCACATACATTTAGATCTATATCGATATTTTCTGATCTATATCTGATCTGATGAACGCATCTGGCACGCGTTTGGACAGACAACCTGACCGAATCAACACAGCTGAAATTGCATTAAATTAAATTAAATATCTAGTAAATAGACACACATGATGAAGTTAACTAGATATTTAATTTGTCTCCCTCCCTTTCTTTCTTCCTCTTCCTCTTATTTCTCGCACAGCTCGACCTGGACATGTCTCTGTGTCCTCTCTCCGTTCTGCTGCAGCGGCTGAACAGATGATTTGTTTCAGTGCATAGATGCGTTCTCTACTTAAAGCCGACATACGGATATTACAATATTCAGTTTTGTGAGGCAAATTTATTTTATATGCCAACATCTATGAAAGAAAGAGCCAGGCCACGGAGCACGATGCGTCATTTACCCACAGATGGTTCCAATTTTAATGCCATTTTTGGAGTTAATGTTGTGATCTGTGCGCTCAACCCACCTTTGTCACGTGAGGTTTGAATATATGCAACTTGATGTGAGTGTCTTAATTAGTGGAAAAGGGTGTTTTTCTTACCAGTGGGTCCAACTTTACACACACCAAATCCATCTGTGCTCATATGAGAGAGTGTGGAGGACGCCCAATGCAGCGCTTACAGTGACACTTGTTGAGCTGCTGCCCTTTGTCGCCATCGTGTGGCATTACTGTCTTCAGACATCTCTTGAGCTCTCTGACTACTTCACGAAAATACTAATACGCCTCGCCGGTGGTGGATTTAAAGGCAAGGAGAGGAGCTTATGTGATTGGTGAAAACAGGTCTCGGCTGTGTTAAACCCACTCCACGCCCTTTCTCCTCCATCGCAACGATTAACGCCGCTGAGAGGAGCTGAGTTTGGGAGGGGGGATACTTACGCCGGGCTGCGCTGCTCACCAAAATACCAAATTGTGCTTGGGAATGCCTTGTCGGCGCGGTGGATCTGACTTACGCCGCGCTTGCGGCACGTCTCCGGCGAGGCACGAAAATAGAGCCCATATTGTTAGAGAGACATGGCCTGACACTGAGACATTACGCAAGGAAAGAGCTACCTCTGGGAATCACTGGAGATAAAAAAATAGAGATAAAAATGGTGAAAAGAAAAAGTAAAACCTGATGGACTAAAACAAGAAAATAATATTAAATGAACAGATAAGTGAGAGCTCTTTACCATATAAAAAAGGGGCAAAAGAAGTAAAAACCTGTGACAGGAATTGAAAAAAAGACTAGGAACAAAGATAATTTAAAAAATGACATAAAATAAACAATAAAAACTTTGATTAAAATGGAACATTTGCAATAAGAGAAACATAAAAAAGCCAATTAGTAAAAAGCCTGGTTAAAAAGGTGAGTCTTGAGCCTCTTCGTAGTCTATAGTTTATAGTATGGTGACCAGACGTCCCTGATTTCTGGGGACAGTCCCTGAATTGGATGACCTGTCCCCGGCAAAAGCTGTCCCGAAACTGTCCCCGATTTAAGCGTTTCATGAATGAGAACAAAAATATTGCGTGAAGGCTAGAACAACGATTATTACAGTGGCTGTATGGGTAGGAAGCACAAGTAAGCAGTCCTGAAAAACAGTTTTAACTGGGGTTATTACAAAGGGCATGCGCTGCTACTAAATAGTACTGTGATGTTGTCTGTGACCACACAGTCCCTGCGCCCCCCACTCCTCTCAATCACCTCATTTCTCATATCTGAGTGACGAAGGACAGGCTAACCTACCGTTACTGCTGTGATCATCCACCAGTATGATTTCTTTGAGGAGCGGAGCTGGTGTCTTGTCTATGATGCTGCGGATTGCCCTTTTGATGATGGAAAGAGCCTCATCTATGTAGATTAAGATGACGCTGATGCTAGGGAGATCTTCTGGGTACTTTTTTTCTGCACACCTGCGAGGGGGAAATATCTTTACATAAATATAAGTTGTGGTTTATCAGTTTGACAGTGACCATCAGGTAGTCAAATTCACCTCTTGGGTCTGGTGTCAGGGATCTGTCTGTTCAGGGGTAGCCGGTCACTGAGAAAGACGTTGTAGCCATAAGCCTGAAACAACTTCTCTGCCTCTTTTTGCTCCTCTTCAGAGAGGCCATCACCCCATTTTTCGAACAAAAAAGAGTTAGGGTACAGCTTCCTCACCACCTTCGTCTCCTCTTTCTTCACCTCTGTGTCATTCCTTGCTACTATTTCCTTTTTTTCCATTTTATCCACGAGAGCCACTGTGGAAGATAAAGAGTTTTTGGTCCTTCTCATTATTCTGCTTTTCTTAAAAGGGAATTATGATTGTAACAATAAATACAGTAAAGGATATTCCCTAGATAACATGATTAATTGTTTTATTTTACTATGAATTAACATTTTTTCTCTTTACAAATGCACATTGTTGGCCGATGAAGTTCAATATTTGGGACATAAAGTGGACGCTAAAGGAGTGCACACTGTGGAAGCCAAGGTAAAAGCTGTTGTTGATGCTCCCACCCCATCTTCAGTGACAGAGCTCAAAGCCTATCTGGGCTTGTTGAATTATTATAACCACTTCCTTCCCAATCTCTCCACATTGCTGGCCCCTTTACATCATCTGCTGAGAAAAGATGTGGCTTGGAGCTGGGGGGATCGTCAAGCAGAAGCATTCAGGGGGTCCAAAGACTTATTGAAGTCAGCTGATGTCTTGGTACATTATTCTGGAGAGAGGCCTTTAATATTGGCGTGTGATGCATCCCCCTTTGGCGTAGGAGCAGTGTTGTCCCACAGAATGGAAGATGGAACAGAAAAATCCATTGGGTTTGTATCTCGCACTTTGGCCCCAGCAGAGAAGAAATATACTCACAGCTGGATAAAGAAGGTTTGGCTGTGATCTTTGGAATTAAAAAGTTCCACCATTACCTCTATGGCCGAAACTTTACAGTTGAAACAGACCATAAGCCCCTCATTTCCCTGTTTAATGAAACTAAACCTGTTCCTCAGATGGTGTCGCCACGTGTTCAGCGCTGGTCTGTATGGCTCAGCGCTTGTGAGTATCACATTGTATACCGGCCTGGAAGGCAGCATGTAAATGCAGATGCCCTCAGTAGACTTCCCTTGCCAGAAACACTCCCTGCTGAGGAAGAGGAGGATCTGGTGCTGATGCTGGATGGAATGGATGATGCACCAGTGACCACAGAACAAGTAAGACATTGGACTGCTAATGATGCAACATTGTCACATGTGCATGAATATGTGCTAAAAGGATGGCCTTCTGTAGTGGAGCCTGAATTCATGCCATACTTCACTCGCCGCTTAGAGCTCAGTGTGTGAGATGGATGTGTTCATTGGGGTGCTCGAGTTATTATTCCTCAGAAAGGACGTACCATGCTGTTAAAGTTGCTACATCAGTCCCACCCAGGAATGTCTCGGATGAAAGGACTGGCCCGGTCGTATATCTGGTGGCCACAGATGGATCAGGATGTTGAGAGGGAAGTAAATCAGTGTGATGCATGTCAGCAGAATAGCATGTCTCCCTCTGCAGCACCCTTACATCCCTGGGAATGGCCAGAGAAGCCCTGGACTCGACTACATGTAGATTATGCAGGTCCGTTCTTGGGCAAGATGTTTCTGGTGTTGGTTGATTCCCATTCCAAATGGATGGATGTATATCCGATGACTACAGCGACTTCTCATGGCACCATTGAAAAGGTCAGACAAAGTTTCAGTGTCCATGGATTGCCGCAGATGTTGGTGAGTGATAATGCTACATGCTTTACAAGTGCCGAGTTTGCTGATTTCATGTCTAAAAATGTCAATGTCAATGTCAAGTTTATTTGTATAGCACATTTAAACAGCCAGTGGCCTACCAAAGTGCTTTACAGTAACGAAGCAGTAGCAATAAAAGCAAGTCATACACAGCAAACAGCAACAACAAAAGACATGTAACATATAAATGTAAATAAAAAACAAATATATAACCAATACAAGTATCATACTCCATCAAAAGCTAAGGTGAACAAGTGTGTCTTCAGTTGGGTTTTAAAAGTAGAGAGACTATTTGCAGTACCCACACTTAGGGGTAGTGCATTCTACAAAGTGGGAGCTGCAACTGCAAACGCTCGCTCCCCTCTGGATTTTAAAAACGCACGAGACACATCTAAGACGACTTGGAAAATGGAATAAAGCATGCTTCTTCAGACCCTTTTCATTCTTCATCGAACGGATTGGCTGAAAGAGCAGTTCGGACCTTTAAGGAGGGGATGAAGAAGATGCAAGGAGGAAATGAGAGCTTGGAAGCAAAGGTGTCCAGATTCCTGTTTAGTTACAGAATCCCTCCACATTCTACTACAGGCTTGTCTCCGGCTGAAATGCTGATGTCAAGGAGGCCCAGGTCCGCCTTTGACCTGTTACTCCCAGATTTGAAGTCTAAGGTAGAAAAGAAACAGTGGAAACAAAAAGTTAATCATGACACACAAACCAAGTTCAGAAGTTTTTCCCCTGGGAATCCAGTTTTTACAAGAAACTACGGATATGGTCCCAAGTGGATCCCTGGAAAAATTGAAAGCTATATGGGCCCTCTGTCATGTACAGTTCTCATCGGAAATGGACAGCTCATGAGGAGACATGTTGACCAGATCAGGAAGAGAGAGCTAAGTGGTGTTCCTGATATAGATCCCTGTACACCTCAGGCTGCGAGCATCCCATCTCCTGTGATGCCAGAAGTGCAGTCCCCTGAGGTCCAGGCCTCTGACTCTCCACACCCTGCGAAAGACTCTGAAAGTGCCCCACCTATGCAGGGGAGTGAGGCCCCACCAGTAGTGGAGGAACAGTTAACACCACCCTTAAGGCGTTCTACTAGAGAGAAGCGCCCTCCTGATTATTATAGGCCTTAGAGTAAACAGTAAAGATACACAATAACAAAGAATACTGATTTAGCAGCTCTGCAGAGAATACTACTGTTTAACTTTATTTTAAGTAGTTAAATGCTAATTTCTGTGTATTTCATTTATAGTTCAGTTAACATTGAAATGTAAGTTAAAAAAAAAAATTAAGAGTTAGATTTAAGTCAACTTATAGAGTAGTAAAATGTATCTTCTGTCTGTTGGTTAATTGTCTTATTCTCTTTTGCAGTGAGTGTTGTCTGCAGACCTGAGAAGGGAAGGATGTAGTATCCTGAGACTGCTATTGTATCTAGAGGGGGCTCTAAGCTCCAGGTGTGGTTACCTGGCAGGTAGTCTATATATAGAAGAAGCCTGACAAGTGATTGTCTCTCTGTGTGTGCTGCATGCCGTGTGCCAGTAAAAAGCCAAATAGTCTATTTGTTGGAATCCTGCGTCCTCTTTGTGTTTTTTTGGAGCCACAATGTTTTAATAGGTGTGGGCAGTTGCAGCAACACATCAGCTGCTTAACCGACACAAGAAGGCAGGTCTGGTCTAAGAATGAGTTTCTGGGTCAAAGAACCAATTGTCCATCAACAATGTCTGATAATCCGGTTGATCAGTTTAGCCTAAATCATGCATTTATAGAATATGGTTGTACACTGTCAAGTAAATTAATCTTGTGACATACTGGTGAAATTAAAGACTCATCAGTGTGAGAACACAGATGAGCAGCAGAGGGTTTTGGAACTTCCCCCTGTGGGACTACAAAAGAAACATCTTATCTTTTATCTTGCAGGTCATGGATCCATCACACAGCTTCAGCTGGCATGAGTTAGAGCTCATATCATAGACCATACAGTCTAAGGCTAATTTGCCCACACTGTCCATAGTCACCTGATAACCGGTGGAGACCGATTGTCGATTCCATTAAACACCTGATAAAGCATTTGTCAAAGCTTGAAAATCAGCAATGTTTGAGTTCATTGAGTCAAGCCTCTTTATGTTCACTGGGACTTAATGCTTGCCTCCCTGACAAAACTTGATAGAAATACTGTAGATTTGCAGGAATCTCTGAAGTTACTCAAATTTGCACTCTATAGCTGTGCTTGTGTACATTTTTTTATTTATCATTCCCTGGCAAAATTCTTCAGTCCAATTCATCCCAGATTTAATCCTCTACATCCTAAACATGAAAACCAAAATATAAATGTGCTCTTAATGGTTGAAGCTCCTGCAAAGAACTTCTGGTTTGTATCGATTTTGGTCTCCATTGAAGACAATAATGTCTTTACTGATCTTGTCCTGCTCATTTGTAAGTTGTATTTTTTTTTCCATACAAAACACATCCTGCTGTTTTTGAACAGTCATCCATTTATAATTTTTTTTATAGGATCAAAGTCTATTTTGGCAGTATGTATAACTCACTTCCACTCATGTTTACTGCATATCATGCATCCACAATTAGAAACTAGAACTAATTATTTAACCTGTCATGGCCTAAATGCTTGTGAAGGTCATGAAGATAAAATGATAATAAAATTAATTTTAGCCTTTTTCAGAAACAGCTTAATACACGATACTGCAGCTTTAAATGTGTTTTTAAATTTTATTGCTTTGGTATTACTTTACCACCAAATCCTTCTAGTTTATTTTCTTAAAGCAGAAACTCACTCAGCTTATCCATGTCTGTCTCCATCCTTCTGAGCATCTTCCATTCGATGGAGTCATTATTCTGGGTTCCCTGGAGTTTCTCTGTGTGGGTGTGGGTCTCTCTCTTATTGGAGTTAATGTACAACAGAGTTGCAGTCCCTGCTAAAAGGAGCAATGGTCCTTTAATCCAGCCAAATCTCATCCTGCTGTCCCTGTGATTAATGTCAGATCAGACACTGAAGGAAAGAAGAGGAGGGAAGACTTCTGTACCTGTAATATCAGGCTATATGTTCCTATCTCCACGTCCTCATTTAAATCCTGATGCCCTTTAGCCCCATCTTCTATCCTGCCCTATGGATTTGTTCAGCAATTATGTTTCATTTGTTCTTGGAAGCAGTACGTTTGCTGTAGTCATGCTGCCTATTTGGCTCCATTACAAAAAGTACATGCAAAAATGATCTTATTTATGCAAGCTGCACCTGTATATTTGTATTATGGTTTATTTTATTTTTAAATATTTTATTTATTTGTTTTGTAGCACAGACACAGAAGTTAATGTTTGTTTTCTGCATTCATTTATTCCTTATGGAGCTAAAGCAGTGGCACTTTTAAAGATCAAATAAGGCACTAACATCCTCATTTTGTGTGGCGCATTGTGAACCATTTTACTGTGTTTGTCTGAGCGAAGAGACGAAATGAGATGCTTCATCTCAAGGGGATATCCTTTAATTCAAATTCAAATATGCACCCTGGAAACATTTGAGCAATTTGCCTAGCTGTTAAAACCCACGCTTCATTTACAGAAACAACAGTCCTTACTCTACATTTCCTCTCCTTTGAGCTGTCCTATCAAAGCAAGGAAAAATGGACTCTAAAAGCAACAACAGTAACATCTGAATATTAGATACTCAATTTCTCTATGCAGAGTATTAGTGCCACATAAAATAAATTAAAGATTGAAAATTTTCTTTTTAGTGATTTATAATCTTTTCTTAGTTATCTACTAGTTTTCTTTCAAATGTTTTTTTCTAAAGAAAACATTTTAATTTTGTCAAAAGTGATAAAATAATTTTAGCGTTATAATTTTATGTACCAAATGTACAGTTTTGACTTGAATAAAATTGAAAAAGTTACAAATTTGTCAAAAAAATTTAAAAAATTAAAAAATGGGGAAAGGGCATTTACAGACACAACTGTTGATACAGGTTTGAAAATAACTTCAAATCACAGGAGTCAACACTGTAGCTGTTGACTTTTCTGCTTCGTGTGGTCAAATGAACACTCATTACAAGGTAATGATGGTAAATATTTATAAGTATAAGTATTTTGGAAAACTAGTGATTAAAGAACAAAAATACTTGGTTTTAAATGCACAAAGGTGTACCCACAGACAGGCCAGTGGCTTGCAACACTGGGGCACAGAGGTTTGACTCGAACCACACAAGACAGTCCCAGGTGCATACCCTGACCTGGACACCTCACTGTTGAGTGAAAGAGGAACTGAGATCCTCATTATATATGACACAGTAATAATTATCATCCAGTCTTGTTTGAGCAAGAGGACTGCTGTTGTACTTCCATTACATTTATAATATTTGTATAGTTTGTGAGGCACTTAAATAATGATAAACTAAATAATGATAATTATAACTTAAGGTAAAGAACAAGAGCACCACTGCCAATGTACAGTTAGTTCAGTACGTATATTGTTACCTTTACCCTCTCTGTCGGTAAAAACAAAGTCAGTTAATGCCAATCCGCAAGGATAATATGACCCATTAAAATGAATAACACGTTGCTGGGTTTATCTGCTGTGTGGACGTGTCTTCCTCAGTTGGACAGTGAGTGGAGTGGCAATGTGGTGCACTCAGGTTAGTTCGCTGGATTAATAAGATGCAATAAATTACTTACTATATAAATATTTTAATAACTTGAAACTGATATGACCTGTAGTCTCTAATGAATGAGTGGGCCTGTCTAGCAATCAGCTGATGTCCTATCTGTTTAAGACTATACTTACAGCTGTTTAATGTCCCTGGTCTAAAAATATGTACTTAATTGCATCAATATTCATAGATTATGTTTTATTGCATTTATACTTCCAATATACTTACTGGAAGTACAGTAACGCTAAAACATATGCATTCAATAGTAGACCATAAACCATATTTTACATATAAACAGCAGTTGAAAATGCAAACTCTAGAATGGAAACACTACCTCCTCTGTCATCTGCTAATACAAAGATCCTCTGAAAACAGAGGAAGCATAGCCCTATTGGAGCATGCTTATCACAGTCCTAATCAATTTGCTGTACATAAGAGTACTGTGTCCACATTTTGTGTAGCTGACTCTCATGAGTTTATAAATGCATTACCCAAATTTTGCACTTGATGTTCTGCAGTGCTGTTCTATGACAAAGCTATAGTGCACACTACTGGCCTGGCATGTATACTCCAGTCATATTAGCATGTATTGTTTTTGAACACAAAGTAATGACTTTTCTATTTTTGATGGGGCTGTTATCATCCAAGCAAGGCCTTGGTCATAGCATCACTGTTGCACAGTAGACGTATCACAACTGTCCCCATCTGAGTTCATGATAATGTATGTTACTCCTCTTGCTCTATTGTGAGACTCTTGTCTTTATTTGCACGAGTGGCTCTAGGACGACCTCTGTCAGTTGTATTTTACATACTCAATATCTTATAGACGTTATATGTTGTTTATATACTGTTGAAAAGATAAGTCCTTACTGGGTCATTTACATTAACTGTACGTATATATATACTACATCTATATACTTAATCTATACTAAATATAGTAAATCCAGGATCAGCTGAAATGCTGCTGTACCAAGTGTGGATGGTGTGGCTATGTGGCAAGGCTTTTCCAAAGTTGTCACGGACATAGTCTTGTGCATTTGGGGAGTATAAGTGCAGTGGGGTGGCAAATTGCTTCAGCTCCTCTGGGAACTTGGCTGACGTTTTCCCCTTTTGCATCCTCCACAAGATGTGTTTTGACACTTTATCAATTGACTCAAGCAGAGATGCACACTGACTCAAAATCAGTAACTTCTCCTTGAGTTGTTTGATGGCACCTTTTAGCTTTTTCCTTAACTTTATCATGATCTTTCAGTGGCCTGACGTTTCTTTTTCAGAGTTCTAGGAGACTTTAGATGGTAGCTGTGATCCTCTCCATTGGGGACAAGTGCTGCATTTAATGGATGCTAGCAATGAGCATTACTGTGAGATAAGACTGATTCCTTAGAAAAGAAGAGTAGACAGACCCTTTTCTTGGACCAGTATTTGCAGTGGACTCCGTCATGTAGTTAAGTTACAAGGTGTCCGTTCAGGCCAATACAGCCCAAAAAATACAGTTATTTAGGTAAAAGGGTATTTTGAGACCCTTGATCAGAGAATTAATGTACAAAACCCAATTCCATTGAAGTTGGGAAATTGTGATAAACGTAAATAAAAACATAATACAATGATTTGCAAATCCTTTTCAACCTATATTCAATTGAATACACTACAGAGACAAGATATTTAATGTTCAAACTCAAACTTTATTTTTTTTTTGCAAATAATAATTAACTCAGAATTTTATGGCTGCAACACTTGCCAAAGCAGTTGGGACAGGGGCATGTTTACCACTGTGTTACATCACCTTTCCTTTTAACAACACTCAATAAACGTTTGGGAACTGAGGAGATTAATTGTTGAAGCTTTGAAGGTCGAATTCTTTCCCATTCTAGCTTGATGTACAGCTTCAGTTGTTCAACAGTCCGGGGTCTCCGTTGTCGTATTTTACGCTTCATAATGCGCCACACGTTTTCAATGGGAGACAGGTCTGAACTGCAGGCAGGTCAGTCGAGTACCCGCACTCTTTTACTACGGAGCCACGCTGTTGTAACACGTGCAGAATGTGGCTTGGCAATGTCTTGCTGAAATAAGCAGGAAGGGCATAGATGAAAAAGACGTTGCTTGGATGGCAGCATATGTTGCTCCAAAACCTGTATGTACCTTTCAGCATTAATGTTGCCTTCACAGATGTGTAAGTTGCCCATGCCTTAGGCACTAATGCACCCCCATACCTTCACAAATGCTGGCTTTTGAACTTTGCGTAGATAACAGTCCCGATGGTTCTTTTCCTCTTTGGCCCGGAGGACACGACGTCCACTATTTCCAAAAACAATTTGAAATGTGGACTCGTCAGACCACAGAACACTTTTCCACTTTGCATCAGTCCATCTTAGATGAGCTCGAGCCCAGAGAAGCTGGCGGTGTTTCTGGATGTTGTTGATAAATGGCTTTTACTTTGCATAGAAGAGTTTGAACTTGCACTTACAGATGTAGCGACGAACTGTATTACTTACAGTGGTTATCTGAAGTGTTCCTGAGCCAATGTGGTGATATCCTTTACACATTGATGTCGGTTTTTGATACAGTGTCGCTTGAGGGATCGAAGTTCACGGGCATTCAATGTTGGTTTCCGGCCGTGCCTCATTGTATACTGTTTTTATTTACATTTATCACAATTTCCCATCTTTAATGGAATTGGGTTTTGTAAATGCAAGCCAGAAAATTTAAAAGTAAAAGTATGCCAAATAATCTTAGTAAGGCGAAGTCTTCTCTTAAAAAAGTTGTAGTTACACAGCCAGTGATGTGGATAAATGGACGACAGGGAAGTGTGTTTATTAGAAAAAATGATGGACTTGAGTATTTATGAACAAATATACTACTGAATGTTTCTCCATTCTTTTCTTGCTGTTTCTCACTTTAACTAACTGTTTTGCATTTTCTTTAAATATCACAATAACATCATTATATGTTTTGGCCTTGATATCTGTAAGGTGAGAATCTGGTTTGTACATGTCCATTACTAAGTTTATCATGAAAAATTGGTGTTATTTTTTTCATCAACTTTAACTCAAACAGCCTCTCTTGATCTGTGGCTGTTCGTCTCTCCTCCAATCTTCCAGGTGTCTTAAAGTGGATGTTGAATGGTCCAGACCTGACCAGTGCACTGCTGTACAACAAGTTTCTGATTGCCGTCTTTACCCACCCCAATTTCAATACATCTCTTTGTTTTTCTGTTTTTGATGGGCCCACCCTGAAAAAAACAAAACAAAAAACACCACACCAATGAAATGTTTGCTTCCTCTAAACTCACTTCTCTAATGTGGACTATAAAACTGTCATACCTACCTGCTTAAAGTCCCAGAGCATGCCTAATTTTAACCTCAGAGCTGTTTTGCAATCGTACAGACCCGGGTCAAGTCCCTGACCATCATCCACTAGACAGCGGTTGCTGTTGTACTTGTGAGATTTGATTTTACCAATGTAGAACCGACCATCAGCGTGATAGTAACAGAACTGCATCAAAGACAATTACACAAAAAATGAACATGACAAATCAGACTATTTGTATAATGTTAACGTCTTTTACATGTTGTTGATGTGTACATCTTCACAACCTGAGGAGAGTAGTAATGGCATTTGAACAGAATGGGTGTGTTTCCTGGCACTGGGCCTTGGTCGATACAGTAATCTGGTTCCAGATTATTCTTCACCTGCCAACAGAGCCACAAACAATAGGTTACCCATCAAAGTGTCCATTATAAAATTGAGCATAGTGTTAGTTCAGGCAGGACACAAAGTCAAGCTAAAGGCTACGGTCATCTAATCCTAAACCAGCCCTCAGTCAACTGATAGCTTAGCTGTTTGCCCTCTACACATGCAGTAGGCAAATGTCAAACCGCCGCTCTATTTAAACTTCTTCAGTTGCCTTCTCTGCCTGCTGCAACCACTCTACAAGCCACCTCCAAAAAGAAAAGAAAAGAAAAGAAAAAGGGAAACCTTATACAGCATGAACATGGTCCAGAAACACATTTGACTACTCAGAGTATGAGCCCATTTTAGATTAGTTAAAGGTGGGGTAGGCAGGATCTGAGAAAGGGCCAGTTTTTGGGAGAAATCTTGAATGTAAACACGACCCTTCACAACCAGTTTTCCCCTCAGCTCCTCCTCTCCCCTCCCTCTCTGCTCCAACAAGACCCGCCCACAAACAGACACTCGTATCGTTCCAATTAAATTCAGATATAATGTAGATAAATACTTCAGATAATTATAAATGGGGCCCAGTCAACATGAAAGTAAAAAGCATTGGTGCTACTGTAGATGCCAACAGACTACCAACAAACATGATGTTTGAAAGGATTTCTACAATTAGGAGAAAGTGACATACCCCAGGACCTGAGGTAAACAGTTTAGAGGTGCTACAACATGCAGCAGGTCCCGTTTGACAAGAAACACTTCTGTTACAGACACTTGGCTTACTTTGTTAGAAAGGTTACAGGGTCCATAAGATCCGGAAGCACCCCCCCCCCCCCCATCATTGATGTTGACTCGGCTTTTTAGCTCTTGCCCCAGTCTACCGTTTTAAGCGTCCGTTATTCCGCCAGAGTCTCCGGTATTTACTTTGTTTTCTTTCTTGTGTTGGCCAAAGGAGGATTCCAACAGTTTTCCGTACTTTCTGGTTGGTTTCTACTGTCCGATATTGTAGCACGCTAACTTTGATTGGGCTCATGAACGACACGGAGGAGCATCATCTGCCTCACAACCAATCAGGTTGGGAGAGGCGGAGAATGGCTTGGTTTACAGTCAGAAAGAACGGGCCGCTCAAAAATATTAAAATGTTCCGACGTCTTCTGCGGATCCCGCAGCACGTGTTAGACGTCACCATCTACTCATGGACCAATCAGGGGCTGCCTTTCCCTGTTGTCCGGTTATTTTCTGATCGCTAACACACACTCCCAATGGGCTGAAGTCCAGACTGTTGAGTGAAGGAACGGCAAGTGATTCACGCAACTGGATGGCCCAGCCAGGCTAGGAAGGCCTTGCATAATACAGCCATTCAATACTACACCATATTCTGCACGTATTAAACAGCATGGCTCTTCCATAGAATAATCCAGTTTTTTAACTGACATGCCTGCAATTTCAATTTCTCACCCAATGAAAACACAACAAAGATCTCAAAAGTGTTGATAAATTTGGAAGTTAATGACATCCAAAAGATGCCAAGACTTACCACTCCGTAACCTAGCATGCCTGTAAAAGGATCCAGTGCGGGGTAAACATTATCCAGATACCACTTGAATGGTTTGCAGTTCAGCTTTTCTCTCAGCTTTTTCCTCTCAGACACATCTCCAATATCTATTCCATGGTTCTGTGTGAAGCAGCAAGATAGAAAAAAGGTGTTGATAAGTAAGAGAAAATACAGACTCTCAAACACTCAAGGTGGAAGCTCATGGTGTATTTGTGTCCCTTACCTTTAAGGGAAGGCCCCAGGCTATGTTAACATTATCTTTGTATTCATCCATCCACACCTCTGCCACCCTCAGTGCGTTACGCTTCACCATTGGAGCTAAATCTGGGAGGTAAGGCTTAACTGCCCGTTCAATGTGAGCAACTTTGGAGCAGGGTATAATTTCTATGCTGCCTCCACAGAGCCATACCTGCCAGAACATAAAAGAATTTTTAAAGGTATTAGCAAAAATTCCAAACTGGCATCACTTAAGTAATGAGTCACTGAGAAACTTCTTAATTAAAAAGGATACTCCTACTACTGATAAGTTTCATAGCCAACCACACGACTCCTCATGTACCCCCACAGCTTGAAGTAAATGAACACAGTTGGGTAACAAGAGCTGGTGCATTACCGAAGTTATCATGTGTTTGTAGTAGGTTGAAAAGCTACATTGGCTTTTCATTCTGTATTGTGTTGGTCTGAATAGCTTTGAGGACACCCTTTATACAGTGAGTGATATTTTTGTAATGTATTTGTGTAAGTTATCGTGGTTACAAGATCAGTGAATCAGGGGCACAGCTGAGTTGACTAGAAAGCAGGAACCCTGTAGCCATCTACAAGGAGGTGAAAACCCCACTTAAGCAAGTGTTACCTGTATGGTGACCGCTGCAATTAAGCTTCTAAACTCAGTTTCTTAAACAAACTGATGACATCTCTGACACAGTATTTATGTTTTATGTTATTGTATTGTTATTGTACCTAACATTGATTTCTAAATGTTTGATGTTGTTGAAGTGATGCATTTTTCAGACAGTAGTTTACCATGTTAATCATCTAAGTTTTGTCTTTTTAATTTGGTTACATTATATATCACATAATTGAGCCAGTCCTGTTGTTTCAAAACACTACACTTTCAGAGTAAAGTTTATGTAGTATATATAGGTTTGTGTACATACAACTATTCAACGTTTAAATTGTGTAAGGAAACCAAAGTAAAACGTACTCTTCCCCCATAATTCATGTATAACGTAGAGCAGTTTAAAAAGTTAAATTTTTCTTAAGAAATTCTAGTTCTTACTGAATCTTAAAAATACAAAGTAGAAATTATGACAGTTACTTTAATAGAGTTTAGTGCACCAAAAAGTCACTTTTTCAGCGTACCTGGAGCTTCCTTGCTAACATAAGGACAAAAAAAGTAACTTCTAAAGTTAGAAGTTCTAAAGGTGACTTTTTTTTGACGTGGACAGCAGTGTTGAATTTAAACTCTTACCCGAATGCCCAGCTCCACGTTTTCCCCTCCATATATTTTCATTCCACCATCAAGGCTGCCAATCTCTCCAAAGAACTTGCGATCAGCTACAAGAATCCCCATGATGGAGGGGCTCCTGAGGACACAATATAAAACCTTTGAGCCTAGCTCTCTCTGAGGGCTAAAAAAATGCTAACCAGTATTTTTGTATGTTTTGTAAGTAATATAATATTGGACTTTTTAAATGATAGCACAGCTGTAGAAAGACAAGAATATAGTGGGAAGTAGAGAAAGGGAAAACCATTAGCCTATCTGCACCCCTCTACCAGCTTTTATAAAAATGACTCTATCTTTGCAGGGAGAAGTGGCTAACTACCTAGCAAGCCAACTATCTCCATCTGTTGATGGAAATAGCTTCTTTTATCACTGATTCTGGGGAAAGAAAATTCGTAAATGTCAAACTCCTCCATTGTCTTTCATTGTGTTATGTTTGATTCTTTAGAACAAGAACTTACTTTCCAGGTTGTGAATCATCATTTAAGGCGTACCACTCAGGTCTAAAGCTTTCATACATGCACCACAGAGCCCAATCAAAGGCGTGAGCAGATGTCGAATATGGAGACAGCTCCAGATCATAATAATTGACTCTGTCAAACACCGGAGACACTATAACAGTGCGGTCCTCCTTGATTCGAGCTAACAATGGCTCTGCCCTGGACAAACCAAATGAAAATGTTAGTACATATTTTTTATCAACAATAAAGCAACCCTCAATGAAAAGTGAGCTAACCCAGATCACCAAACACCTATACCAACCACTGGACATGGACTTCTATGTGAGCATCCAAGATGGCCACCACATCCCCTACAGCAGCCTTCCATCCTGACAGTCTGGCCTGAGTGAGGCCGAGCTGCTCTGAGTGTCGGACTCTCTTCACCAGACCTGGACGCTCCTCATGGATGGAACTGATGTATTCATCCAGTTTTTCCTTTAAGTCCTCTGCAAGATATAGATTTGATAACCTAAAAATTAAGTGGCATCAAATCTTGACAGTCAGCCTACTTGTCTTTCATTGTGAATCCACATAATACTCAGTCTTTTGAGCATTATTTTCGAAGTCTTCTTCTGAATCACTTATCCGTTTAAGTCTCTGGAACTGACCAAAGGGGATATTTTCTATAAGCCAAGATGGGTGAAAGCTGTCTGCTCTGAGGATAGAATTTCAATCAGAACATTTTTTAAAGAGGAAGGTGTGTAGGTCTCCATTTACATCTTAAGAGATGTTACAGTCAAGAAAATTGATAGCAGATGAGGAGAAGTCGAGGCTGAGTTCCAAATATCTATTGGTACTGTTCAAGTACTTATCAAGGGCGGCACAGTGGTGTAGCGGTTGGCTCTGTCGCCTCACAGCAATAAGGTCCTGGGTTCGAATCTGGGTCAGGGCATATCTGTGTGGAGTTTGTATGTTCTTCCTGTGTCTGCATGGGTGACACATGGGGACCTGTCACCTTGTATTCTGTCCTCAGGAGCCCCCTCCATCATGGGGAGTCCATATCACTCCGGTGTCCTCCCACATCCCAAAAACAGAACATGCTTTCCAATTGCACGTAGGTGTGAATGTGTGCATGGATGGTTATTTGTTCCTATATGTCAGCCCTGCAATGAACTGGCGACTTGTCCAGGGTGTCCCCTGCCTTCGCCCGAAGATGCTGGGATAGGCTCCAGGGATAGTCCAGTGCCCAACTCTAAGAGTATACTCTTTAAAAGATATATGAAGTATTCACTGATCAAGTATACTTAAACCCAAGGCACAAATACATACTCAAGTATATCTTGTGTAAAAGTTTATGTATAAGTATAGGTAAAAATTCAAATTCAACTTTATTTTTATGGCACTTTTCATACAAAAAATGCAGTTCAAAGTGCCTCACAAAGGCTAAAAACAACAATAACAACAATAAAACCCGACCCTCCCACCCACACACACACACACACACACACCCATGGACCCACACGCACGCACTCACTCACCCACACATACACACACACAACCGCACACAGTGCAATAAGAGAAATATAAAAAGGCAATTAGTAAAAAGCCTGGTTAAAAAGGTGAGTCTTGAGCCTCTTCGTAAAAACATCAACAGTCTCTGTGGCCCTGAGGCATTCCAGCAGGCTGTTCCACAACCGGGGACCATAAAAACTGAAAGCCGCCTCCCCGTGTGTTAAAGTCTATAGTCTATCGTCTCCCTATGTAGTTGAAATATATTTGTATTTATATATTTAGAATTTTAGTACAATTCCTAGACCAAGCCAAGTATACATTACATGCATAAAAAGTAAAGTAAAAGTATACTTAGTTTAAACACAGTATATTTGAAGTACACTTCAGCATTCTTTTTTTGATATATGTATACTTAATCAACAGAAGAAGTTAGTAAGTTCTCAGTTGTATATTCATGACTTCCTTCAGCAGAGTTAACGGTGAACTTTCAGAGTGCAGTTTCTGTATTGAAGAAATCCAGTTGAGGATTAGGCTGCATCCTTTAGGGACATATTTGAGCCATGTTCCCATTTGGTTTTGTGTCATTTTGAAAATGTGGTCCCTTCCTTTTGTGAAATTTTATCATTTATAGTTTTTGACAATTTCATTCTTACACTTTTAATGATACTATATTGCATCGTAAGCATCATTGTAAGCACTGCTCAGGCACTTCAATGACAATGTAATCAGTGGTTCAACTAAACATTAACCTTATTGAAGTCATTCAAGGGACACTGCTCATCGGACATAGATGGATGTTGATGTGTCTATTGCTTCCATTGGTTAATTACCTGAGGTGCCTCACATGTTTTGGTTGAATTCCTCTCAATGACCTCATTTCTCATCTCTGAGTGACGAAGGACAGGCTAACCTACCGTTACTGCTGTGATCATCCACCAGTATGATTTCTTTGAGGAGCGGAGCTGGCGTCTTGTCTATGATGCTGCGGATTGCCCTTTTGATGATGGAAAGAGCCTCATCTATGTAGATTAAGACGACGCTGATGCTAGGGAGATCTTCTGGGTACTTTTTTTCTGCACACCTGCGAGGGGGAAATATCTTCACATAAATATAAGTTGTGGTTAATCAGTTTGACAGTGACCATCAGGTAGTCAAATTCACCTTTTGGGTCTGGTGTCAGGGATCTGTCTGTTCAGGGGTAGCCGGTCACTGAGAAAGACGTTGTAGCCATAAGCCTGAAACAACTTCTCTGCCTCTTTTTGCTCCTCTTCAGAGAGGCCATCGCCCCATTTTTGGAACAAAAAAGAGTTAGGGTACAGCTTCCTCACCACCTTTGTCTCCTCTTTCTTCACCTCTGTTTCCTTCCTTGCTACTATTTCCTTTTTTTCCATTTTATCCACAAGAGCCACTGTGGAAGATAAAGAGTTTTTTGTCCTTCTCATTATTCTGCTTTTCTTAAAAGGGAATTATGATTGTAACAATAAACAAAGGATATTCCCTAGATAACATAATTAATTGTTTTATTTCACTATCAATTAACATTTTTTCTCTTTACACAGGTGTGGGTAGTTGCAGCAATACATTAGCTGCTTAACCGACACAAGAAGGCAGGTCTGGTCTAAGAATGAGTTTCTGGGTCAAAGAACCAATTGTCCATCAACAGTGTCTGATAATCTGGTTGATCAGTTTAGCCTAAATCATGCATTTATAGAATATGGTTGTACACTGTCAAGTAAATTAATCTTGTGACATACTGGTGAAATTAAAGACTCATCAGTGTGAGAACACGTATGAGCAGCAGAGGGTTTTGGAACTTCCCCCTGTGGGACAATAAAAGAGACATCTCTTATCTTATCTCACAGGTCATGGGTCCATCACACAGCTTCAGCTGGCATGATTTAGAGCTCATATCATAGACCATATAGTCTAAGGCTTAAATGCCCACACTGTCCATAGTCACCTGATAACGGGTGGAGACCGATTTCATTAAACACCTGATAAAGCATTTGTGAAAGCTTGAACATCAGCAATGTGAGTTTACTGAGTCAAGCCTCTTTATGTTTACTGGGACTTAATGCTTGCCTCCCTGACAAAATTAAATGGAAATAGATTTGCAGCAATCTCTGAAGTAACTCAAATTTTGCACTCTATAGCTGTGCTTGTGTACATTTTTAGATTTATTATCCCCTGGCAAAATTCTTCAGTCCAATTCATCCCAGGTTTAATCCTCTACATCCTAAACATGAAAACCAAAATATAAATGTGCTCTTAATGGTTGAAGCTCCTGCAAAGAACTTCTGGTTTGTATCGATTTTGGCCTCCGTTGAAGACAATAATGTCTTTACTGATCTTGTCCTGCTCATTTGTAAGTTGTATTTTGTTCATATAAAACATGTCCTGCTGTTTTTGAACAGTCATCCATTTATAAAGAATTTTTTAAATAGGATCAAAGTCTATTTTGGCAGTTTGAAATAACTCACTTCCACTCATGTTTACTGCATATCAGGCATCCACAATTAAAAACTAGAACTAATTATTTAACCTATCATGGCCTAAATGCTTGTGAAGGTCATAAAGATAAAATAATACTAAAATTAATTTTAGCCTTTTTCAGAAGCAGCTTAACACACCACACTGCAGCTTTAAATGTGTTTTTAAATTTTATTGCTTTGGTATTACTTTACCACCAAATCCTCCTAGTTTATTTTCTTAACCCTAGAACACGATTGCTAAAGTTAGTAACACCATCACCATCACGACAGGTAATTTTTACCTGAAATAATATACCCAAAAAAGGGTACTTGTCATCAAAATATATCAAAATAGGACAATACATGGCAAATTAAAGTAGTTTTCTTTTATTTTTAACTGTGCAATGTCCAAAGGGAGAAACAAAAGTGCCATGAGGGGACCATATAAAAATGCAACAAAATAACTCAAATTAGGCATTTATGAACAAAAAATTCATATATATGTGTGTGTGTGTTATTGGCACAATAACAGCTGCAGGAGAGAGAACCAAAATATAGCTTATTTAGACTGAGTATAAATGACCATCTGACTAAAATATTTCTTATCACCATATGAATTCCTATGAAAATCACTTTTTTGTGATAGTTATTCATAACCACTGCGCTAAGTAAAGCTAGCATGCAAATTGCAGGACCACTTTTACTGACCTTATTCACCTACATGCAGCTATCAAATCAACCCAAACCTATTTTAACCTCTATCACTATTGCCGGGTGAAAATCACCTGAACACGTGCCTGTTGGAAAAAGCAGGTTTTGGATCAGAGAAACAAACATGCCTTCAAAGATGTCAAAGGCAACGCTGAAGCTACCCAGGGACCCATGATACTCAAACGCAACATCATGAAATTCACGTCAACATGTTTAGTCGGGCGAAAATCACCCAACGGTATTGTTCTAGGGTTAGGACAGAAACTCACACAGCTTATCCATGTCTGCCTGCATCTTCTCCATCCTTCCGAGCATCCTCCATTCGATGGAGTCATTATTCTGGGTTCCCTGGAGTCTCTCTGTGTGGGTGTGGGTCTCTCTCTTATTGGAGTTAATGTACAACAGAGTTGCAGTCCCTGCTAAAAGGAGCAATGGTCCTTTAATCCAGCCAAATCTCATCCTGCTGTCCCTGTGATTAATGTCAGATCAGACACTGAAGGAAAGAAGAGGAGGGAAGACTTCTGTACCTTTGATATCAGGCTATAAAATTCCTATCTCCGCCCCCTCATTCAAATCCTGATGCTCTTTAGCCCCATATTCTATCCTGCCCTATGGATTTGTTCAGCAATTATGTTTTATGTGTCCTTGGAAGCAGTACATCTGCTGCTTTATTGCCTCCTTGTTGGCTCCATTTCAAAAAGTACATGCAAAAATGATCTTATTTATGCAAGCTGCACCTGTATATTTGTGTTATGGTTTATTTTATTTTAAAATATTTTATATATTTGTTTTGTAGCACAGACACAAAAATTAATGTTTGTTTTCTGCATTCATTTACTCCTTATGGAGCTCAAGTGGTGGCACTTTTAAAGATCAAATAAGGCACTAACATCCTTGTTTTGTCTGGCGCATTATGAACCATTTTACTGTGTTTGTCTGAGCGAAGAGACGAAATGAGATGCTTCATCACAAGGGGATATCCTTTAATAATAATAATAATCTAAAAGCGACTTCAGTTATATCTAAATATAAAGACACTCATTTTTTCTATGCAGAGTGTAAGGGCCACACAAAATAAAGATTGAAAATTTTCTGTTTCAAGATTTACAATTTTTTATTATCTACTTGTGAGAATAAATTTGTAGTAAAATCATATCCAGTCATAAGTTTAGTCAATGGTGAACGCTGTTTTGAAGGATATTAAACACCACAGCATTTTGCGCAATCTTTACAGTCTTAATACTTAAAACAATGTTTTGCTAAAGTGCCAAACAGTTTTTTTAGGTTGTGGTTGGTTAAGAAGAAGCCTCTGCTTTTCTTCTGGACTTGCTGGTTTTGGTTGGCGCCTTTATGTAACGACCAGGATTACACGATGACCCCTCCTTTTGAAGCCCTTTTTTTTAAAGACTTTTTGAAACCAAATTTTGGTTTTAAAAGAAGATCCTTATTGATCCCCTTATTGGTCATTTCACCAGCAGAAAACAAACCAGCCTTAGTGCTTAGGTTGGAGGTCCTTTTACACCTCTAGTACACCTCTGCCTGAAGCTTTGGTTTGGTTTTGCTCTCCCAGGTTTCTTCAATAGGATGTTGTATTTTCCATTTCTGACCAGTGCACTGCTGAACAGCAAGATTGTAACTGCCGTTGTCACCCTCTGCGATTTCAACACATCTCTTTGTTTTTCTGTTTTGGATTTGTCCACCCTGGGAATAAAAACATACGCCACATAAATAAAATATCCTAATTCTTCTGGACTGATCTATCTGGAGTAGTCTATAAAATGTCGATACTTACTTGTTTAAAATCCCACAGCATGTTTAATTTCATCTTTTTAGCTAATTTGCACTTGTACAGGCCAGGGTAGGGGGATGACACAAGATCCACTAGACAGCGGTTGCTGTTATACTTGTGAGATTTGATTTCACCAATGTAGAACTGACCATCAGCGTGATAGTAACAGAACTGCATTAAATGAACCGTTGTTAAACCAAAGAGGAAAATAATAGGCCAGTGTGTTTGTATACATTCAATGATCTCAACAAACCTGGGAGGATACATCATTGCATGAGAACAGAATGGGTGTATATCCTGGTACTGGGCCTTGGTCGATACAGTAATCTGGCAGCAGTTCATTTTTAACCTGAAAATAAAGGAACAAACAATCGGTTGACCTTTATCATTTTTATTGTAAATCATGGTAAAATGCACAGCTTATACTGTACATAGCCATGTAAAAGTATAGTTCATGAGACACCTACTTTAAGTTCATATAACAACAATGTGATAACACTTTTTATTTTGTGATACATTATATGAAAATGGAAAACAAACAAACAAACAAACAAACAAACAGAAACTTACGACAGAGCATTAGAGCCACATTAAGAAAAGAAAACATTTTAGACCTCTGAATTACTTACGAGAATAAAGTCATAATCAAGTAATTACTTACAAGAATAAAGTTGTAATAAAACCATTACTTACGAGAATAAAGTCGTAGCTAATAGCTATTCTAACCTGTTGTTAGTTGTTTAAATGAGCGCTGTGGAGCATTTCGATGAATTGAACTTCAGTAGCTAGGTTTCACAAACAAGGAGATAAATCCTTTGGCATTTCAGCATCACACTGTCATAAGTATCAGGACATTTGCAAGAAATGCATCTTTTCCGCAGAAAGAACCAGGCGGAATTGTAGGGAATCGCTGTTTGTGAGGGGGTGGAAATGGCTGGAAATAGCTGTGCAGAGGCTAAATCCCTCAATGCGTCTGTTTATAGCAATAGCATACGGCTTTAGTTTATCGTATGAATCTATATGCCATAAGGTGCTGGTGCCTCTGCAGGTGTTGGCTGCTGCAGGTGTTGTGCCAACATCAGAGACAGACGTGGTGCGTCTCGGAGCTCGGCTCCCTCTGAATCGCTAATGTTGATCATCAGTTGGATTGTTTCTTGAGAAACCACAAAAGCCTTCTGAATGGCCCGTTGTCGCACCCACAGATAACTCTGCACCTGACCAGTTCAAGCTGTTTCTTCCTCCACAAAACAGCTGTAAGACTTTATTTACTTTCCCACTTTATCATCGTAATAAATGATTTTATTATGACTTTATTCTCATAAGTAATTACTTTATTACAACTTTATTATCGTAAGTAATTCCGAGGGCTAGTTTTTTTCTTTTCCTAATGCGGCCCTAATGCTCCATTGTAGAAACTACACTGACAATAAATTAAAAAAAAACCTGGACAGATGTTGGGCCAGACTCTTTTGGGTTTTAGTCCTTATTTATAGTATTTTCTAAGTTTATTTTAAATGAGGTTTGTTTTAAAAAGTGTTTGTATTGTAGTTTCAGGTCTGCAGTAGCTGGTTGAGGCACTGTTTTGAGGTCTCTGCTTTGATTAACTGTCTCTTATCAGTGGAAGCCCTTAAGCTCCAGCTCTGGATCCTGTTTCTGCCAGTTCATACCAGCTTCATTGTGGTGTCTAAACTCTCATGCTTTTAAACCACCAAGTCATGTGAACTCAGGTAACCTTATACCATCATAGATGATGCTTTTTGTATAGAGCAGTGGTCCCTTGTTGATCAAACAAGGGACACAATCAATGTCAATGACCTCCAAAAAATTCTGATTCCTCAGACCAGTGTTTCACATTTATATATGGTTTTCTCATTGCATGGTAGAGGTTGACATGTATTTATGGATGTAGCATTAAGCTGTGTTATCAGAAAACAGAATTTGCAAGCTTTTTTGCAGTGATTTCCACTACAGGGTCCCATCTGTCATTAATGCAGTGCTGCAATCCAGAATAGGTACTTGCTGGATGGAACTCTGGTATAGGTACCATGTAGAATGGACTACAGTGAGGTGACGCAGCTCAAGGAAGAACATTTATGATCATTTCTTCATGGAAATGCAATCAGAACGAGACGCTAAGGCAGAAGAACTACCGCATCTGCAGTGCAAAATGATTAATATGGTGATTTTTACTTCAAGAAACTACTGCGCAGCTCTGGTTTCAAGGAAGTGGAGAAAAACCCGGAATTACCGAGAGCTTTTTGGCTTCAAATCCGTATACAGGCGGAATGCGGAACCAGGTTGTCCATAGTATATACAGTCTATGGTTTGACCTTAAATTAATTTTATGCCGGAATATCCCTTCAAACTTAGTCAGTTCAGCTTTAGCTTCTACACTCACCAGTCCATATGCCAGCAGGTGCAGAGGCTCCAGTGCGGGGTAAACATTGTCCAGATACCACTTAAATGGTTTGCAATTCAGCCTCTTCCTCAGCTTTATCCTCTCGGACACATCCCCAATGTCTATCCCATGATTCTGTGTGAAACCACAGGATGGGGGAAAAGAGGATTTTGTTAAGTTAGAGAAACTTCAGCGTTTGCATTTGAATCCCTAGAATAATTTGTTATGAGGCAAGAGTTGTACTTTTGGTTCCCATACCTTTAAGGGAAGGTTCCAGAAAATGTTAACATGATATTTGTATTCATCCATCCACACCTCCGCCACACGCAGTGCATTGCGTCCCACAATTGGTTTTAAACTGGTCAGGTAAAGCTTATTTTCTCGCTCAATGTGAGCAATTTTAGAGCAAGGTATAACTTCTATGCTGCCTCCACAGAGCCACACCTGAAAAAACAAGAGAGATTATTTAAAAAGCATTTTCAATCTTTAAAGCCATTTAACCAACTCACACTACACAAAGGATATACTAGACAAGGAGTCATGAACACTGCACTTCTCAATTAAACAGCTTCTAAATTATTGTGTCATATTGCTTTGTTCCAAGTTAAGAGTCGGATAAACACCAAGAATTGTTCATTTGATTGATTCCTGATGGATAAATAAACAAAAAGAAAAAGGATGTTTTAATTCCACAGAGACATGAGGCAATATATAAACTATAAGACCCTTTAGCCACCATCAGAACACAGCCAATGTTAATGTCAGACCTCCCAGTCCAAAGAAAATTTGTCACTACTTTTTTTTGGATGTTGACAGGTGTATTGAATTTATTTAGAGACATTTGAAAACTCTCACCCGCATGCCAAGTTCTACATTTTCCCCACCATAAACTTTCATTCCACCATCAAGGCCTCCAATCTCTCCAAAGAACTTGCGATCAGCTACGAAGATCCCCATGAGAGAGGGGCTCCTAAGGACAGAATAAAAACATCTGAGAATTTGCAGGAACTTAACAGTAAAAAAAAATCAGTTAACAACACCGAGGTACTGCAATATCTGGATTTATGAAGACAGGTGAGGTAGAGAGTAAGGGCTGCTTATCCTGTTATGGAAAAAGTAACTTCTATGGCATGTCAGAGATGGGATCAAAGTTGATCAGACCATTGAGGAGTTCATCAGCATAATAATGCATCACTCACTGTTTTTCCACTGTTGCAGAGCTGTACCACTCCAACACCAGGTTTTCTATCTATCTATCTATCTATCTATCTATCTATCTATCTATCTATCTATCTATCTATCTATCTATCTATCTATCTATCTATCTATCTATCTATCTATCTATCTATCTATCTATCTATCTATCTATCTATCTATCTATCTATCTATCTAATGTTTTTGTAGTCACATGATGATGAGTCAAGTGAAACTGAGGCTCTGTTGATTTGCCTCAGAGGGAAAAGCGAGATCTGATCATGAGGAGATGCTCTTCCATCTTGTTCAATCTTGCCTTTTCGTAGTGATGGTGTGACTCACAACAGATTTGTCTACACGTGTGGGACAAAATTGTTAATGCATTGATGGTTGCTCCATGGGGATGTAGCTCAGTGGTAGAGCGCATGCTTCGCATGTATGAGGTCCCGGGTTCAATCCCCGGCATCTCCAATTATGAATGTAAAATATGAGCAAATATCCAAACAATGCAGAGGTTAAACCTGCACAGAAATGTTGATTTGAAGTTGAAGGATGTTACCAATGAGCATTACTGTGGGATAAGACTGATTCCTAAGCAAAGAAGAGAGACCCTTTTCTTGGACCAGCATTTGCAGTGGAATCTGTCATGTAGTTTAGTTACAAGGTGTCCGTTCAGGCCAGTACTGCCCAAAAAATACAGTTATTTAGGTAAAAGGGTATTTTGAGACCCCTGGTCAATCAAGAATAGAACGTCTCTATGTGGGGAGAGAATAAATGTCAGTCAAGGGAGTCTTCCCACAGTGGTTGTTGTGCCTGAGTGTTTAAGGTGACAGACTAAAAATCCATTAGAGACTCCTTGCGTAAAATCAAATCCTACCAATGACGTGTGGCTGTTTTGACTTCTGAGAACAGGGAGTTGCTTAACACATGGAGACTGTCATGTATTAAGATTTCTGCTTCAAAAGAAAACAAAGGACATTGAGCTGAAGGTATCTAGGCTGACGGAGACAGGTCATACTTATGACGCTTCAAAGGGTCTTGCCAAAGGATCCAATAGGTTACAGATGGATGAGATTTACATCCTGGGAATAAAGTGGATTTCCATTTCAGTGTGGCCGCCAATCCCAGTTTCCTCAAATTGTTACAGGATACCAGTTTGGTGTCTCTTGCTTCCCTTTTTGCCTGTCAAAACCCTGTCAGTCTTGTTTTTTATGACTCTCTCAGCAGGAAGACGTGCTCAGTCAGCATCATAGCTAGTAAGCAAGCCAGCTGTCACATCTGGGCTCATCAGTTGAAACACACTATTGATATGTTTGATATGACTCTTTAACTTAAGAACTTACTTACTTTCCAGGTTGTGAATCATCATTCAAAGCCAACCACTCAGGCCCGAAGAATTCATACGCGCACCACAGACCCCAACTAAAACCGTGAGCATATGGTGGATATGGAGTCAGTGACAAATCATCATATCTGACTTTGTCAATCGCTGGAGACACTATGACAGTGCGGTCCTTCTTGATTCGAGCTAACAATGGCTCTGCCCTGAACAAACAAATAAAAACAATAAAACAGGTTTATCATTATTGTAGCACAATAACCATGCTGTGACACACCAAACATTTAAACCAACCATTGGACATGGACTTCTATGTGAGCATCCAAGATGGCTATGACATCCCCTTCAGCAGCCTTCCACCCTGAGAGTCTGGCCTGGGTGAGGCCGAGCTGCTCTGAGTGCCGGACTCTCTTCACCAGACCTGGATGCTCCTTAAGAATGTTGTTGATGAAGTCATCTAGTTTTCCCTTTAAATCCTCTGTAGGATAAGGAGCTTGAGTTAGACAATTTGGTGGTATGATATCTTGACTGACATTGAATCACCAAATACCTAGCCTACAAAAAACCCTCATAGATTTCAGGAATTTTACCAGTGAATTACAGCTTGGTACTGTCATGAAAACAGGCTAACCCACCATTACTGCTGTGATCGTCCACCAGTATGATTTCTTTCAGCAGCCGAGCTGGAGTCTTGTCTATGATGCTGTAGACTGCTCTTTTGATGATGGAAAGTGCCTCATTCAGGTAGATTAAGATAACGCTGATGTTGGGAAGATCCTCGGGATATTTTTTCGCAGCACACCTATAAGCGAAGAAACAAAAAGGAACAACTTTAAATATCTGAGAAGATTTGTGCTTGTTTTCATTGATCTTTCATTGCTCAAAAGCAGTAAAGTTAGGTTGATGTTTCCTCTGAATCTTTTGGCATCATTTTTAACTAGTGATTGACAGCTATGTTTATTACCAAGCTGGGTTAAATAGTTGTTTCTGATTGATTTGAACTTCAGTGAGTTTACAAGCTAACATTTACAATGAAACATCAGGTAGTCAAATTCACCTTTTGGGTCTGGTGTCAGGGATCTGTCTGTTCAGGGGCAGACGGTCACTGAGGAAGACATTGTAGCCGTAAGCCTGAAACAACTTTTCGGCCTCTGTCTGCTCCTCTTCGGACAGGCCATCACCCCATTTTCTGAACAGATGGGAGTTCGGGTACAGCTTCCTCACCACCTTCGTCTCCTCTTTCTTCACCTCTGTGTCCTTCTTTGTAATGATTTTTGTTGTGTCTTTTTTATCAACAAGGGTAACTGTGGACAAAGAAGAGTTGTTAATAGCATTATTCAGCTTTTTATAATAGATGAAGGGAGTAACTTTCCTAAGATAGATAAAGAGACTTTCCTTGACAACATATGATTTACATGTTGTGCATGAGTAAATGTTTAACAGTATTGCCAACTCTTCTGTCAGGAAAGTCGCTAGTGGCTGTCCAGGAAGTCACTAGATGACGGCATCACCTAATGTGCACACACACACACACACAATCCTGGCATGGGAGGAGGAGTCTACCTTGGGGTGTCTTTGATGCACATCCACTTTTTGCAAATATTCAACTTGATTCATGTTTTAGACAATGTCCCAACTTTTATTGAAATTGGTTTTTTTTTAGGAACTAGATCTAATCTATCTAGTTAGTATATGTTGTTTAAGTCATGAAGAGGTTAAAAAAAATTATTTCAGTCTGCTTCAAATTCAGCTAAAAATGCTTTACAGGAGCTTTAATGTACCTTTAACTTTTCAATTTTTTTTATCAAAACCTAAAAGTTCACATATGGTCTTAGCTCAGATACTCACACTGCTTTTCTATCTTCTCAATCTTCTTGAGCGTCCCCTGACCCCTGATGGAGTCCTTGTGTTGGACTTGCTGAAGTCTCTCAAAGTGGGTGTGCATCTCTTTCTTAATGGAGTGTATGTATAACAGAGTTGCAATTCCCAGAATGATGAAAAATGGTCCTTTAATCCAGCCGAGTCTCATCCTGCTGCTCCTGTTATTATTGTCAGCTCACACAGAGGGAAAAAAGAGAAGGGAAGAGTTCTGTAACTTTAATATCGGGCTATTATTTCCTATCCCCACCCCCTTTGTCAAATCCTGATGCCCTTTAGCACAGTCATCTTATCCTCTGGATTTGTTTAGCAATTATGTTTCAGTTGTTCTTGGAAGCAGTACCTCTGCTGCTATATTGCTGCCTTGTTGGCTCCATTTCAAAAAGTGCATGCAAAACTGATCTTATTTATGTAAGATGCACCTATTGTGGTTGATTTTATATAAAAATATTTACATATATTTGTGTTGTTGCGCAGAAACAGGAGTTCATGTTTGTTACCGCATTCATTTACTCCTCATGGAGCTCAAGCAGTGACACTTTTAAAGATCAAATAAGGAACTAACATCCTCATTATTTCTGGCGCAATATCAACACTTTTTCTGTGTTTGCCTTAATGAAGAGGCAAATATGCACACTGGAAACATTTGAGCAGTTTGCCAGGCTGTTAAAACCCACATTTCATTTATAGAAGCTACAGTCCTTACTCTCCTGGCCTCTTCTTTGAGCTGTCCTATCAAAGCAAGAAGAATTGGACTCTAAAAGTGACAGCAATGTTTGAATATTAGACACTCAATTTCTCTATGCAGAGTGTTAGGGTCACATAAAATAAATTCAAGATTAAAAATGCTCTATTTATAGATTTACAATTTTTTCTTAGTTATCTACTTGTGAGAATAATAAAATCATATCCAGTCCTAAATTTAGTCCGTAATTAATGCTGATTTGAAGGATACCAAGCATCACAGCGTTTTGCACAATCTTTACAGTCCTAATACGTATTACAATGTTTTGCTGAAGTGCCAAACAGTTTTTTTTAGTTTGTAGTTGGTTAAGAAAAAGCCTCTGCTTTTCTTCAGGACTTGCTGGTTTTGGTTGGCACCTCTATGTACCGACCTGGATTACAATATGACCCCTCCTTTTGAAGACCACACTTTGGTGTCATGAAGACAACATTTAAAAATGATGAAAGTAATTTTAAAATAACATACTGCATTATTTTAAAATCACTTAACATGATCACATGTATAAATGAACCCCTCATGATGTCAGGATTTTAAGCTCAAAATTTGTAAACTATGGATAACAGGTCTGGTCATGGATCTTTGGGTATTACTTCCTGAATCTTGATTATAACTCGCACCAGTTTAGGGGAAAAGGTTTGAACTGTGTTTGTGTGTGAAGACTTCCATTGTATTCAGCAATATGCAGTGCTTATGCAGATGTGAAGTTCTGTATTATCATTCATTACCTGCTACTTACCTATATGGTAGTTAAGGCGGCTGTAGCTCAGGAGGTAGAGTGGTTTACCAATAACTGGAAGGTTGGCGGTTCCGTCCCTTGTTTGTCCATCGTGTCCTTGGGCAAGACACTTAACCCACTTTGCTCCCAGTGTGTGTCCTCCACTGGTGTGTAATTGTGAGGGATGCTTAGTGGTGGTCGGAGAGGCCATAGGCGCAAACTGGCAGCCGTCTCCGTCAGTCTGCCCCAGGGCAGCTGTGACTACTCAGGTAGTTTACCACCACCAAGGTGTGACTGTGTGAGTGAGTGAATGATGTATCCAATGTAAAGCGCTTTGAGGGTCTCTGATAAAGTGCTATAAAATAGTTGTGAAGTACAATGGGTCCCACTGCCTGTGAGAAAAGATCTGCGCTACCTCCTTCTGCACGCCATTTTAGACTTTGTCTTACTAATCAAATCAGAACTCTACAAGTTTATACACTGAACAGTAAAATACTTTGACCAACTCCTTCAAATCTCTCAATAAAATGTCAAATTTTGGAAAAACTGAAAATAAAACAAGTTGGTTTTATATTTTATTGTCTATTTATGTACAAAATATACAGTTTTTACTTGAACAAAAGGGAAAAAAGTAACAAACTTGATTAAAAAAATGAAATGAGGAAGCGGGATTTACAGACGCAACTACTGATACGAGTTTGAGAAAAACTTTAAATCACTAGAGTCAACACAGCAAACCCTGCAGCTATTGACTTTTCTACTTTGTGTGGGCAAATGAAATCTCAAAGTAAGCTTGTGACCGAGCTAGAGGACATTGTATGGAACTACATCCTGTTTTTAATGTCAGGTAGTGATGGTAAATGTTTATTAGTATCATTTTGGGAAAATAAGTGATAAAAGGACATAAACGCTTGTTTTAAAATGAACACAGGTGTACCCACAGGAAGGTCAGTGACTCGCAACACTGGGGTGCAGAGGTTTGACTCGAACCAGACGAGACAATCCCAGGCGCAGACCCTGACCTGGAGACCTTCCTGTTGGACTCTGGGCTGAGCTGGAATTTTTACCAACTTGACCTGCGGAGGAGGACAAAAGACATGAGCATTAAATTCAGTGACACACACAGGAACCTTCATTACAGCTTTATTGACACAGGAGCCAAACTCCAGATTATTTTCTGCAAGTTTTGGGCTACAAATTGGACACATTTTGTCAAAAAAAAAACATCAACAGTGTCTCAGAATCTGATTTGCCTGTCATCTTAGATATTTTATTACATGATGACTTTAGCAGTGCCCTTTCTAGCTGATCGAGGTGTGGATAAACTACTTTAGGAGACAACAGACATAGGCTGTCCTAAATTGTCTGCAAGTTTGCATCTATGAAAGGAGTTGAAAGTTTTGAGTACTACACCTGGTGGGTTCCACTTGGGTACTCTTCCCCCTGCTGGGCTCACAGACACAGAGGGTCTTGCCACCAATGCTGAGGCAGGTCTTTGAGGGGCCATTTTAACCGTTGGAGGACTTCTCACGGATGTGGGAGTCGCTGTGAAACAAAGTAGTTGTCGAAATAATGATTCATGGTATTTAAATCACACCTACACACCTGCTGCATCTGCTCTAGTGAACTTCGAGGACATACCTGCTGCCTGTGGTTTGGACTTTGATGGTTTGGCAGGTTGCTTTCCTTTTTTAGCAGCAGGACGAGGCTGCTTGGTTTTCTCTTTGGTTACCTTCTCCTTTTTAGCTTTGCTCGTCTTCTTCACCCTGAACTCCTCGTCCTCACTTTCAGATGGTTCACTGAAATCTTCGTCACTATCTGAATCTAAAAAGGTGTTACTCTGACTTAATCAACAAAGAAGAAGAAACAGAATCCACATGTTTAACAAAGAGTTAATGGGGCGGGTACCTAGTGAGATTGTGGGCTCATATTCATCTTCTTCATCGGAGGACTTTTTCCGTGGCTCTGCTGGGGGAGCTTTTTTTCGTCTGGAAGGAGCGAGTGACTCTTTTTCTGATATGATTTCATCCAGGCCTGAGGGAAGACATTTACACATGATTTTTTTATTTATTTCTGTATTAAACAAACAGTGCTTAATTACATTTTCAAAAGCAATACAATAAGCTTTGCACAAAAGGACAACAGGAGAGAAATTTACCCAAAACTCCCACATCCACACTGCAGTTGGACAAGTGAAAAGATGTCGGATCTGTGTTTTCATCCACGTGAATTTGAACCTTGACATCACCTGTAAAGATTTATCACAGATTTAGGTGGACAGCTCTGTACGATAGAAAAGTGTTGCTGGGTTCTGAAAGTCTATAAATACCTTTATCGGGTGGAGGCTGGTCCTTATTTTCATCTGAATTATTGAGTAAGGACAGTGCTATCGCTGCCTCTAAATCTCTGTCATGCAACCGCTCATCCAGTGGTATTCTGTAAAAATGAAACAGTCTTGATGAGACCCCATCCATGATGGTTAAAAGCTTTTATTTGAAGCAGACACCTTTAAAAAAAAAAACAAATATTTAATTATACTTTTGAGGACTCAAAGGGGACTTGGATATTTTCCAGCCTGGGCCCTAATTTCCTGTGTTTGACTGATAAGAATATATTTTTTAATTTGACCACTATCAAAGGGAGAATGGAGCAGCTGGTGGCCACAAAACAAACTAACATGTGGTTTGATGTGGCAATGGTGCGTTGACTTGTAATCACAAACTGTGCCTGTTAGTGGTAAAGCCGAGCACTTGTAGTGGACTGAGTTTGACAATGTGTAAAACACGAGTGTGGATTTTTTTTTCCATAGATTTGCTTTTTCATACCGTCAACATAAAAGTGACAGACACTTTATCATTTTAAGGATGTTGAATCATTCATTTTGACTATCTTAGTTGGCTTTGATGGTTGATTTACAGTATAAGAGGGATGTGATAGCAGTGCCTCTCAAAACTCAAACACACCCATGTTAGTTGAACTGTTGACTTTTCCTTATTGATTTTACGGGGTGTGAAGCTCTCCTCTAGTCATGGTTCTTAATGTTCCTGCTGTGAGCTTGTGTCACACGCTAAAACCATTACATCTTACTGTTTATAAATTAGGGAGACACACACACACACACACACACACACACACACACACACACACACACACACACACACACACACACATAAATCTACTCTACTCAAATATTTACATTCCCATGGTCCTCAGTGTCACATAAAATTGTACACTACCTGTTCCTCTGGCTAGATGAGGTTTGGGAGTTGGACCCTTGACTGGAGGACTTGCTCAGTGATCTCTTGTGCTCCTGCTTTGCATCCTCCCGTGGTCTCTTGCTTGGTGGAGCTTTTGCAGAGGCAAAGTCCTCATCTGAAAGATCATGGACACAATTAAGGCATGCTGGTTATGAGAGATGAACAGGTATGTAGACATATGAAGGATAGGTCCTGCTTCCTTTTTTTTCCAACAAGTTGCTGCAGACTATAGAGCTCCAGATGTCCAATGAGGTATGAATATTTAATATATGTACAAAAGTAACCTTTGTTAAAGCAGGATTGACAGTTATTCCACTTGACGCCATTTCCCATTTATATGATGTGAACACAGTTTCTTATGAGAGTTACAATAGCACTGGTACTCTGCATGTAACATAAGCGCCCTCTGCTGGGCAGAGCTGAGCAGTGTCTTATGTTGTGTTGAGCAGCAATGAGTCAGTTTTCTTATTTTAAGTGTTATTCACCCAGATTAAGAAAAGAACCTCTAATTTTAATACCAGACACTTTTGTGTTGATGTTTTTTTGTACAGTAATTACCTCATTTTGTTGAACAAGCTACTCATATTTCATAACATTGATATCTGTGGTGTTGCAGTGTTTTCCTACAGTTAGCTATAATGTTGCTTTCTGTATTGTTTTTCTTACTGATATAGCTACAGCAAAGGCGGCTGTGAGAGACCGAACATGCTTCTCATGTTATCATAATAAATTGTACGTTGGAGCCTTCAGTGAAACTTAATTTTAAGTTTATCACAGATGAGAGAGATGGCCAAAAACAACCTGTTTGCACACGAGTATTGGATTTGACTGATGCATAAATACTGCATATACGCTACACTTCTTAAACTCGACACAAAGGTTCACTGAACAGAAATACTCCTCAAATAGCACTTCAAGAGGTTTTAACTTCTTACCATCATCAAGGTCCTTTGCTTCACAGTAATTCACAACCTTTGTTTTCCTGTGAGTCAACAGTAAACAACATGTTAGTAGTACAGCACATGTAAACATTATCGGGCAAAAGGGGCTTAAAGAGCTGTCCACAAACCTCGATGGTCGGTCCATTGCTGCAGACACTTCCATTCAGATCGCCAACATAGACGTTTACTTTAACCACATTAGTGTAAGGTTGGTTAGCTGTTAGGCTACATCAACACAGGTGCTAAAGTTCGTGTTTGCTGTGCGAGCTTACATTGACGACAATTTACATGCGGCCTAAAAGTAACCGATTAAATGTTTCTATCTTGAACGCAAACCTAAACTATTGTTTTAGTTTCGTTGCCTCCGTATGTTACACAACTGAAGGAGACACGACGCTGCTCTGTTTTCATCCAGCCCGCCTGAACTGACGACGACTGACGTCTTTCCGATACATTTTACGTAAAGCGGAAGCTGATTCGTCTATTGTGATAACATCGCAAATCAGCTAAAGAGCTCTTTTATAAATTATTTATGATCTAAAACAGCGAATTTGGTTATGATTGTTGAATTTGTTCGCAAAAAGGATAGGTAATTGCTCCAGGGTTGTTTTAATGCTTAAGAAATTCTGTCGAATCTGCTGTGGTGTAACATGCTGAATTTCCTACTGAATGAGGGTGGTTGCTTGAGTCTAGTCAGTAAATCCTCACTTTACATTTAAAAAAATGAATAAATAACAAGATTTATATGTTAAGTCTCCTATTTTTTTTTAATGTAAGATAGTAAATTTAGCTGGTCTCTCTTTCAATATGGCTGTGCACCAGGTTAACTCATGAGGCAAATCCAGTTACTTTTGGAAAGCTGTGTTTGTGTGATAAAGGTAAGTTTCAACGTCAGTAATGATGGTTTTGTTTAAATAACATGTTATTTTATACATTATACCTGTTCTTAATACATATTTTTGAAAACTTGATATAATTTAAGAAAAGAGAAGACTGCTGTGACAAATATGAAAAAGTGTATGTCAAATGGAAGTGAGCACGAAGAGAGACAATTTGTTTGCAGACAACCTTTTTGCTTCAGTGCCACTGGTGCTCAATCTTCTTCAGCAAAAGATCTACGTCATAGGAACACTGGTTGTCAACTTGAGGATGAGGAAAGTTTTGCTGAGAGAGGCAGAAGATCCATTGATGCCAGGGTGGAGAAGGTGGCCATTGTCAAGTCGTAAGGTACTAAATCTGTCACCTTGTTCTCATCCTACTGTACAAAGTTGGATGCCTCAAATTACAGACCATATACAGTGTATTTAAGCGCACATATCGAATGTGCTTGTAAACAAATGTCAACATATTTTGGATTTTGCGTTTCAACTTTTATTGAAGGTTTAACAAACTTTGAAAAATTATATACTGGTGTAAATATAAAAAAATGTTTCTATTCAATATCTATTCACATCAAAATTTGCCAAATACTCATTGTTTGTTTATATATAGGGCTGTCACATTACCATGATGAAATTAAGACTTGTAATGAACACATTATATTAATTGGATGCTATTTTGTCACTTTTGGCACACCATAGTTGAGCCACCCCAGTGTCTTCCTGCTCTGCTGCATCAGTTACAGAGAAAAACAACACAATTGCACTTTTGAATGGAATTTACAATTATTATTTAAAAACAAAATCCTTGGCAGCTAATTCTGTATTTTGCAAAGTATGTTCTTTGAAGCTGTGACTGGTCCTAGACCACAGAAGTGTGGTGGTGATTCCAAAAGTAAAGACCATAAAGTACATTTTATTGCATTAAGACACTGACACGAATCCGTCACAAGAACTTTACCATGAACAATTTTAATTATGCAATAACAAATGTGATTGACTGCAATTAAGATAATAATAATTTGTCAGCCTTTATTGCTGCCATACATGTGTAACCAGCAATCTGCAATAGATGTAGGACATTCAGTTAAATACTGGATTGAATTTTGGCTTATTTATCGCCCTTCTTCCCAACAACATATCACAAATATCTTAACAAAACTGATAGAATAATGCAGCAGTGTTTTATTGTTTGCTTTTAAGGATATTTTTGTTTTTCTATGGGGCATGTGAAGGACATTTGACAGAAAATAGGTCTGCAAAACAGTCCAGAAGATGGCAGCAGGAGTCTAATACTGCAGGGCCTCAGATCACCGAGGTACAGACTCCAACCTGGTGATTGACATGAACATGACATGTCCTCAGCCGCACAGTCGCCCACTCTCAGGGCGGAAACAATCACGACTCCCTCTGAAGTACAGCGACAAGGGAAATTGCTCCATTTTACTGAACTTCTAAGGCAGCAGCAGCCGTGCAGAGCAGAGGGTTGTCATTTTCCAGCTTGTGAGTGGGTGGCAGTCGGCTGCGGTTTGTCACACAGTGGACCTGGAGGAGACGTTCAGGGGTGTGATGGTCCATGTCTTCGGACCCAGACTAGGGAGGAAGACATGCAGCCGTGGGGCCAAAGAGCTCTGTGGTCACACATTCCTGAACTCCTCCAGCGCTGCCTACAGCCATGACCAAAATATCAGATCCAGTCATGCAAACACTGTGGTCACAATATCACGCTTCCAACCACACATATAGATGTTTATGTTGTGTCCCAGACAACATTACAACCCTTGTGGTCGAATAAGTGACCTGAGAAACACCTGATGAATCTTAAACTTAATCCCCAATGACAGTCCCGTTTATCTGGCCGTGCTTCATTTATACGTCTCTTTTTAACTCGGCCCAGGAAGTGATTTTGTTTAGGTTGTTGGAGTGAAACCTGCAACGCCTCCACTCTTATATTTGACTGCATGTTCCCAAACAAATGCACGTGACCACTGCCAGACAACAGTGTGTATTATATACCCACTATATGCTACACTGTGTTATATACATGCTTCACTTCCCTAAAAGTAGAAATGTCCTCCTAGATTATCACCCTGGTACTAACTCTGGAATTATCCAGTTAAACAATTTTAGGAATGTGATCTTAAATGTTCAAAATACAGAAAATGTTTACAATCCATCCAGCTCATATGCTCCCGTACACGTGTTTTTTTACAGATCAGTCATTCTGAATGCTGGAAAAAAACAGTCGGCCACTATAAAACGCACCATACCTCTACTGGACCCAAGATTAACTAATATGATTTGAATCAACACATTTTTTTATCCTGAGTCAAACCTGAAACATCAAACCTGTTTGTTTAACATCTAATGTTAATGCACCTGAGCAATGCACCTGAGATTTTTAACAAAATCCAACATAGTTATACAATACAATAACTGGCTTTGAAAAGTGTTTTCAACATTTGTGATGACAGTTAAGGGTCCTCAAAGTCACAGTTTTGTTTCATGATGCCCCAAATGGTTTCAGTGGGTGAAAATATGGACTGCAGATCGGCCAGCTCGGCACTGGACTCTTCTACTAAATCCTGTAAATGTATTATGTTCTGTATTGATGGGGCCTTCTCAGATGTGTAATCAACCCGTACCATGAAGGATACCGCCTTTTGAACTGTGCATTGACAATCCAGATGGTCTATCTTCTCTTTAAAGTGAAGGACACAGTGTCCATAATTTCCAAGAAGACTGTCAAATTTAGATTTGTTAGACCACAGGACAGTTTTCCATTTCACCCCAAGCCAGAGAGCCTGGATCATGTTTGTCTATTATTTCTAAATTGTACTACACTGTGCATTCAAGGATGCAGTGATAAACTGATCCACAGACAATGGTGTTTGGTTGTGATTTGTAGCCGATGCAACGACTTCCACTACAGAGTCATGTTTGTTTTTAATGTTTCACAGTCTGAAGGCCTGAACAGAACTTTCTCCAGATTTTCTGAAACTTTCAATAAATTTATGAACGGTAGATGATAAGATCCTCAAATCTTTGCAATTTTACACTCAGGAAAATTATTCTGATGAATTATTTGCTCTCATGGTCTCTCACAGAGTGGTGAATTTCCTCCCGTTTGATGTCAAGTTCTCTACACCTGTTGTATTTGAAGATATTAAACTAACACATAGCTGTCTTTCCACAGCATATGTAGGCAGTATTTGGACTTGGACATCCTGCTGGATTTACCAGCCTAGTCTGCAGCCGTGAGGTCATCATTGGTCTTAATTTGAGCTTGTTTGTTGGAAGTGGTCAGGAGGCAGTTTTCCCCCTCAACCACTGATGTGAATGCCATCATTATGCACTGTACAACCTCTCAAAGCGGTAGTTTGTGTGGGGCGCTCTCAGTCCAGCACCGCTGACCTTGTATGGTTGTTCCGCTGGAGAACGCTGCAGTGTTGTTATTTACATTACTCACAGAGTAAAGGAAAAATAGATGGGTCCTTTTACTCTTGACATCTTTTGGGAAGGATGCCCGAAATATTTTCACAACTGCTCTAAATATGCTATAGGACTCCCAAATACATGTATTGTTCCATTTTGCTGCCCGTTAACTTTGTGCTATGGGGAGTATTTTTAGCTTTTCACAAAGACAGAATGCTCTGTCATTGAGAAGATGCATCGTTGTTCTGCAGGGGGCACCAGTTATTTAAAAGCCTCAAACTAAATTTGTCTTAATGAGCCCTCTAAATGTTTCGGATATCCGGCGTTGCAGTGTCACTGTGCTGGTGTTATTGTAACCTAGAAATGGCCCTGCCTCAGAAGTCTTCAGACATGGACTAGTGGCAACCACAGCACAGCCACAGCAGCCACGGCCTCAGCCAGGGTACCAGAGTGGGCAGACACATCTGTCAATCAGTGGCTTCCGGAGTTTGTTTTCCGAAACCCCGTAATCTGAAGTGTATGCTTTCACTGGCTCTTTTTTTTTTTGTCGAGTATACACGCGGCAGCCGCAGAGCTAATTGCAAGGGAGATGAGAGACCGGAGAGAGACAATCACACGATTTAGAGATGTGTGGGCTTCTGACAGCAGAAACTTAAGTTAACAAGTGATTTTTTGAAATATAGTCTTTCATAAAAGTGAAACAGGGTTACGAGTCTGACTCTGGAACCACTAAGTTTGGTTATTTAACATCCTGTAGGTCATTGGCAATCATACAGAGTGAAAGTGTTTCAGGTCTTAAGTATACATTGTATTTTAAGGTATATATATTTAGAGTATTTTAAGGCTTGCAACCTCTTGGGCTTGTGACTCCTGTCACAGGTGATGGCCTTACGCTGTGTTTGTGTCAAGTGAGTGTCAGATTGTTGAGATGGAAAAAATTCCAATGGTAACGACTTAGTCCACAATGTCAGCAAAGGTGCATGTCTACAGTGCTGCTTGAATGAGAATCTAAATCCCAAAAACCGTCAGCTAAACAGTGAACTCTGTAAATTTAGGGCTGGTTTTTAGCTGCTGCGAGACATTTAGCACTGGGCATGTATACTATCAGTGTGTTTTAAAGTAAAGTTATACAGTTTTAGAGGGCTACTGTGACATACTATATACTCAAGTTTTCTAAATAATATTAGTACTCAGAATCACTAATGTGTAAGCAAATCCGTGATGTGTAAGCAAATTCACAAATGTGCAGATCTGCTACTGTGTACTGAAATTTATAAAAATGTACCTGGTTTGACAAATATGATTTTAGATCTATGTGTGTGTGTGTGTGTGCAAATCACAAATATGCAGTTTAGTAAGTGTGTATGCAGATTCATAAACGTGTATGCACAGACGCATACTCAGATCCACCAATGCAGATGCAGAGCCATAAAATGTGCAAATCCACAGATATTGACCTCATGAATGTGTATGTAGGTCCAAAATTGTGTATGTGAATCTATAAATTTATGTAGATCATTGATGTGCATGCAGATACACAAATGTTTATATAAATTACAAATTTGAACACAAATCTACAAACGTGCCCTTTTCTACTTTATGTACACCTTACTGTAAATGCCTTCATAGCTACCAACAGATATAAGGGTTGATAAATCTAATCATAGAGCTGAAAACACATAAAAGTGATTAGGTAGAACTAAGGCAGACCTCTCAACTGGCTGTCTGATGTGACTTTGCTACAGTTTAGCTCTGTAGGACCTGTTCATTTGTACAGGGATCTGCAAAGATGTCTCAAAATGCAGAGAGGGTTTGTTGAGCCTGGACTCTCTCTGTCTTACTTTAGTCTGCCTGGGCTCACTGGTCACTGACTGGAGTGTACCGAGGATTCATGTCATTAGACCAGTCACCTGCTAAGGTTTACTGTCTTCACAGTATATTGTTTTTTTCTTTTAATGTATGATTACAACATCATATTATCAGATATAAACAATGAAAGAGGTGACTGAAAGGTTGTGTGAGATTGAAAAATGTCGGTCTCTTTAGTTTTACTTTATTGATTTTGAATTTCTCTGAGGAAACTTTTAGTGTCAAGTATTTTAACATGAGTAGAATGCTAAATCAGACAGGCTACCATCTGCTTGGCTGCAGCACTGCTGTACTTTGCAAAAGCGAAGCGAAACACTTTTACAACTTCCTCGGTGTTGAATCATCACGACAAGATGTCGCTGCTTATGTTTTTCAGGCGGTGTTATTGTCAATATCAGGCCCTGAATCAGGAAACGGCTCAATGATTTTATGTGTTGACAAGACAAGAGGTGATATAAACAGCATCAAAGGGCCGGCTATAATTCAACACTGCTTGTTTTACACTGTGACACCATTCAAAATAGCATCTGTAACGCAGCATTGTTTCCTGCACTCCAGCGAGGCACTTGAAGGACACACGGGAAGCGGGCTCATTAGAGTAACCTTTTAACTGAGAGGTCACAGGCAGAAGGACGTTAGCACATAAGACCTCAGTGACTCATGAGTCCTCATGCCTGGAGTGCACTGCACTGCCTGCTGGCTCATCTGTTGATGGATCGGCTGTATCAAATTCTCTGTCGAGAGAGATCAGGGTCGCGTTTGATAACCAGCAAGAGTGCGTATGCTCCTAACAGCAGGGACTCTGATTATCTCATGAGGGGCTTTGCTGCTGAATCAACATGTAATCTTTGTCAGTTTATAAAACTACTTCTCATAACTTTTCACTACTAAAAGAAGATTTGATTATGAGGTACAACAACATAACTCATTTTAATCTACAACTCTAAGTGGTCCATCAGTCATTAAATGATGATATTAGTTTCTTTATTTGAATATTACTCTCCAGAATCAAACTAGCTGCAATGCAGGGATGACACTGATTACTTTACTGTTTGTTTAAATGAGAATCTGGGCAGCATATTGCCTACCAGATTACATTTTGTCAAAGCTCACTGAGTTAACCTGAGTCACCTCTGGCCCATATGCAATGCAGAGGACTCCCATAATAAAAATACCTGATTCTCAATTTTTTTTTTTCTCCAAAGTAAAGTGGCATCAATCACAGTCAAAACACATGCCAGCATCCCAGTGCTGCAATGCAGTGAGTTATCATCCCTCAGACGGGCTAGACTGGATGTCTTAACAACTGTCGGTCACCAGAGGGCGATGTCCTCATGTGGGAGGGATGAGTTGAAGAGCTAGAGGAGCAGGGGCACTTTGCTGAAGAGTTGCAGGAAAGTTTTATCAGACAGATCTGGATTTTTTCCAAAGTGAAAACATGTTTTATAGGACTTTTTAAGGCAAATACTTTAAGTGATTCCCCTGTATTAGACTTATATGACTGATGATCTTTGGCTTAGCACATGGGCGCAAACCCACTGTGCAAGCCAGCATGAATCACAGGACACAGATGGAACGCAGCCAGCATCAAATTCATGAATCATAAAATTGATTTTTAAACGATGAAAATGTCCCATCAAAAGAGTCTGTCTGCCCTCATTTGGTCAAGTAACACGGGCGGTGCCAGGAATTTTGGGCACCATGAAAAAGTGTCACAACAGGCCCCACTGCTTCACTACCACAGATGTTAAAACATTTAAAGAGCCTCTTTCTGCCACAGACTTTGAACTGTCCAAACTCTCTGAACTCAAAAGGCTCCTCCATGCTGTCATTCAGTGGACAAAGCATTTGAAGACTGTCAACCTGTCCAGGCAGCACCACAATTACTGATCAGTGAGAAGAATTATTAGAATATCTTTCAATGAAGGCCTGATATGCTGGTACACTGCTGAGTCCAAGCTGTAGTGCAGACACCAACCACTAACTCCAGT